ATACTAAAAGACAATGAAAAGCGTGCAACCTTTTAGTATTATTTAATCCTTTGTTATTTTAATATAATCTTTTTATATTTTCTATTATTTCTCTAGTCTGACAGCATTTTTGAAATTGAGGGCATGTATATCAGTAAACTAATTAGAACTTCAATCGATCATGTTTTATTGTGTTATATGCATGCATGTTTTCTAAGACCTCATAATAGCGGCGATAAATGCTGCTACTCCAACTTTGGCTCCTGTCCATCAGCAATAGCAGGCTGTGCAGCTAGGTACCTTGAAAAAGAGATGGTTTATTTTTATCAATTTGTTTCCTTCACTTGTGACTTTGTGTTCAAGTCAATTCCTCAGTATCGTCCTGGCCAGACAGGGATCAGTTTTCAGCCGTCGCGGGACCAGTTTCGTACGAGACACTGCATGAATATCACACTGAAAACTATCTTAGTCCTAGCCTAAGGAATCCGTATGGAATAATTTTCCTTTCCCTGTGAGTCCGGAACTGGTCGGAAGAAAGGAAGGACTGACTACTTTTTCATCCATTTATTTCATTCACAAAATACATCCACTTTTAAATTACTTTTAGAATTACCTTTATAAATCAAAGAGAATCCAGTTGCCACCGTTGATTGATCAGTTGTGAATGTGACATAAAGGTACGTAGAAGAACTTGTAACTGTCCCCATCTTATTCGTACCGCTGAATTCACCGATTTTTTTAGCTGAAGCAGAAGGACCATCATAGATCCTCAAGTGATCGCAGCAACCCTCAGTATTAAAGCTTTCAATAGTGATTGAGACTCCTGAGGTGGAATGGAGTTTCCAGTAGCAATTCAGGTGATCAGTGTACTGTCCAGGAAAGCCAGGGGATTTTATGCGGCCACTAAAAGCGTCAGAGCTGGAGTTTCCACAGTTTGTTTGGACGTTAACAGTGACTATATCAAATATGAACTTAGTATTGTATCAAGAAAAAAGTCAAATGATCAATCGAGAGGCAAGCAAGCACAAACTGGCGCTTCTAACTGAAAGAGGGATGTCATGAAATCAAAAGTAAACAAGCAAGTTTTTGAAAGTTTAAAGGGGCCTTTCATGGTTACTCGAATCTATTGTATCACTGTTATGAATAATAATCAATTTGCTAGGTTTGAAAGCCAAACTCTTGAATTTGATGCAAGCGAAACATACAGTASTCTACCTCGTATCTCGCACTGTTTTCCCTTGAATCCTTTCGYGCAGTTGCATTGATATTCTTGCCTGTTGTCTTGGAGAATACATTTACCGCCATTAYGRCATGGATTCTCTTGGCAAGGATTCTGAAAATAAAATGAGAGAGAAAAAAATGCTTTCCAAAGGCATAAAATCAGGCCGGGAAACGGCCTYGATAAGAAGCATGAACAATTCAATCAAAACACTTTATGCATTTTTTTGACATCACTTTAATTAATGGAAAAAGTAGAGCTGGACTCTTTTTTGGTCTTTTTTAAATTGTCTCAGCGATTGTATTACAAAATATTTTTTTTCGCTAACTTTTTAATGTGCCTTTCCATGACGACAAATACGGCTTCTTGCCATTAGAGTTATATTTTCAACAACAAACGAAGCCCTGTCTGTATTTAATAATAGGCTAAAACGGGCCTTATGTTTTTTTATGAGAAAGTGAAGTTTGTTGAACATGATAAAAAAATATGAAAAATATGACTTTCAGAAAAAGAGTGCAAAGTCAAATTCACAACAATAGCAAATTAAATGTGGTATACTATGATTTTCAACTGACCATGTTTTACCTTAACACTGTAGTGAAGATACAGTCTGTTCTTTTTCATGTATTCCTTGTGTGCAAATTGCTCGGAAGATAAAAGCTGGCAGAAGTAAAGTCCGCTTTTAAGGGGCGTGGTCTGGAAATTCACCGAACGACACCAGGGAACGTTGATACACGCAAAAACACAGTCCATCTTGTCTTTGACACTGACTGACTTGTTCGGGTGAACGACATCCACACCGTTTGGAAGAGAGAGTTTCTGTTTTGGATAAGCATCAAAAAGTAGTCCTGCCTCACGATTATAGTAGCTGACGCTGTGTTGCACACTCAACAAGACGGCTAAACAAGCTAAAAAAGATGAAGGAACGAAACCCATCTTAATTTTTAATTGTCAAGATGCAGCAATATCACTGTTCCTTGTTCGATAAGACAACAAAAATGACACTGACTTTTGAAACTGGTTTCATAATTAAACCCGGTCTTTTACTAAATGGATGTGACGTCACTAGACACATTAAGAAATTCTCAACAGGATGTTTAAGGAAGACGTATCTTGGTATTATAAAACTACTAATGATCAATCAAATATTTTGTCGAAGAAATCTGTCAAACTTGAGAACTTAATTTCCCTCTGGTTCGGAAAATTGCTCAATTCTACATACAGTCTGCTACATACGATCAAGTCTGCCATATGCGTTTGCCGTACGTACTACAATTTCGAAGCAAGAACATCTAACTGTAGTTGCAGCTAAAACTGAGGGCACAATTAAGGGCCCAAGTTATTACGACTTACGTCAAGCAGCTGCACTTATTCTAGGAATAAATTTAGATCATTTAAGTACGAGTTTCAATATTTGATTTTTTAATTGGGAGATGTTTGTCCATCCTTTGGTATTCCTCATGCTAAAGGAGGTATCTTAATGGAATTGTTCATTATTAATTGATAGAGGTTTAACTTATGATTCCTGCAAGAAAAAAGCGGAGAACGATTGTGTGTATTCGAAACCGGGACTACATCGACCATCATGCTTTGCTTCACTGAGGAAATTGCGTCGCTGCGCCTTTTGGCTTAATAAAATCTTGTTTCGATAAAAAGATTTCTTCCTCCTTCATTATGAATTTTTATTGCTATACTACTATCATTGCGTAGAAGTTGACACTGTTTGCTTTTAACTGTTTTAAGTTAATGGGAAGTCCAGCGTAGACCGGCCCCAGTGTAGTTTGTTCAGACCAAAGTCACGCAGGCACAGCTATATTGAAAAAGAAGAAGAATGAGAAAGAAACAACAAGATGGTTCTAAAACAGACATCTGACGATCGGCTTTTCTCATTCCTTCCTCGACTTATTTTCATCGATATTGACTGATTTGTCAGCAAGAAAACGCTTTTTTAAAAGACAGATGCTGAAACAGTCAAATTTTAAAATCGTGCCGACTCGATTAATGTTTTCTGAAGATCTTTATATCATACTTAAAAAAGATATTTAAAGACTTTTTTTCTCTGACGAGAATTGTTCGGAAAAGATTTTTTTTCCTCTTATCATGTATTTCTTCTGCGTTATTTTCCAGTGCGGTTATATTGCTGTCAGTCATTTAGTTCAGTTGTAGAACGTAGCCAGGTCTTTTTACTGAAGAGCGGCCCTCGATCACTTTTGCCACTGAATATAGATAGAATTCATAATAAGCTAAATCATATAAGCGCTGTTGATCTGTCATTGTGAAATGGCGCTATAGAAATTATTAAATTGTTATTATTAAGTTATTATATCAACACGATGAAATTAAAAACTGCGCCAAACTCATCTCTCATGCAAATGTATCCTAAATAGGTTGTGACCACTTTGCGCTCAGTGGAGGCTCGATCGAATTGTTCAACTCAAAATTAGCTTGATCTGATTTGTATGGCTATGCATGCTGTCGATATCACCGTAATAGCATGTTCCTCTGACGGAAGATAGTGCCATGTTTTGTTGTTGTTGTGTTTTTTTTTGTGCAAAGTCATACGACATCTGCTGCTGTATGATTCCAAATACTTCCAAGTACCCAAGATCCACTTCGGTCTAGGCTTTGATGACGTCACTTTATTCAACTAGCTAATCCTCTTGCTCTGAAGTGACAAAGTGATTTCTTGGATCCTGGAGAATGGTGTCTAATCTAAAGAAGYCAACTTCCAGACATGCCATCCAATCGACATGTCCTTRAAAGACTTTTAAAACCCAATACCCCTAATTCTGTGCGCTCCTTCAAGATACCCTCTTKAAATTGTTTGAAGATAAAGGGCTAAGCTCTTCAGCAAGTCTTCATTGACAAGTAGTTTCGGACCTGCGTTGAGGCAGGGTGGAGTAGGGGCCGGGGGTTTAGGGGGGCTAGCAGATCGGACTGTAGGATTATCAGTAATATTTAATACATCCAGTTCAATAGTTGCCCCTAAATATCAATTCACTTATTATTTGTTTCCACGTATGTGGGGTGCCCGCCGGAACACCCCGTGGAGCACCAGGAACCTAGGGAGAAGAAAAGATTTGCAGTTTGTTTGTTTGGTTAGTTAGTTTGTTAGTTTTTTCCCGCGGTAGAGAGGTCGGAGCAAAATGATCGAGCCCCAGATACTATAAGGAACTACCGCGAAACGCAACCAAGGTATTAGCTTTTGCTGGTATTATGCTGTCTTTCAATCAAGTTACAATTTAGCTTCTATTTTTTGCTTTTGTGGAGTTTCTTTTTATTTATTGCTTTGATTTTGGAATTCCGGGCGGCTATATTTGCAAATATCATATAGATAYTATAYWTAGCAATTCATTTCARAAGGAGTTCCTGATTCTGCAAGACTAACAAACCATATGATAAAATCGATGAAAATACGAATCAACAATCCGGGGAAGCGGTGCTCGCCCCTGGGAACAGCATTTATTAGTGGTATGTTGGGGAAACGCATGTAAATCTGTGTCACAAAAAAGGATAACAACGTTAATAAACAGATTTAAAGTATCCATCAATTTATAAATATGCATAAGAATAAGATTGACATTTGGGGGAACGATGCAGCAAAGTCAATAAAATTAGTAAAGTCAAGCAATCGATATCAATCTATAGATTGCTTTTGGAAAGACCAAGTTAGATCAATGAAGAGTGATGAAGTTTGCGTGTTTATGAATTGTTATCGGTTATCAATGCCAATTGATAATCACATACATTGACTTCAAAAATCAATCGACAATCCATGACCCAGTGGTTATCGATCGCCATCGACCATGGATCGTTAAGAAAATCAATTGTCAATCAGAGCCAGCAACTGGGCACATCGTTAATGTAAACTACCGGTAAATAGCAGGCGATTTCTTCTCAAACAAAAAAATATTTTGAAATTTTATCCTTGTATTTGGAAATCAATATTTCAATTTGGAAACTGACATTATCTACTACCGATTGGGATCGATTTTTATAGATATAAATCGACGGTTACTTTTATGTTTTTATCGGTCTAGGATCAGTTTAATACCCAATACCAATCCAGAGTAATCGATCTTTATCGACGATTCGATTTGATTATTCGAGGATTTATTCCGATTGGCTGCGCCGAGAAAGCTTTCACTCGGGCTAAACCCTCGACCCGACAGCTCCGGGAGAGAAATCAAGGCCTTGTTTTGTCCGTGTTTTTTTTGTGACAGTCTGTAAGCTTGAGGGTCGACACGGGAGCAGAAAAATAGCTCAAGAGAGTCGCGTGACTACTACGAGCTAGACGTGATTTTATCTCGATCGATAAGAACCGTCTAGTTTTTTAATGAAATTCTTTTTTTAATCTCTTCTGGATTTACTTGTGACAGTCAAGAAAGTCAAAAACAACAACAAAATGCATTCCTAGTCTTTAAGAGTGTACACATAAATACTACAATTCTATTTTTTTTTTTACCGTAATCATTCCGTCTGAAATAATTAGATCTTTGTGATCACATTGTTTTACAATTCACTGATTTTTTTAAGTTTTCGAAGAGATGGAAAAATCCATGTTTATAATCATTCAAGCAGACAGTTCTAGTGTTCTCTTGCAAATCTCTACTTTTATCAAGAAATACCAGTATTTGTTTTGTCTACGCTTTCCTTTGTCCAATAACCCATCTAGTCGATCATTTGGCATAAGTGATTGTTTTTGAGCAGATGTTGAAAGTGCGACATCAGAGTCGAAGTCAAATGAAACCAAAAACATAGTTTCTTTCGTGGGAGTGAAATTTCCTTATTTGTGCATATCAACAAGACTCAATAAGTTGCTAGTTTTTTCCAGTTTGCAAAGTTTCTTTTCAAATATTTCACCAGTATAAGCGGCTTGAATGAAGCATGCACCATCCTCGCTACTGTTCCATCTTTTCACAAAGTCCAGAAGTTGATTATAATTCATGAAGTAGTGTTCATAGCCCGGGCAATACGCTTTATGACATAGGCATCGTTCTACACCTCCTTCCAAACGAAAGCTCCAAAGGATATTTCTTAAATTATATTTGTTTTTTTATGTACACTATGCATTACTTGTTTTACACAAAAAAATGAATTTCAATCCAACATGGACAYGATGTGATGAACTGGCGACGATACGATGACTCGGAAGTGTTTCCCCAKCCTTTCGCGAAGGACACACGAACACTCCGAGGTACAGAATGTCTGTGCGCCGTCAAAGGTGTACTACTGTAATCACAAATCCGTAATGAATATCCCGGTTGAACTTTGTGGACGAGAACATTCTGTCTACGGCTTAAATCAAGAGTTCTTTCAGCGAGTGTCGGACCGTTTGCGTAGAGAGCATAATCGCTGCGATTGTACATCCATATTCCATCTTGCTCGCGCGAAAGTTGTAAACCAAGTCGCACTCTCTTTGACACATGCGCCACTGGTTCTTTACTACTGTTCAATGTCGCTAATAAACACAAGCCTTTGGCTTTCARTGCCGGCAAAGTCTCGAAGACATTAAGAACATCKKCAGATTCGTAATACAAAGGTCCAACGCGTTTGTTGTGCTCCCAGTATGCGATACAACACCAAGACCTTTTCGGCCAGTCTTTAGGTTTTCGTAAATGTTCTAAATTAAAAGATTCCACCAGAGTTAAAAAGCAGAAGACTTCGATTAGACAAAATACAATAGATTGAGGCTTACGGACGTTAAATATTCATTGCTAGTGCAATATACATTTAAACCAGCGGATAGACGCTAGAAAACTAAGTTATAAACGTTAAAATTCTAGTAGAAATGGACCAGTCTCGTGAAAATAGAACATTTTAACAGCGAAATATCGAGCAAGAATACTAATAAATGTCTTACCTGTTTCACACGAGGAATATGTAGAGTTTTCTAGGGATGAACATACGGTCGATCTTGTGTACTCTGAGTAGTGACTATCTATTCCTAGACAGATGAAACACACACCATATATTATAATCCACGACCTGAAACGATGCAAAACCGAAATAAACCCACCTGACGACGACTCTTCTGGCTTTGATTCAATCATGGCTCGACTTTTCGGCTGAGAGGGAGATTCTGATGAAAGAATCGAAGGTAGACTTTATAAATCTGTGAGTATATCGATACAACCGAGGTCGAGTAGGAACTTGCCCGATGGTAGACTGCGAACAACGCTATAGGCACCTCCAAGAATCGATTTATTGTGAAAAGCTACTCACCTAAATGGAGCATTAGACTGTAGTGRTATGGATTCACACATACTTTGGTATTTGTAACGTCTCTGCGAGAGCAAACGGCAAGTGGTTTAAGATCTTTGGCCGATTCTATGCTAGATTGGCGAAATATTTGGTATAACGTAACGTGAGGTTCACTAAGCCTGTCGATGCCAGAAGAAACGAAAACACACTTCGAAACATCGCCTCCTTCCGACTCCAGAGCACGTAGCAGCAACTTCAACTCACTAGTTGTGAGTCGCTTGAGAATCGAATGAACTGAGACTTGAAGTTCCGCTATTTTGTCGATGTTGTTTTTCTGTTTTATCACAGAATATTTTGTTAGCAGAGTTTGAGTCAACTGAGAAGTACTTTGAAAGAGACTGAAGATTTGGAACATATAACATTTGTCGAAACACACAATCCTAAAGAACTGGCGATGAAGAACGTTGTTGATGGCAAAAAGGACAAGACAAAGTAGAGCGAAGCTGGTTACAATTGCTGTCTAGACACACCGTACGAACTTTGCATTCTAAATAGCTCACGAATCAACCATTGCCTCCTTGTCGACACACAGCAAAACATGCTAGCTGATTGGTTTTCCTGTCACRTGACCGTCTAGACATGTCGGAGTTTTGTACTCGCTATGGAAAATATGGAATTGAATACGGATTCTCGCACGCTGATTGGTTAGTCTCGCCACAACCGGAAGTTGGTTCTTGACTGGAGGTGCATAATTGCRTTTATGGTTAGAAGTGTCTGAAAGGCAGTGCATGTAAATATTCAATTTGAAGCTGAGCGTTGAAAGCTTGTGGTCCGACCATAGCGATAAAATAATTGATAATCTTGAAAAATATGTCTGCATGGACAGCAGCTTGCAGAATCAGAGGTAAAAGTAGAATTYATAAATAATTTTGACMGACCTCTTTCAGAAAATGATAACGAAGCATTTTTTGTCGTGTGCAAAATCAAAAAACAGGAAAAGTAGCATTTATTGTGACGTCATCATGGCGCAACAAAGCATTTATCGTACAATAATAGAGTATAAACAATATAGATTTTCAAAGACGCTTAAAAAGCACMTGTGAGCTTTAGTTAAGTTCTATTTTTTTACTTTTGCGGTTCTAATACTTCTTYTAACTTCTTTGCATAGTTATGACGTAATTTTCCTTATATGGCGTGGGCGTGGTAAGTGTAGTTCTTTGTAAACTGAACTATGATTGGTTCTACTAAACATAGTCAAACTGTCAATCAAAATGTCAGTCCAGTCCTCCCATCCGCTCAGAGAAAAGCAGCTTTTTWGTCACTGAGTAACTTGTGCAACTCTTTCAAAATTTCTCGGACGAAAAACCGGAGTTAAGAGAGCCGAATTCGGTTTCTGTTGACCTGTATTATGACGTCTATGTTGCCATTCACCTCGCCAGTGGTCAAACGTTTGCTCGGATGGAAGAGAGGTGGCGATGAGGACGACAAATGGGCAGAAAAGGCAGTGAAGAGTTTAGTCAAGAAACTGAAGAAGAGTGGCGGGCTTGAGGAACTAGAAAAGGCTATAGCTAACCCTGGCGTACGCACAAGATGTGTCACTATTCCTCGAAGTTTAGATGGACGACTTCAGGTTTCGCATCGCAAGGGGCTACCACATGTAATCTACTGCAGGCTCTGGAGATGGCCAGATCTCCAAAGCCACCACGAACTGCGTCCCATCGACGATTGCGATTACGCTTTTAACTTAAAGAAAGAGGAGGTTTGTGTAAATCCTTCACACTATCAAAGAGTCGAGACTCCAGGTGAGTGATCAGTAGTCCGTAGTACAACTGGCTACAGCTTTTTTTGTAGTAAACATACAAACATTCATCAATACATCTAGGTCGTGGGCCAGTATGCATGCATAATGCCTCTTCAACGACGTTGTGTTTTGGGTGATAGATGTTAGAATCTCCAGATGGAAATGTCTTCAAAATGTGTTATTACGACATTTGTGTAATTGTTGGTTCTTTCTGCGAGTATGTGGTGTACATTTTCTCGAGAACCAATGCATATTGTACCGATTGTTCCCCAATCTTTCCACTCAACGTCGAACCCAGAATGATTGAACGTGTTTATAAGATCGCGTTCTTCGGATCTCGTGAAGTAACTCGATTCCTCAGCTTGGATTTTATTTGCTTAGRCTCCCTTAACTCTTCATGGGATTTGTCATTATGGATAATGCTCTTTGCACTGTTTCTCGCCGGTGTTTTGTGAGGCATCTTTTTATGTTTATGATATTAGTAAGTGTAATTGTCTGCTCCAATTTATTAGCTCGTAGTGTTGTAAGAAGACTGCGCTCAGCTTTTTTATACACATATATCATATATATATTTCTAGTGGATTCTTTGCATGGACTTCGTATTGACAGTTCTTAGCTTTCAAAATTCTCGCAGATCTTACGGAATTTGACTTCGTTCGCGTTGGATGTCATGACAAATGGCAAGAGGAAAACTTGTAATATTCACGGTTGATAGAACGCCTCGTGTACCTAGGATCGTTTAACTTCACTGAGATTCCACTCATGGTCTCTCTTCTCCATAACAACATACAAATAATTGTACATTTCGTGCTTGTGTATTCGTTGTGTCGTGTGAGGGATTGTTTGTTCAGAATGTCACGATCATTCCTTCGATTCGCTCAGAAATTTATTAGGGCTTTTTGGTTGCACGCTCTGATACTACTTGATGTTGTACGTTTTGAAAGCGTCTCCATTGGGCCTTGATAACTGATAAACTCGAAAAAGCCGCCTGAGTTGTTTTTTTTTCATTGATCACCGTATTTCTACGTTTTTGTGATCACTAATTTGTTTAGGTTTTGGGAATGTTTATGTCTCGCTTGTTCTCATGACTTGATGGTCGACCACAGTATGTTGTTGAACAAGAGCCCAGCACTACTAATCGCGAACCCACATCAAGTGTTCGAGTATACAGAAATGTGATTTCATTCTTGTGAAGCATGTTAATGTTCACAGTATGTTTTTACTTGTTGTYAAGCCGTTACACATATTGTTTCATTCTTCGGTGTTCATATTTTAGCTTTTAATGTACATTCATGAATATTCTGTTGTCATTTGAATAAGAAAAAAAAAAAAAATCTTGAACACAAATCCAACTGATCTAATCGAGGCAAGGCTATTTGTACTTAAACGGGCAATGTTTAGTGCATTTGTGAAATTGGACAATACAATTCTTTGGCATTTCTTCAATTGCTGGACATGACTCACGATTTTCTGATCTGTCATGGCTACTTAAAGTGTTTCTCTTGATTATCATTGGTCATTGGCAATCAGTTTATCTCTAAAGCCACGTCATTTCTCCATAACTGTCAACACCTGTGTCACTGCCCTTCCAACTCTATGCTATTTCAGGACACTAAACTGCTCTTGCTCCTAACAGATCAAAATATAACAATCAGTTCTCAGAGTTGACCCACCCAGAACATTTTAGAGTTGCATTACACGTGTATGTGTAAAAAAAAACAACAACAGCAGCACACAAACACATTAAAGGTTGATATCCAAATTTGTTGTAGCTTCTCCAATAGTCTCACAAAAGAAACAGTTAATTGTCAGTTGAAAGTTGATATTGATAAGCAAGTTGCATGTATCTATATTTTTACACGATGGCCACAAGAYGCCGCTTGCTTTTTCATCTAGASTTTGAGCGGTAGTTTGCATATATAATTATTATTACTGTTATGCTGTATAAACACTTGTTTTGTTCTTAAAATGTGAGCAACCCTAAATGAATTTAAAAGTGTATATGTACTGCAAGTTTAGTGTTGTTTTGAAAACATTTTAACTAAAATGCATCTTGAGGAARTTTYGGCATGAATACAACATTATTACCAGATTAAACAGTTTCAGATAAATAAACTTGTCAGTGGTCCTTTTATAACCTTATGAATAGTTTTTTATTTACAATCTCATAACATATATTTTGATCAATACATTGTAACATCTATTATGAGATTGTAAATAAAAACAAGTCAAAGGCGAAACGTTCATAAGATATAATGACGAATTTTGACTGCAAGCTCAAAGTTGTCAGTGGTTAATCGATTATTCAAGAAAATGTTATATAAGTCAAGTTTACAGTTTTGTTTTTGATAACAAAGTAGTTTTTGATTCATTAATAATAAACCTAGATGTACAGTGTATTCCCTTTTATATCAGACATAAATGATTGTTATCATTTAACAATAATGATTGAATGATAACTGGCTTGATTACAAATGTTATTATCTCTCTTAAATATACAGATTACTTTCCTKTGGCTTTGAACTCCAGCTAATCTGATTCTCTAGCTAAAATTCACAGTTATACTGTACCAGTTAAACTGCCARATCTCAGCTGGTATTGTCACCAGTAACTGGTGGTCTATTGTCACCTCCAGACAATATGCAGCTTATTTGTGTACCCCTATTGCTGGTCGCTTTGAAAACAGTCACCACTTAGCATGAAGTCATATGCAGGTACTAGTTGATTTTAGCAACAAGAGCAGGTGGTTTTTAGACCTTACTATATCGGCTTTTTTATGWTTCTGTGATGGTGACAATATTTTATTAAAGTTTCACTGGTGCATTCCAAAATAGTGTTATTCCTCAATTATAAATAGATCATAGATCTATTTATATCATAGATCTATTCAATTTTTTGATATAATATTAGGAAAACGTGTTGAGACAGCGTTTCGGCTTATGCCCKTTTCAAGTCAGTTTATGTTACTGGTRTGGTTAAGAAAAAGTTAYAATATACTTCAAATCAAAGGAATTGCATTCATTTCCTTTTGAAAGTTCTGTCATGCATAAAAAGTACAGTTCACTGTTGTARTTGGAACCAGTCTTTAATACTCATAATACAATTTTAGTGTTACCTACATGACAAACACGTAAATATTTGGCTTTCAGAAGAATGTTCCCTTGTGTATCGCTCATTTTATCGTTACTTGTCTTGATTGCGCAATAGCACATGTTAATCAATAACTAGTTACTGTCGGTACTACGGGGAAATATAGGTTTTGTTTTAATTTTACTCACATGGAACACTGCAGCACAATTAATTCCAAAATAATGTTAAAATCAAACTATCACAAGAAATATCCTGTGTAAAAATTGTCTTAGTGGCATGCATGAGCAGCTTTGTATGAATTCCCATCATAAAATTAATAATATATTATTTTCTTTAATGTGTAAGTTGAACTACTAGGGTAGTTTTCAATAGTCCATGTTAATTAAAGTGTAGTATTAATGGCCCTTTATTGTAAGCGTCCTTKTGGTGTTTTTCTTTATGTTACACCTTGGTTATTATGCTCTGTTTCTCTAGTTAATTAAAACCAGGTTTTTCATKAACRCTATGACATAYGCTTGTTTGTACCACACTTTGCTTCTCTTTCTTATGTTYGTTTTTAGTGACCAGTTTTATACATGTTGACAATTATGCTTTGTTTCACTAGTTAACTAAAACCACTCATATCTGGTTGGGTTTTTTTTAATAAAAGCTTTCCTGTGTATGAATGTCATTAATATCCACCCAACTATGGTTTATTCATACATGGTCATCAAGTGAAGTGAAAATTGTTGGAAAAGATATAGAGAAAATTTGTTCTTTWTGGTCTTTTTTCAAATTATACATGTACCTATACTTTGGTGGTTACTATACCATTAGACCACTTGGTTTTGGTCTTTCAACTTGTAGTCCCTTTGACCTCATGGTCTTATTGTTAAATATTCCTAGTATTCTATTGTAAACTACAGTAAAATAAAGTATTTTTCCCTCGTTAGAATTTATTTTATTCGCTAAGTATCAGTACAATAAATTTTTTCAAATAGTTATTGGTTGTAACTATAAGCCTAAGTAAACAAAGTCCTCTTGGATAGTTTTAATACACAGGTATTTCATTAGAAGCCAGTGACTGGCAAAAKCCRTCATCTGTTTTGACCTTTRGACTGGCTAATTTTGCTAAATTACAGTTGTATTACTTGTGGTCACTTATGGCTTATATACTGTTACTTTTCAGAATTTATAGCAACCTACTTCCGTTGAATGAAATTCCTAAAACATGTGCGTATATCAATTCTCAGTGTTAACATCCATACTGATACTATAGCTTTTTTCATGCACTGTTTCCTATGATAATTTCCACAATACTATTCAACGGATAAATGATTATTAATTAAGCTGTTTGTGAATCATTTTTGCTGTTTCCCATGAGATTTAAAAACTAGTGGTAAACTAGTAAGAGCTGTGTCAGTGTTTCTAAAGAAACAATTGTAAAATTTATACTCAGTTTGTTTAATCAACCATTAATAATTTTAAAATTATTCATGGTTGATTGAACAAACTGCGTATAAATATGAAAAATACAACCAACAAAGATATTATAAAATTGTAAAATTACATGTAGATAAGTTTTAACACCATAAAAATAATAGTTTAGATAATGAGATAATTTTTATAATTTGTTATGGCAAAAACATAGTCATGTGAAGTGGACATATTTTGTGTACAAATCAACCAASAAGAAGTACATGTACAGTAGAGTGACAAAATAAAGGTATAATATCTTGAGAATAATGAAGAAATATCATCAATTTTAGGTCATTTCTTTCAGGTAACAATTTTCAAATGTATGGATATTACAAAGGATTTCAAACTTATCCAGTTGGGTTAGGTAGGTAGGCAGATAGATAAGGCTTTACATTGCCTATAAGGTTATTKATGTTGAGGCAAATTTGTCTTCAAGCCAATTTACCTAACATCTKGTCACAAACATTTYAWAATGACAATTGTCAATTGCCWTTGTAATCCCCTGGAATTAAAGATGGGATTTGTGAGAACACTAGGCATTGTATGTTAAACACTGGAACACACTTACAYAAAGCATTAAATCACAAAGGAAGCATGCCTCAAAATAGATAGAAAATTATTGTGGAGGATACATAGCACCCTTGGGAATTCTCATAATAATACTTGCACAAAAGGAACTAAAGCTTTTGTGAATGTTGTCTTGTGAACTAAAATCCTTCCCATGTGTTACATGTAATGTTATCAACAAGGTGCTTATCAATATATTATGTTCAAAGAATTGACACATACTGCTTTAGGGCTGGTTCTCTCCACAGTATGACATAAGCACAAACAGAAGCAGTTTCACACTTGTCATAAGCTTGATCTTCTGATTATTTTGAGCAGGTTAACATGTTCATTTTTGCATTTCATAAACAGAAATGAACAATTTTTGCAATTTTACCTGTTTCACTGCTGGAACAATGGCTTGAGATGTAAATATTTAGCACTGTTTTTAATGCTTTGTTTACTGTATTTAAGTCTATTGACCACTTATGGCTAATAAAAATTAGTATTACCTCATGTCCTTGTTTGATGTTCCACACAGATGTCCTTGTCTTCCTAGTTAGACAAGACCAGAACAATATTTAAAAAATATATATTTGTTTGGTTTACAATTGGCCATTTTGAAATTCAAAAGGAGACTGCGAACGAGTGTGAAAATATTACATTCACCACATGAAAGACCACACTAAAATAAGTGTTCTTGTCAAGTTTAAGCATATTTGGTTTGAATACTCACCGACTAGGAATTTTTATCAATTATTTGTAAAAATAAGAGAGAATATATGGTTTTTGGGGACGCTGCTCAAAAGCTCCATACATTCTTTGTATTTTTTTCAAGTTTTGAACGCTTGAAACTCTGTAATTATTAATCCAAATACTCTCAAACTCAGCAGCTTTACTAATGTTAGTATTGCTGTTTCTTGTCCTGGTGTCTGTTTTTTGATTGCTTCAAATGGGATCCAGTTTGTGACTAGTCCCTTTTTGAATTTCGGAATGGGCAATAGTCTTCAGGACATGTACCATGCAGTTGACTGTTTACATGTTTTTTTTAAGTGTTACCTCCTGTCCTGGTACCACGTCAACCTGCRGATGCTCCACATGAACTTCCTCCTCTACCTGGTTACACAAGACCAGAAAATATGTCATTCCCTACACAGGAACCAACTAATAGCAATTTCCCACTCCCAGGTAATAAGAACTGATATGAATACATGTAATATGATAAAAATAYGAGAGAAACCATTTGTTTTTGCATACAGCCATTTTCCCTTTTTTTCACAAATAGGGGTATGGAATGAAGTCTCAGAAATCGTGAGGCTCGCCAAAAAAATCCCAAAGCTTGCAAGCTTGGCGCTTAAAAGAAAGGTGCTCGGATTTAAAATTGCTTTTGGCTCAGAAGCCAAATATCATTCAGCCAAAGGACTCGTTCAGCCAAAGACTCGAGCTCAGATTTTAAAACGAGGGGCTTGCAGGCTCGRCGAGGCTTGGATTTTATCATTCGATACAACTATAAATGTACTGATTCACAAGAATTCTAAACCATTTTCTTTCAAAGCAAATGACCACTCTACATCACGCAGTAATAATATACTTGCAATTTTGTTTAACCAAAAGAATCTATGTTCTCAGAAACTCCTACGGGGTACATATCTGAAGATGCCCTCTCTGACATGTCAGGGGACCAACAACAAAATATGCAAACAGGTTTGTGAATAACAAAACAATCTAATTATAATKTGATAACTRAAMGTGTTAAATACCCAAACCAATTTAKATTATGTTGAATAGTCCTAAATAATGTTGATTATAGACAAGAGAAACCGAAAAGAGTAGAGTTACTCAGTAGCACTTGCAATTATAGACACTATCGGGCTCGTGCAGTTACAAAGAACTTTCAAAACATTACTCGTGACTATTAATTCCAAATTGTACTCAAGGTCGTATGATTTCCTATACAAATACTTTAGGACACCAACAGTGATGTTTTTTTTTCTCAATGCTTGACTTGCCGTCCCTACAATGTTGACCCTCCCCTCCCATCCCGTCCTCCCTCTTTCATGCCTGTTATACCCGATGTCAACATACTCAGATCATAAGATGAAAGCACAAAACATTGCATTGCTTGTTAGGAAAATATGCAGTGTGTATGACTGACTAAAATGAAAAAACTACTGACTTTAATGAAAAAACTAAGAGCTCATGTATTATAATTATGTTTGACTAAGATGGCAGAGTGTTTGGTTTACTGTAATTTGACTTAGACGGCAATAATATATTGTTATCTGATTGACATACATGGCAATAATGCCTGTTTTAACTGATAGTCTAAGATAGGAATAATGCCTGGTTTACTGATAGTCTAAGATAGCAATAATGTCTGGTTTAATGATTGACTAAGATAGAAATAATGCCTGGTTTACTGATAGTCTAAGATAGGAATAATGTCTGGTTTACTGATTGACTAAGATAGCAATAATGTCTGGTTAACTTATAGTCTAAGATAACAATATCTGGTTTAACTGATTGAAATATTCATGTTTAAGACTTTATTAATGCTATGTTTTTTTTTAAATTTTATTACAGATCAACAATTATCACCAGCTCCTGAAGCACCTTTAATTGGTAAGTGATTTTGTTAGGAGCATATCTTGTGCTATTGTTATTTCTGACTAACATAAGCACTTTTATGCACACTTTTGGGCTACAAAATTTGGTCTTTCATGACTAAGTAGAGTTGATGTAGAGTTGTCAATTTGATCTTTTCATTGTGCAGATTCTGCCATTTATGGTCATATAGCACTAGACAGTAATCATTTTTTTTTTTCATGTGTATTATATAATTCATGCCTTTGATCTATGACACAAATAAAATAATAACAAAATTTGGCACCTGTTTAGTAATATTTATTATCCCAAAACAGATCAAAATTTGCCTTAAAAAGAAGAAAGAACAAAAAGATGGAGTAATTGATGTCATATACCGYAATATTGTTTGGCATTATTCCCAAAACATTGTATCAATATCTTGGGAAAATACATTGTTTCATGGTTGTGGGACCCTTACCAATAAGTTTACAAGAAGTTTGTTCCTTTTCCAATGTTTTTGCCATTTTTCATCCTGGTAAACCCTTCAAATATTATGAATGAGTCTTGACATGTTCTCTGGTTCTTTATTACTGTGACTTCAAGCTTTCGATATTGTTTCCATATTGCTTTAAATATCTTTTTTTTTACTGTAGGTGACGCACAGCCCATTCAGTACATCGAACCAACATACTGGTGCTCTATAACATACTATGAAATGAAYACGAGAGTAGGAGAGATATTCCATGCCTCACAACCGAGCCTAACAGTCGATGGTTTCACAGACCCATCAAGCTCAGATAGATTCTGTCTTGGTTTGTTATCTAACATCAATCGAAATCCGCCAATTGAAATGACAAGAAAGCATATTGGCAAAGGTGTCCGTCTGTATTACATCGGTGGAGAGGTTTTTGCCGAGTGTCTGAGTGACAGYAGCATCTTTGTTCAAAGTCCAAACTGTAACCAGCGCTATAACTGGCATCCAGCAACGGTCTGCAAGATTCCCCCAAATTGCAATCTCAAAATTTTCAACAACCAAGAGTTTGCGCAGYTGCTTTCGCAGTCTGTCAATCAAGGGTTTGAAGCTGTTTATGCGCTGACTAGAATGTGCACTATTCGAATGTCATTTGTTAAAGGCTGGGGAGCGGAGTATCGTCGGCAAACAGTTACCAGCACGCCATGTTGGATAGAACTTCATCTTAACGGCCCTCTGCAATGGCTAGATAAAGTGCTAACTCAGATGGGACCCCCATCAGCACCTTGTACGTCGATGTCTTGATTCGTATATAGAGGTGACAATGTACAAATAGATGTTTCTTGATATATAGATAGTAGTTTTATGCATTTCAAAAGCCATTGTATTATAGTAATAATATGCCATTGTTGACCAGCCCTGTTAGTATTGAAAAAATGCCAATGGTCAAGATATTGAAATATAATTTGGAGGATCATTCTACTTGTGGGTGCAGTATAGCAGGCAACCTGTGCCCAATGTTTTATACAGAGCTGGAGACATCCTAGATTCAGAAATACCTTGTACAGAGATAAAAGTATTTCAATGTCAGTACTTCAGAGTTTTGTTTCTGTTCAAAATCCCATGTTGTWTCAGATAATTGTATTACATGTACAAGAAGTGTTTGCTTAATTCTCACAATAGAAGAGAGGACTGTATTATTATAGCAAGCAGATTTCTTTCTCAATAATCAAAATGTATTTTTATTTTTCATGGGAACTGACAATCAAAATATAGAAAGCAGTTCTGTGATAGGAAATTCTATTACACTGAGGATTAAGGGGCAGACAGAAATATCACTCTTTAGCAAGTAAAGAAAAACAACTTATATACTGGCAAACTTATATACTCCAACTTCAAGGTAGCTCCCTAAAAGAGAACAGATAGTCATGGTGATATGAAGAGGTGTTCATATTTAATGAGAGCACATTCTTTGACTGCCTCTTTTTTTAATTTGTACCATAATATTATTGCTGCATTTGAGATAATTATGATAATAACCAAAAAGGGCTATCTGAGGGCATTGGCAAAACATATTTTATTTTTTAGATCTTTTATAACACATTAAACATATATGGATCGATATCCATTGCTCTTATACAAGATGGTATGATGGTAGGAGTTTTACCAGCAGTCTTTTATCTACTTTTCCATCCCCCCTCATTCCATCTTGTATASAGATGCTGTAATTCAGTGTTCTAAGTTTGAAACTTATTATAAAAAAAAGTGACTGTTACATTGGACATCAGAGTTTTTGAGGGAATTCTTCGCTCATTCAAAACTTTGCACATTATTTGTAGAAATATGTACATCAAGTTTACTACTTCGGAGTAAGATATGAGGCAATAAAGTTTGCCAAGTGTTATCGTTCTACCCAGGGTCTTCTCGGTCTTGCATCAACTGAAGGATATTGGTTTGACGGAGCCGAGGATATCCTGTGCATATTTGAATATATTAAAGGATATGTTTTTATCTAATGTACAAATCTGTTCACTTTTCAAAATGTATTTCAAGTTTCCTCGTGCCAAGCATTTATGAAAAGTTTAGTTTTTTAAACGTCCAATAAAAGCGCTTTAATATTAGATGTTACCATGGTAACTGTAGTCATGGCAACAGTTGTGTCAAGAAATACATTACTAATATGTAAGGTGTCGAATAATAATATAATAAAACCTATTGATATCAATGACTGAAATTTTGATTAGTAAAGGAAATTACAGCTCAGTTCTCAGAGAATTACACGAGAAGTAAAATTGGCATAAGCCACTTAAGTCAAAGCAGTATTTTTTGATAATTCTTTGAGAATTAAGGTGAAACTATGCTGTTCACCACCACTCAGCACGGGGGGGAAACTCCCTCCCCAACTTGGGTGGGGGTGTGCCGCACGACCCTCAAAACCCTTACCCTATCCTAGACCAATTTTTGTGATTTTACATACTCTACCCCCTGATAGTTAGGTTACTAGTAAAACTATGTGTGCTTTTGCTAATGATATAGATTTGGGTTTGAAGATACATGTATGGGGACCGGTCATGTGAATCTTTGATTAATTTAACGTACTTTGCGGGGCTTGATATCCTCAWATTTCAATGGATTACTACCAAACTTTTAGGGCAAATTTGATAATTTCAGAACACACTTATCATTGGTAGTATAACTTTTACGAAGTGTCTCCTTGATTTCGAATTTCTTGCATAGTAARCGATTTTTGTTCTGCCGTGTGAACCAGACCCAGTCATGACCAGTTTATTTTCAAAACTTTGCAATATTTTGCCAAAAATATATGTGCTAATAGGGAGGAAAGTTGCACCTGAATGTCGCCYATTTCTTTGACTTGATTTATCTCGGAATTTTTTCAGTTTCACAATAGACAAGAGACAAAATTTAACATCGTCCGTTGAATTAGGAAGAGTCCGGGGCATGCGGCAGTGAACGGAAAGCGGGCACCAGAAAATTCTCGATACATGTACTTGTTAGTCTAGGGCCGATTATCGAGGGCCGATGAATTAAGGATGGCGCGCTGCATACCACGAGGGCTTTGCGCAAAAAATTTACAAACAAAATGATATCTATCATAAACTTTTTAGCATAAGATAAAAGCCGAAGTTTAATAATTGTTGTCGTCCCAAATGTAATTTTCTACTGCARWGATGTTTAACTAAGCTCATAATATTTCAGTGCAGTGAAGCGACACTCAAAATTGCAACTTTGAACACTGTGGGCATTTCTCATAAATTAATGGCTGATACCTTTGAGTATTAGAAACACGTCTTACCTTGAAATATCATTTGGTACCAATTTTTTAAAAGTTTTTTCAAGTTTTCTCACAACTTGCTCATGACAAACCGCGTCGGCAAACGTGCTAAAAATACATCCCACCTTCTCCCGCCTTTGGWTATCCATCAGATGATATGACGTGTAATGACGTATCGTTAAGTAAACCCAATCAGAATCAGATTTACACTTTGGCACAGTAAATCACAGGCAGCCCAACCCTTGTGCTTAATTTGCATGCAATTATTTTCTGTATTTTATTGTGTAAATTCATTGATTAGTAAATGCAAAATAAAAATGAACGTAATGATTAATGAAACAGCAATAATAAAACATAATAATAAAACCGCAATGGAAGTGCGCGATTATTGATCGCGCGCTCTGCAAAAGTGCGGATTAATTATTTGGTATAACGTCACGAATTCGTACCTCGCGGGATAAAACTAGTCTGGTATGAAACACTGGTCACGTTGCAAATTAACATGCAAAAAAGTCTTTTTTAGCCTATTTCAATCCACTATCTGACCATGCGAACAGAGGGTTTTCCAACCTCGCTTTGAATTTAGAAAGAGTTGGAAAAATCCTCTGCTCGAAGTGCAATTTCATTCTCTTTCCTATAAACACCTGAATCAGTTATTGGTAATATTTATTGCCTGACAAATTCTGTAACATTAAAATAGGTATATTTACATTGAACAACTATCTTAATTCTATAAAGATTATTTTAGAAATATTAAAATTTTGATAGCTTATTAATATATGGTATTAGTGTCAAGACAATATCAAAAGGACTACTTTCTCTTCTAATGGCTGTCAAATTTGTCGTGACGTCATAACGTAACGCAACACATACGAAACAGAACGCATACGTCATGTCACGTAATTCGTAACAAGTTCGAGGCAGAGAATCACGAATCCGGGTGGAATATCTCGATGTGTTCCGGATTCCAATACAACAGCGAAGACTTGTAAACTAACGACCAGACATAAGGTATAAAGAACTCCTCGGGTTGTTCTTCTTCCACGTATTTAAACTTTAATTCGGGAAATTTCTGAAAATATCCAAGAAATAATTTAATACGCGAGTAATTCCGCACATAATTTCGCATTTTCGTTGCGCTTTTGCCGTTTGCTTTCAGTCCTCACAGGCAGAATTACGGAAATATAACTCTACGAAAATGCATCAGAGCTTGAGAGGTTTAACATTGAGAAGAACGTTACTTGCAGCGCGATTGTCGCGCGACAATCGCCACTTTGTTGTCGCGCACCTCAAATCTTCGTGTAAACAGCCTGCGATTATCTAGGCGACGGAAAATCGCCGCGAGTTGCAGCTGAATTCCAAGCATGCTCGAAACTCAGGCGATGGTTGCGCGACAATCGCGCTTCAAGAATCGCAAGTGTAGACGGGCCTTAAGAAAACCGCCTGGGAATTTCCCGCTCTTAGAGACAACAAAGCCTGTTACATAGCATGCATAGTCGTTCCCTTTGGGATCCCTGTGGACAAAGGGTTATGAAAGAGGCCCTGAGAAAACGCCCAGATCTCTCCTTTCTCCGAAGGCATCCTAAGGCGCTTAAATAGATCTTTTCTCCCCATCTCTACCTGGATTGATAGATGTGGTCAGTAAAACAGCACTGAGTGCATTCGCCTAGTAGAGTTCAAACACTAAATGTGTGCAATATAAATACCACTAAATACTGCTGAGTTATTCTAATTCTACTGTTTTTTATTGTTTGATTAGAACTATTTAGTATTAAATAGCACAAAGTGTTGCATACATAAGTGTTTGTACTCTACTAGGTTTATTTCAAAATACATGTGTCAATTACGTGAGTAGACAGACGCCCACCTTGAGTCTATCCTTGGGCCATTGCAAGGCTCCTTGTTTAATAACGTCTAGAACCACGCCCACTGATAACGTCTGGTCGGGATGTTGCTCCAGACGAGCACTGAAATATGCCAACACCTGGAAGAACAACAGACAATAAAGGATCTGAAAACCACTTCCTGTCGGAATATTGGCACGCAAGTGCACGCATCGGAGTATAAAATAAACTTCATCCTGTAGCCAAAGGGTAATTTCGAAGATATCATCTCAAAATTTATCAAATCCCTAATTCGAATGACAAGAATAAATATTGACTATGGCAAAATTACGAAATTAAAAAAAAGCAGAAGTCAGGAAATAAAATGGAAATAAATACAGCAGCAAACACAGATAAATCAAAAGGCAAAAAAACCTCACCAATTCTATTGTAAATTAGTAAGATTTCAAATAACCTTTGGTAGTTATGGGTAATACATTCACAGATAGCCTGCGTAGCGGCTCTTTGGGGACTGGGAAGAGGAAAGAAGGCTTTTTTCCCCAGTCCCCCAAGAGCCGCTACGCAGGCTACTTCATGTGTGGTCCAATGAAAGTCAAAGATTTGTGTTGAATTATAAAGCAAAAACGTTTTCTTACTGTATCAATATTTTGGATGATATCTTGGAAGGTCGGATGGCTTCTGAACTGTGCAAAGAGTTCTCGTCGATGTAGAAGGGTGTACACCAAGTTTGGATTGTGATGCAGCGTGTTTGTTACGCAAGAATTGATAATTTCCAGAACCATTCGTATTACTTCTTCTAAAATAGCAAGATCTGCAACCTGTACAAAAACGAAAAAAGTCAGTGAGCTTAACAGGGCAGTGATTAATCTAAATTTACAATTAAAAAAAGCTATTTCTCACATAATCTGTATCTTCCGTTGTGTCATCTTTGCTTGCGCCATTCGCTGAGCCATTCTGAGGAAACTGCTTGATCAGTTCCATGACTTTAGCATGTTTCTTGGAGAGCAGTGCATATAAACTGAATATCAATTCAATAGGAAATATTAACTAAAAGAAGTGAAAAGCGTAAAAACATAAAAAAAACTAAATGTTTAATAATAACTAACAATACGCGACCAATTTTAAAACAGTGTAGCCCCCTTCAGGAAAAAGGTAGGTTTCCTTCGTTATGAAAAGCACGCAGAGAGTGGGCTCTAGCCTATCTGTCGACCTCCACAGGAAGCCCAGAATCAGGAGTTCCTGGTTGAAAAGTCGATTTACAGCAATCTCACTTACCTTACTATTCTTTGTGTAACATAAGGGTGAAGAGCATGAAATTGTGACGACATGTTCGCCAGTGTTGCTAAACAGTTCGTGTGGAGATATTTATCCTAAAATGAATGTACAAGCAATGTTAAACACAACTGTACATGTTTCTAATGAGGAGAAGAAGGGTGGGGAAGTTTGTGAGGAATTCCAAATAAACCCCTGAAGATACTAGAGCCTTACAAAGGTGTGCGTGGCAACATAAGATATTTATTGCTCCTACCAGTCACTGTATCATTTTATTGATCAATTATTGGTACATAAATTATTCTGGTATACGTAATCTTGAAAAGATACCCTAAAACCCTAAAAAGATACCAGAGCTTAGAATTTTGTGTCCCAGAAATGTCAAGTCTCCCTAAAAGTGATTTTCACTGATAAAAGATGCTAGAAAGAACAGTTCATAACAAAATACAGTTCTAATAAAAGAATTTTAAAATAGAATTCCCCCCCCGCCGCCCTCCCCCCCCCGAACCCCTCCAGCCTGCGGGCCTGTCATCCCTGTCTGACATTGAAGTAATACATACGTTAGTTGTATTGTTATGAATTATTTCACTGTAACTCACCCTCATCTTGGTCATATTATACTGTATAGTCCTGAGAACAACAAGAACAAGAAGCCCACCAAGGGTGATATTAGAGATGGTTCTCTCTGTGTACCAAGGAATGTTTGAGACTGTCTGTTAAATACAAAGGATACATCTAAATTCAGTATCATTAGCTTAATGTCCATTTGCAGCATTTATTGTGTTGGGTTTCCTGTGGGGGAAACAGGAAGCCCAACATGGAAATGACAGAATAGACAAAACCATACTCACTATTTCATGTACAGATTTATTAAAAGCCTCATTTTGACTTAAGATAAGGAGAATAATCAAAGACATGTAGATGTGATGAGCATTGTGGTCTTCTGCGCTATACAGTAATTTAAGAATTGGTAATACCTAAAAAAAATAAAAGAGAATTTAACAAATTATACATTATCATGTTGTGATTAGAGTGATTTCCATCAGCCGTGAAATACACTTCAGTTACTCTTCATTGCCAGGGACAGAAGAGCATTTTTTTGGTTGAAATTTGAAAAAAGCAGTAGTTTGGAATGAACCCTTTTTTTAAAAATCCCCGTCTGCGCCCCCCTGTTACGCATGTTTTTCTTGGTAACCCTTACTACACAAACAAAACATATCAATAGCAAATTAACTGTATTTAAAATAAGGTGATTTGCATTAATGAGTGGGGGGGGGGAGGGGGGAATAGGGGACTCCGAATCTGCCGATCCAAATCCCAAATCATGTTAGCAATCGATAATAAGAAAATCATAAATTCCTGCTAATTTAAGACCCGCTGACGCCATATTTGCCATAATAAGCGCAGAGCTCTTAGGGACTTACATGATTTTGTTAAGTTGACAATCTGCAAAATTCGCAGTCACGATGCCATTATAGAATCCGAAATCCGATGTTAAATTTTCATTAAATCCGTGATCCGGTACGTTTTAAGAATCCGGCAATCCGCTCTATTTTTTCTTTACATCTGTATTCCGCTTGCCATTTTTAGGCTCAGATCCGCCAATCCAAAAACCTATTCACCCCCCTGAAATAAACCGACAATCACAAATCTGCTCTGCCATCCCTGTTTAGAGTACTGCACTTTATTATGAAAGTTTTCCTTTAAATTGTCGATGCATACTTCCACTTTGACTATACTATGTATTCATGGATTAATAAAAACCAGTTATATAAATTAAACTTACTAGTTTGTCAATATCTTTTCTAGCAAATGTAAAAGATGAAACATTGGGGTTCCTGTGTAGCAGTAGATACAACAGCAGTGTGGTTTGGTCAAACTCTAGTCCACTGAAACCATAAAATACAAAAATGATTAGAATGTGATGATATCTTTATAATCAGTTCATCTGTTTTCATCGTTTTTGTTGCTGTTGCTGTTGTAGTCGATGTCATTTTCTTGTTGTTAAATCATTAGACTTTGGAATCCACAGAACAAGGTTCAATTATCAAACTAGGTTGCAACCATATTGTGTCAACAGACCAGACACTTAATTCTGGTGCTTCCTTGGAAAGTACTTGTTGCCAGAGGTGTTTTCTCTTTACACCTTACATATTACAGCACACAAGGACATGCAATAGTATGATAGTTCATGTCTAATATGGGGCCCCTTAAAAAAAAATTATGTTAATGGATGTGTGTAGGAAGAAGAAGTCATCTTACCTGCATATAATTGTATAAAGTACTTCCATATTGAATAAAAATGAAGCTTCACTTGCTTCTGTACCTGAGAAGGATGATGAATTATTGCGATTTATAAACCTAATACACAATAGCATTCAAAACTACACTTTGTTATAGTACATCTGTATTTACTGAAATTAGATGTCTATCACTTTGTTGCACTGTAATGTCAATCCCTGCCATTTAAAGTATACCTTTTGCTCTTTCATCATTGAAGGAAAACAAAGCTTGTCGATAGGGGTTTAAAACTCTTCTGTCCTGAGTGCAATGATTGACAAGAACTAATAAAAGTAGTAAGCTCTGATTGGCCAATAAGGACTGGGTCTGGAAGGTTTCCTCTTCTGTTGGTTGGCTACCAAACCATGACCAGAGACTTGCTGGAATTTAAGTAAGAAATCATGATATTACTAATGTGAGCTTATAAAAGGTTGGATGATATTGTTGAGAAAATACATTTTACATTGATATCAAAGGGGGCTAATGACCACCAAAGGCTCGATCAAATAGAAGGACAAATGAATTTTTGAATTTTGAACTCCGGAAATGCAATTTCAAGCATTTTGAAGGGTTTTGTGAACATTTATGCAGTAAATCTATAAATATTACTTGATACTGCCAAAAGACATCAGTCTAGGGATCAAAAGAACATTTTATTGAATTTCCAAACATTATTTGGGGGCCTGTACTATGTAGCTTTTATAAAGATATATAAAAATATGAACGGTATCTTTAGCAGATATCAAATATATCAAGGAAAGTGTAATACATGCTTGAGTGACATGGTGAATAAAATCAAAGGAACTCACAAAACCATCCAGCGTTGCTCCTTCTTGTTAAGCCGTCAGGAGTAGGTTGCTGCTGTGCAAAATTTTGCAATAATATTCCTATAAGCTTGCTTGCTTGGTGCTTACTACAAGTACATAAGACAACAAGATTTAATCTTAAGGTTCATCTAAATCTGCCCTGTATGTAGATGGACTAATAATAATACTAAAAACGAAATGAAATTGGGAATAGAAAACAAGATGAAAATGAGAATGAAAAAATTGTGACTCACCATTTTTTTGCTCTCATTATTGCATGATAGAATATACTATAGGAAGATGCTGATATGTCAAACATTTGTACAGACAACAGCACTAGCAAGGTATTAATGGCCTCAATATGGATGGCATAAGTATCGTTGCTGCGGCAAAATAAAAAATAAAGTCAAGAATTTTGATAGAAGCTGCAACAAGTGCACAATTCCAAAGTAGGACAGTGTACTGGTATATAAAATACAAAATATGAACAAGATATCAAGACATTTAAAAGTGCAAGCTGCATGTGAGAACTTTTACAGCCCATAAAGAATGGATGCATATACAATCTTATATTTCTCATCAAATTCTAACATAAACTAAAGCATGTTATGCTAAAAAAGTCATGATTTAACAATATTTTTAAGAGAATGCAAATCATGACAAATCTCTTAATCTTGCAATTATTTTCCATTGTGTTTACATAATGAATAATTAATACATTTGATAGGTCTGGTTTAATATGGTTTTAGTATAAACATACTTATGGTCTATCACTCATACTGCGCTGTGATTGGCTACTCTACTAATGGTCTGGTTTGTGATAGACCACTCGCAGGAAAATCAAAATAAATAAATTATAAATTATTTTAAGGATATTTCAATTTGTTTTCATTATTTGACCAATTAGTATGTTTATACTAAAACAATTAGACCTCGAGGTCAAGTGGACTACAAGCTAATAGCCCATTCGGCCTCACGGACTCGGCCTCATGGGCTATTAGCTCGTAGTCCACTTGACCTCGAGGTCTAATTGTTAAATGTTCAACATTGTTGTCCCGAAAATTTATTTTACAGTTCCCTGGGCCTCATAAAAAGTATTTGGGTGCAGTAAAATGAGATACTTTGTAAATTTATTTTCATTGCTTTATGCTTCAATTGACTGGTAGACAAACCTTTCTGTAGGCATATTAAGCAGCACCTCAAACAAACCAGACAGCAAGTCTTCAGTTACACCAAGATCTGTCAGAATATGAGAGTAAAAAACTTGTTCAAAATACTGCAAAAATTCGTTTAAATCTTTAGTATGGGCCCCCTGTGTTATCTACATCATAAGTTGTTGGTCTGAAAATAAGTCTGACTGATCAATCTTGAGCTTAAATGGACATCCAGTGTTTCTAATAGCTTATTTTAGCCCTTCTTGGTCACCCTATTTTCAGTACATTATGATTATCATTGCATGAGTTTACCTGTACAACAAAAAGTCTCCTTCCCTGTTTCCTCATCAACTTTAGCCGATAAAATTCCTCCAAAATGTAAAACTGTATCACTCGGTGGTAATACTTCAATAAAATATTTACAAAAACTACGGATAAGGAGGAGAGCATTGTGCAATTCAGACACCAACTCAAAGCTGAAATAATACAAAAAACACAATTCAAACTTCTATATTGATAATTACATATCATGCTATCATACTTCATGGATTAATGATCGATTCACATGGTGAATCGTCTATATTCTGATAAATTACTGATCTTTTATACATCAGTGTTTTATTAAGTCAGGGCGCAGGACAAGTCTATTGGGTGACATGTTGGATCTTCTATTTTCTTATGAACTGTGCTGATGTTTTATTCATCAGTGTTATATGAAGTACAATAATAACACCATTAATTGACTCTGCAACAATAATTATTATATGTATCTTACAACAACCAATGAGTATATACATGTAGCCTTAGGAATGGATTTTTCATTTTTCAATTAAACCACCAGCAACTCTCCACGCAAGTTCTCCAAAAGAGCAAAAATAATTAAAATATTTCTTATTATTGTTCTTACTTTTCACTTTTTTCTGGATCATGTAGTTCCGAGGCTCTTCGAAGAAATTCCTTCACCAGGAGAACAAAATTCTGGGATTTCAAATTATTACTTGCTAGATTTCTGCATATTTGCTCTGTCGATTCTTCTAATAATCTTGCATCAGCACTATCATGAATAAAAAACAGTATTTTGATTAAATATGATTGAACATGTTTATTTGCTATGTTAAATATTGTTACATGTATTGTTAAACTACAAATTCCAATTTGGATGGATAAAATTGGTTTGCTGTTCTATATTTCCATCCAATTCAATGCAATCGGGTCTAGTTGTACAAAAAGTCCAGGTCCTTAAGGAGTGGATAATTTGAATTGATGAATAATGTTATCAATCCTTAAGTACAATTAGTACAAGTCTTATTCACTGTATTTCAATTTTACAGTTGAATTATTTCTTAGAAAGAAAATTTCACCAAAGTTCCAACAAAGTTTTAAAAGTTACTGCAGGTTTTTGATATTGGTATATTTGCATTATTATTGCATAGCAACACATTAGCTGAATATTTTCTATGAAAGCAAAGTTTGGCTACCTCTACTAACTATGGTGAAAGTGGCTAATAAAGCCTACATGTACACACAAACAAGAATGTTCCATTTTGGGTAACTGCACTCTTTACATAATACAAGAACTTTAACTGGAAGCAATACCCAAACTGCACGTAAATACCAACTTCTCTAAGACCCTTTTCATTCACAGGATTTATGATTTTTAAAATGTGAAATGAATATTAGAATAAAATGTGAGCTGATATTGAGCATTTTGAAAAGTTGCTAGAGTAGTTAAATTGAATGTGACATTCATGACACGAAAAAGGTCTCCTAAAAAGAGATGTGAAGATTTAATGAGCATAAGTATGCATACCATGATGTGCCCATCTAATCATTCAATTAGACTTAACACCTCCTATGACAACTAATGCTTCTTTTGTTTAAATACAAGCAGACATATGTCAATACAAGCGTCATCCGGAATTTTAATAAATTTGAAGTTATGAGGTTTTCGTTCCTCAGTTTGGACTGAGAATAGTATTCTAAGCCATCTATAAACTACTCATATGCAAGTTAAACAAATTTAGATTATAATTTTCTCATTTTAGCAATGTAACAAAAACGCTACTCATCATTAGTTAATCGCCAAAAATACCTGCAATTTTAAACTAAATTATCGCCCAATTATCGCATATTACTAGTCTAACTTATAGTTATTGAGTGATGCTGCAACTTTCACATACTATGACCAAACATTGGTACGCAGTACAGTTTGTTCAGTCAAACGGAAACATAGATCGTGGCTGTGTGATTCTCATCGGCTTAAAACTTTTACGCATGATAGACACGTCACGAATACATATACAGCAAAAAGATCTTTTAAACTTAAACAGTGCATATTCTCACTAAAATTCCCATATGTAATCAAGGGCATTCACTGAAAGGATGTGTTTAATTAAAAAATATTAAAACGCTACACAAACCTGTTATAAGGAGCACTAAATGAGAATGACAGCAGATCTTCCCAAAATTCTTTGTCTTCTCCAACACTCACGTCCCCAGTGAATCTCTGAAGCACGGGGTTGTGTTGGAGATCACTCAAAGATGAAGGTTTAGCCCCCATTTTGCTTATAAACGTAGAAAATTATCTGTTGAAATCGAAAGCGTCACTTCGTCATTGTCCGCCATCTTGATTATGTTTTGCCACGACTCTTTTTAAAGTCATCCGCTGTCTGGTCAAAACCGAAGGCACATAAACAGTGACAAAATCTTCACACGCGAGGGAGGGGATGGCAGTAACACAGAATAACATATTTGGTAATTTTTTATTATTAATTAGTATCAACATTTTATTTGTTTAAATGTTGTTGTGCTATTTGACATTCACTATATTAGTTTTATAAATTCTCTTAGTTAGCTATTACATTGTATTGAAATTGGCTATTAAAACCACTTTCTATCGAGATTAAAATTGATAGATGATTTATTATCCTTAGGCCAAGGCAAATATAGAAAAGAAATCTGCCAATATAGAGATAAGGATCTGTTGTACAACTTCCATACACGCTTGTACATGTAAAGATTGTTGATGTACAAATTAGAAAAGTCGTACAACAGATAGACTCTATATTCAATAGAGAATCATACACCCCAGTTTTAAAGCTTTTTACAAGTATTTGACTTTGAAAACTGACATTTGAGATAAGTAAAATATCCTTAAATTTCGAAGCATTTTACCACTTACCAACTTTGATTAATAAATTGTAACTATGACAGTAGCAGATGAGGTTTGCTTAGCCCTCTCAAAAACAGGTTGCACTTCTGGTCAAACAGGTTTTATGTGACAACCTGAATAAGCTAATTTTATTCAGTGAGCAAATTTGTGTTGATAAAAATGAAACGGAAAAGAAATTTAAGGTTATTAATCTCTAAAAGTTTCCAGTTAGTCATGACACATGCTCAAATAGGAACACATTATTATTAAAGCTGATTTTTCTTTTCTTCATCTTTTTAATCAGCATGACAGGGTGAAAAAAGTCTATTAACAGGGCAATAATCTAGCTACTATTGAAATTGATTTTAAATAAACTTTCACATTATATATAATTAATTTTTTGATAATAATTTGTGCCATGAAGAAAAAATTCAACATCTAAATTTGAAAATTCATATACTTTTTTCTAGGAATTGCTGTTTCTTAGCATCATAGATCAACCTGCATTTGGTCATGAATTAATATAAAAACCATAAGACAGCTAAATTTGGGTATAATGTTTATAGGACTGAACAAGGAATGAAAAATGTTGATTCTAATCATACAGTTATTTGCCAGCCGGAATGCTGAAAGCCCATAGCAAAGTACAACTTAGTGCAATCATCTTTTTCCTCAATTGCCCAATCAAATGTCACTTGTTTGTCGTCAACACTGATTGACACACGTAATTTACCAGGATTCAGTTGATTGACTTCGAAAATAATGACAGTGCCTCGTTTGAATGCCGGCATCTGGGTGGTCATGCTGTTTCCATTTACATAAACTAAGCCTTTGGAGTTGATACTGACAGACCCTGGACACTGAAGGTTTTGTTTTGAATTGCTAAAGTCAAAGGATGATGTTGTTAAACCAATGCCGTCGCCATTACTGTCATCCCCTGTTTCATCAATCTTGAACTGAAGAGCTGTCTCTACACGATAGCTCATAGTCTTGGACCTCAAAACCTTGGAGCTGTCAGGGAAAACCTTGGTAGCTGTTCTTCTTTTGTTACTTAGTTGATAGATGGCAAGTTGATTCATGTTGAGGCAGTCCTCAGCAGACCACTCTACAAAAATATAACAATTTTGTTTATCAGTAAAGGCTTTTTTGCCAAAGCAATACTTTGTGATCTAAACCAGACAAGTGCAAAATGGGTTCAGGTCTGTATTAGACACTTGTACCATGAAACAACAGATCACCATATAACATTCACTGAAGAGGAGAAGGTTGTGTAGCTTTGAACATTTTTTAATGGAGAGTATATATTTTTTAATTTAATGGACTTTTTTCATTACAAACATTGTGCTTGAAAAGTATGCTTTTTCGGTACATAACAGTACCAGAGTATACTTTGAATTATGCAATGATATTGCATTTTGTTGAACAATCAAAGGAACTATAATTTTCATTGCAGTTATAAATATCAACACAAAACAGCACTGAAAAATATCCCTAAATAGTACAGCTAAGATCATTGGTAGATTGTGACTTTTGTGATAATAAGTAATTATATACTGATCCCATTACGTCATCTAGTCTTTTAAGTCATAGTGCGTGACGGATGTGTGTCATTATTGTTAGGGAGCATTAGCTTTTTCTACATTGGGAAGGCAAATCTCGCTATCAAGCACGCTCCTGCCAGAAGAACTCCGTATCATGCCTTCGAGGAGTCCTCTCTTCCTTTCTCACAGAGAGCTTGACAATTACTAAGCTCAATAGACCAATCCCACATTTGCTTGGATGAACATGAAACAATGGCTTCATGTCGAGGCTGGAGCTTTATCTTCTGTCGAAAACTCCAGCCTCAAAGAGAAGCCATTGTTTTGCGTTCATCCAAGCAAATGTGGGGTTGGTCTATGATCTTGTTATCATTATGTCATACCATGAGGATCCAGTGTCGTCATCCCACTTCTTGGTATACTCCAGGAGCTCCATCGTCCATCTCTACCAAACCGTCCACAAACACGGAATGTATAAGACACGTGAGGTTCAAGGTCAGTAACAACATGAGACATTCCCTCTCCATTGTAAACAGTATTGAACACAGCTCCATCATGGTTTCCCTTGTTGTCTGTGCAACAGCACTGCAAAATGTATTCCTGGACACCACTGTATTCAGTGACAGATTCACTGTCTGAAAATGTCTAAAATTGGAGAAAAAGTTTTAACTAATATTCAGGAAGTTCCCATGGTTTCATGAGGGATGGTTCCAGTTTCCCCCCCCCCCCTCTCTCTCTCTCTCTTTCAGTTTTGGCAATTGACTACAAAATTGCAATTGTCGTACTAACTGAAAATGTGTTACTATATTGATTTTGCAAATAAGGTCTTACTTAGCAGACTTTGTCTGCCAAGGAAGGGGTATTTTGGAGCCACTGGAACCATCCCACAACTGCTACTTTTGCTGCCACACAAATCTAGCTGCATCTTATAGGGAATTTTCCCTACATAGGGGCGATCCAAGATCCACCTGTACCGCCATCCCTATTGTTATAAAAGCTCAAGTCACCTACATCATCCCATTCAACAAGCATTCCTCCAGGCTGTTCTGCTAAGGTGACAATCTGCAACGACCCTGTCATGGATATTTCTCCAATATGGTTTACACACTCAATATGATTTTCTTCAAATGTTACTGACAACGTTTGAGAAATGCATGGCATATTGGGATATCTAAAAAACAAAAACATTTGGCAAAATGAATAAAATACATTTGAAGTGACTGTAAATTTGCAAGTCAGACGTTTAGATGGTTTTTGATGGACTATTCATGGTGTTCGCGATGAAGGAAAATCATGAACTGCTTTATCAATTTAACATCACAAAATGCTCAACAAAAGGGGAGGCACTATTATTAGCATAACTCAGTTAAATGCCATAGTAATATACATGTAAATTGCAATTTTTATAGCTAAAAGCCAGCTGTACGTACCAAGCCATGTTCCTGTACACACATAGGAACACATTAACAGACAAATCAGAGCTCAAATACTTTAATCAAATTCATAAAACACCAAGACATAAATACCTATTTTGTTGTATGTTTATTTCTTTCAATGTCTGCTCTGCCTTCTCTGAAATTACAGAATCCTCTTCTTCTAAAATATCATTACCTGAAAGTAAATGCAAGCAAAGTTATCATGTCAGAAGGATTTTTGGGCATTTGTGAATGAATTGTATTTTCAGTCTTCCTGTGATTGCCCAACACAGGAAACCCAAAGAGAAAGAAAATCAAACGATTGTCTTCTACAAAGAAGGCTGTCTAAGATTCAACTAGAAGAGTACCCTGTATTTTTAATTTCTCCACAGTCTCCAATTCACCATTGATCTTTTCTTCAAGGTTATTCAAAGGCTCAAGATCTTTGTTGGCAACATCATTTATGGCCAAAAGAATGTCCTTCTTTCTTAATGCAAGTGCCTTAAGAAGTTGTTGCTCAATACTTTCAAATTTATCCTCAACTTCCTTCTTTGCCTTTGCTATACTGCATTTTACTCCTTCCCTTGTAGAATTTACATTAACCAACTCTGAGCTGAAAGAAATGTTTAGTTATTTTGATGCTGTATAAAATATAGAAATTATGAAGTAAAGCTTAATACATGTACATGTATTTTTAAAGATATGAATATGAAGACCGCATGGCACTATGATAAACACGATATAGAAATGAAAGAAAGTTATAGTGCTTAGAAGGAGGCAATTCCGGGAGAATTCTCCCGGAATTGCCTCCTTCTAAGCACTATAACTTTCTTTCATTTCTATATACATGTATTTTTGATGGGCAATCCTGCTTTGGTCTACCAAGAACAAAATACATTTTTTTGTAGCAAGGACCTTTAGCAAGGCCCCTGTGTAAAATTAAAGGAGAGGGGCTAAGATTTGAATCTTCCAAAATTCGGAAGAAAAACGAAAAGTGTGGAAATGTATGTCTATTTTTTGGTTATTCTGTTAATTCTTTATTTATAATATGAAAATTAGCAAAACATTTCAATATAATACCTAAGATAAGCTTTGTAATTATCAAGATTCTGTAAAGACTCCTTGATGGACAGTCTAATGCTTGCCACTTCCTCCTCACACATTGCATTCTACTTTGCCTTTGTTTGCCTAATCTTAAAATAAACCTGTAAAATACAAGATTAAAACAATTAACATGTCAATCAAAATTTGATGACAAAATTAGTCATGACATTTTGGAATATCAAACACGAATTTGGGGGAGGAGCATTTATCCGCGCTAGAAAATTGTGAAACAATTTACTGTCTTGTTTCTTCTTGTATTTGAGTTATTAATAAACAAATTTGTTCTTAGAAATGCCTGGATTTGGTGGAATGCAGCAGGCCTTGTAAATAACAAACTCAATAACAATGCCGGGATATTAGGTTTTCTTGTTTGTTTGCCGCTCAATTTGCCTCGATTAAAATTCGCCGCTTCGTAGATTAAGAGAACTAACAATTAATACTATTCCATTAAGGTTATGACTTTCGCTTATCAAATTAAAACAAAACAATTTCAGGGGCACTTATTCGAATTTTCGTTGGAGATTTCAATATCTGACAGCCTCTGACGCTCGAAGAGACTGAGAACGTTGCAGACGCTAGAAAATAATCACAAGATAGATAAGCTTATGCTACAATGTAAAGATTGCTTACCAACTTACCTGAAGTTGTGCAGAAACCTATTTTAGGTGATTTACACCAACAAAATCGAAAGAAAAACACGAAACAACACACGACATGGAAAAGCTTGCTTTCAGTTTGCTGTTCAGCGGTTTTCAGTTTACCAAGCGCCCTCGGTATGGTTAGTCAGCGGAAATCTACATAAAAGTTGTGTTGACAAATGGCGGAATATAATTTTTTCCACAGATTTTAGTTCATTTTTCGATGACAAAATGAGAAGTTGAGATAAAAAAAAATGAAGTCTAATGGCTTCTAAACTAAGACTTCATGTAGTCTGCACTTCCAGAGACAAGCGATTTTTGGTAAAAGAAAGAAATGTTCTTCTTCAATCAAAATGATTTGTTTTTTCAATTTTTATTTTGTTTTGTATTATTGCAGGTTTTAGCAGATGAAAACTGGTGTCTCGAAGACGTCAAAGAATGCATTGAACTTGTGTTCCTTAAATTGTATCCCTCTGAGCAAACACTAAAAGTCTGCAAGCTTCAAAATGAGTTCCATTTTGATCTTCCCCTTGACTACTGTGTTGGGGACACTTTGACAGATGCAGGGCTTTTGTTTGCCATTGAAGAAGACCAGAAAGATGATAGGTAAAAGAAAACCCATTTGAAGCTCTCTTGCTTTCAGATGTGAGTTTGTCATGAATTAAAATCACAGAGAATGAAGTGGACAAGAAGCAAAATAAAAATTTTAATTAAAAAAAAGCTCATTTCTGCTCCTATTTACTTCAATGTCTCTGTTGGTTTTACCCAAATTACAGAAATTACTATCTGGGAGGTAGAATAGGGACATGCACTGGGGCTTCCTTGTGTTCCCAGAAGCCTCCCTCCATAGACATAGTCTACTGCAGTTTGGGTAGCACATTTTCAGGCAGCCCAACAATTTGTTCGGTGTGAATCCAAAACAATACTTGTAAATGTTTTGCAGTCAGTTGTGGATTCTTTACAGCCTTGAACCTTGATAAACTGTATTAAGAGATTATTAGTACAACATATAATTACTTTTTTACTGCTCAACAGAAATCCACCATCTATCTTACCTGGAGCATCAGATTTATATTGTCAAAAAAACACCAAAAAACCCGAACGAAAAAACAAAGTAAAAAGTCCAAGAAGAGCAAGCAAAAGAAAAATATCAACTGGTAGTGATGGAGATGGCACGTCAAGTAATGCTGTCACCTCAACAACTGACTCACCTTTATCTTCAGTTAAAGGTAATTTCCTGCCAATCATCCCTACTCCCTACCCCCAAAGAAAAACTTTCCCCTCTGTCCAAAGGAACTTTTTACATGTACTTGTAGATAATGGTGTACCTTCCCTAAAGATACATGAAATTTTCTTCAAAGGATTATAACAGATGACTGTTGCTGTGTTAATATTTAATTTTTGGTTACTATATACTTTAGATTGTATTGAAAATTTGATGCCACAAGTCATTGAACGAGTTCCTTGCGAAGACTGTGATGTTGATATTGAGGTAAATCATGTCATAAAGTAAACCCAACTGTTCTGTTATAGGCATTAATTTTATAAAGATAAAGAGCACTCCCTTCTCCCTCACTATCCCTCTCTAAAATAATTTAGAAAAATGAAAGAATTATGTAATATGATTCCTATCTGCATATGCAAATAATTTTTTTATATCTTTGAATTCATTTTCAACCCCAAACACAGGCAATACAAGAATAGCCTGCATTGCATACAGGTTCTGGATGCAAAGCGGGCCAGTGCACATTCATAACTTTCAATTATAAACTGGTTTTACTAGAAATGCTCTCAGTACTATCTCAAAATATGCCAAAACTCGACCCTTCTTATTGCAGACTTTGGAAGACTGACTGAACTATACAATCAAGATCAATTATTTTTTTATTGATGAACCTTTATTATCAAAAAGAATTTAAAATACACTTCAAATTAGAATTATCAATATAAATAACAATTAATTTTGTTATTATTGTTTGTTTTATATTTTCTATATGAATCTTGTGTTTTTATTGGATAATATTTCAAGAAATAATAAGTGGGGTTACATGGACTCCACACATTGTAGCTCCTGGAAGATTGAATAAAATTTCAATTTCTTTAATATGAAAGTCCCATTGTGCATTGCGTCTCGATTCAAATGCGAAACACGCCCGCTTTACATGATTTGCATTTCGCGCCTTCGTTGGTATCAATCAGGTTGAACGAGTACACACAAACAGACTTGACTTTGAGCCAATGTTCAGTTTGATCCCGTCTTTACAAGAACTTCATACGCGTTATAGAGCAATAGTCACTTCCAGAACTAATTGAAACTTGTAATTGTGGTATTGATTCGCTCAAGGAAGCCATTCATCCGCCTGCATCTATCACAACACGAGGAGATTACATCGAAGACAAATATTGTGTGGTTGACGTAGTCAAAATACATGTTTTTTTGCACGATATGATATAATGAAGGTCGCCGATGGCAAGTTGAAGACAATTTTATTGGTCCTAATGACTCTGTGGTCGAATGGTGAAAGCTCGTATTCCCTTGCTTCTAACTCTATGAAGAACTACTGTCCTTATTTCAAAAATCGCGGCCCTTCAAAGCAAGATCTTACAAACTGCACTTGGTTTAAAGAGAACTCCTGTTGCATGAACTCCGAGCTGGGACATGTATTCAGCAGTTTAAAGCCAATTCCTTCGGCAAGTAAGGAATGCATCCACTATTTAAACTATTTGTACTGCTACATCTGTGCTCCTGATCAAAACACATTCTTCAAACGTTCAACGTTGTATGTGTGCGAGGAATTTTGCGATCGAATTTACGATTCCTGTGGTAAAGCAGTACTCAAAGGCATCGAGATTCAAGAATTATACGAAAACGGTACCGAATTCTGTACAGCAAGGCAGTTCAAAACAGCGAAAAGAGCAGAAGGTGGTTGTTATGATTACGACCCCAACAGCAGGACGGCACTGAGCCGTTCCTCGACGGTCACACATGCTATCAATTTACTGTTTACAACTTTGTTGATACAGATTACCATTCATTCATTGAATTAAGCGAGCGATAAAACACGAGGAAAAAATAGTTAACCCCATGGAACCCCATGGCAATGTTTCATCTAAAGGTGTGTTTTTGTTTTCACCATTAATTGCACAAGTGCCTTCTAACGTAAACACTTTAAATTTATGTACAGTGTTCAAGTACGATCGCAAGAGAGTGTTGGAAAAGATGTTTGTAAATATATTTTATTATATAAGCTATTATTATCAGAATTATTAAAGCGCGCATACTTAAAATGAGTAATATAATAGGAACACACAAAAACATTGCTCGAATAGCTTGTCATTCGCCAAGTCCTTATTGAACTGCGAATCATAATTGTTTCCGTCTGGGAATCTCTGCAATGATGGATTTTTTGATACAATTCAACCAAAGAGTTAATAATTTCAATCAGATTTAAACCTCAAACCTTTCAGCTTAGAAAGATTAATGTATATATTCACTGAGGACGTGGAGTGTAGTCCATAATTTTGTGAGATATTTAACTTAAAAGTGCCTGGGTTTGGCATGGAGCCTTACATCCTAAGTACACAGTCCAGGTGTGGTAAAAAGGACTGGCATACTGCCACTGTAACCTTATTCAGTAGACAGTGCAATGGTGGACTTTGACCAAAATAAACTTGCATGAAAATATATTCTGCTAGAGTAATAAATGATTTCATGTTTGTCAATTTGTAATGAAAACAACAATGCACAGATTTATGGCTTTGCATTTAATAATTTGAAGTGTGGCAGATAATGAGCATTGAACACATTGTCCAGCAAACCCTAGGGTTTGGACCTCAAAACATTATTTGGCTGAAAAAACCCTGTTTCACTTGAGCCTGTCAATAGAGCAGGGATTTAAATAGAAGCTGGCAGCCTGCAAAATGTAGCCTGCATGCAGGCATCCCTAGTTGGGGGCAGAGCGAAGAAAAAAAAAGCTGCAAAAAAAACAAAAAAAAAAACGCATAAAATCGCTACTGCCAATCAGATATCTTTGTTTGCCTGAGAATGAAATATTTCAATAGAACAATGGGCTGCTGCTGGCACTCCCTTACATTTCTTCGCTCTGCCCCTAACTAGGAATGCCTGCACGCCGGCTATACAAACTGCAGCATCTGATTTCCTAACCTACCCCTTGATCCTACCTTGCCTATCAAGCTGAAATTTTATCTGAACATTGTCTGTTGACTGGTTCTTATAGTTTGTCCTGATATAAATTCATTTTTATGTGCTCTGTGACTTTTCCAACAGTTGGCATCATTTATTATGTCTACATTGTAGGCAAGGTAGAGGGATATTGGGTGGGTAAGAGCAGAAAAGGTGCTTTCCCTCTTTATTGATCAACCTCTTCTTTTTCATCAAGGAACTCAAAACCAAGTCAAATTCAGGCTAGTAACGAGGTATATATTTTGCTGTTGACCCGGGATCAAATGGCTAAAAACGTGATCCTGATCCCAAAACTCCATACATTTTGATCCCTGATCCCCTTACAGAATCGTTGAAAGAAAATCATTGAAAATCATCCCGATCCCAGTTGAAAAATCTTTGATGCCATGTTAAATACATTTGATCAAGATCCTGAGCCTAAAACCTGATCCCTGATCTCAAAATAGCCCAAAAACTGACGCTGATCCCTCATCCCAAAACCTCGTTACTAGCCTGCAAATTGGTTAACTATGAGGGAGCAAGCTCCAGGCCCAGAGGCAGCTCCTTCATGTGTACTGGCCTTTACTGAAAGACAAACGTGACAAAATATTATTCCCAGGTGCTGGAGGACTAATATTTTCAAGAATGGCTTGATACGGAAGGATAAGGTGACCATTTGACTTTTGAGAGGGGTTGGGGTATGAATTGGTCTCTGGATATTTTTAGACACTATAATAAGTTGAAAAGCTTCAAAAACACCTCTCACATTTTTCAATAGAAATACCGACGCACTTTACACTGTTTTCCTTGCCCGTAACATAAAAGTGCTTTTAATGAAGAGGTTTCACTGTACTAGGAATCTCCTAATAATTAACCTCTGAATAAGTCACGTGAACCCCATTCTGTCAAATGCCTGCCTTGCTTCCGCGATTAACGATTTACATTTTACAATATTTGCACAGCAAACAGACTATCGTATATTGAAAATCTTTCAAATTAAAAGGACTTAGATTTAATACTTAAAATTCAATCTGACCTTGTGTGTATTAAAGTCCAGTCACAATCACAGTCCCAAGCATAAGGAATAACACGTTAATTTGAGTTGAAGATGCAGAACTCTCGTCTTCATTATACGGCGAGTAACACACATCCTTTTCGGCACTGACTTTAAACTTTCTCGAGAGACAGAAGTCCGTGCCAGATAAATAAAAATCTCTAATTTTGGAACCTTTAAGATAAGCATTTCCACATGCGTCGAAAAGTTCGTTGCAAAAATCGATGCAGACGGTCAATCTCTCGTCCTTGTAGAAGACATTTTGGTTTGGAGCGCATACAAAGCACATAAGATAGTTCAACATTTTAAGGCATTTCTGGTTCGCACCCGTTGGGGGCGGAATGTCTTCCAGTATGATATCCAACTCCTTGGATAAACAGCAAGATTTCTCGCGGTACCAGGTACAATTTCGTAAATCTGGTTGTGGTTCGGGAGCCCGGTTCTTGAAGTACGGACAGTAGTTCTCCAGAGGGAGGTCTGCGACTCGCTCTTCTTGACACGATGACATCGTCATCAGTATTCCCAAAAGCATAACACTAAACGAGAACTTGGGCAAACGCATGATTCTATCGATGAAGAAACGGTCTAAAGCAACCTATAGTGTTCAAAAGATGAATAATGGATCGTAACCTTTAGCTCCGTTTGATCACTCCATCAACGGTCCTGTTCTTTGAGAAAAATATAAGATTACAATGTCAAGTTAGGTATTATGTGACCTCTCTGTTGACATTGGATCGGAAACGTCAATCTATCTTTTGTACTCAAAAAATACTTCTGAAAAGAAAAGAAAGAAAAAGCTAAAAAATTAAATTTCTTTAACAAAAGTAATTGTAATTTTATGATGGACAAAAGCATTTCATTTTTACATGCTACACTTTTTCTGATGCATAAAGTCTCCTACATCGTCGCCTATATTAAAATTTTCGTTGGGGATTCTGTTCCTGTTTAATTGTATTTTTTTAATCAGAATTTCTTCCTTCCTTCTGCCTTGCTAAATACTGGTTCTGTACAATATTTTGTATTTACGGCGCTGGTCTTTTGTCTTTGTACAAATTCTATCTGACAAGCCTTTTCCATTCTCTTTCAACTGATATGCGTTCAGCCCACGACAAGGAAAATCGTCTAGACTTGCGCAGCAAACGTCTTTTGTACTTTTTCATTCTTTTTCTCTAAGCGTTGAAAATTCTCTTTGTTCATCTTATATTTCTTTCAGTTTACTTCAACTTGTTTATTCCACAAATTCCGGTTCGAAAAAACTTAGATCGTTCGTCCACTATTTCCCGTTTCATCATTATCTTCATCACGCGGTAAAACCAAACCCATTGCGTTCAAAATATTTGCAGCCGGACCTGCAAGTCCCTGTTGACTGCTGAACGATTCTAGCAAGTTCTTTACAAGATTCAAGTCTACATCGACTGGTGTATCCTCTTCTTGAAGTGTATCTGACGAAGTGTTATTTCTCTGAAAGGAGAGATATAAAGAGATATAGAGGATATTACATGGGCGCGGAGATATGGATTTTATCTTCGAGTGTTGAAAAATAAAAATAAAACCTTTTTTCTTATGCTCCAATATATGGAGAAACCTCGAATGCGTTATTTTCACTAGTAGTGAAATTATCAACTTAACGCAATGGAGAAATATAGGTATTTCATAGAGAATTATTTGATAAAATGCAATCTGCAATGTAAAGAGGTGGAAACACTGATTTTTTCGAAATACCTTTTCAAAACTTTCACTTATTTTTGTTTGTGCTAATTCTTTATCCATGTCTTCCATGTAACTTAGTAGCTCTCCTGTTTCCTTTCGAGTCTCTTCACTATCTTCTTCATCACTCAAGTCACAAAAATCATCATCATCATCATCATCATCATCATCATCATCATCATCATCTGATTCTAAGGTAGCAGATTTTCCTTCTGTAAAAAAAAATCTGATTAAATCTTGACCGCGAATGGTTATAAAAAACGCTAGTGGTTTATGGTCCACTATCGCAGTTGGCTTCAATAAAATAGAAAAAAGAGAGGGGAGTTTACAAACCTAATAGTTGCCTCATTGTCTCTACAAACGTATCCGGATCAAAGTTGATCTCTTCGTTTTCGTTTTCACTGTTGAAACAAAGTCAGGCAATATAACAATGCAGCAAGTCACGTGATTTATTCCTCTGTTTTTCCCTCTTATTACCATTTGGGGGTTTATCTATTTAGCTTTTATTCGCTTGCATTGGCATTTAATTACTTCTCTAGGTGTTAGCATTGCGCAGTGAAAATGAACCCGATTTCCCATCCTTTCTTCTCTCGAGCTGCCACTTAGGTTAATCTTTTATTTTTTAGAAAGTTTACTTAATTTCTATTTTAGCTATGTAAAGTAGTAGTTTTGAACCCACGAATTTACCCTGGAAATTCAGCTCCTTCATGGCTTGATACTTTATGAACGAATGATTTCATCTTTTGTGAAACTGACTCTAGATTGAAATCCATCTCCTTCAAAGCAAATAAATGAATAAGATAAACGATGACAAACGTCTATAAACGGATGTATAAATCGACTCAGGGATGTGAAATTTACAGTTTTTTCAAAATAGTGATAACTGAAAAAAGGGATGAATGAATGGATGGATGGATGGTCGAAATAAAGAAAAAATAATAACAATTTCAAGGGGATAACAAATTATTACCACTACATAAAATGTAGAAAAATGAAAAACGTCTCAACCAGTAAAAATATCGTTGTACCTCATTGCTACTAGTTTTMGTAGATCCATTTGAAGCAACGTTTCTTGTAGCGCTGTAATTGTGTAGAATGGCCTCAAGGTCATCAGGAGAAATATTGAGCCAGCTGTCATCTTGAAAAAAAGTTGAATTCAGTCACTAGAATCATTGATGATCATTATGATGATGATGATAATTCCAGCGATAATAAACTGTTGCTTCAGCCAGGACAATTTGAGATTCCTGGCCAAGAAAAACAGGCACTAAGATAAGCATGAATAGCAACAAGTTTTTATTCCCTCCTCACTCCCTCCCCCCAGGTTGCTATTTTTTTAGCATTAAYACAGGAGTTCCAAGGAGAAGAGTTATGAGTAGCCCACGGACGAGGCTAATGTTGATGGTAGTGATGAACAAGTACTGTAATTTAAGGATCTCACCGTCCTCTGGTGGCAAATTCTTTTCACTTTCTTTCATGTGATCAACATCAATGGCAGCATCTTCCAAGAGAGAAAGAATCACATCTCCAGGAGTTGCATTTGTRTCATGTTGAGAATGCAAAGTCTCTTCAAAATAGATCTCTGCTTGGGATAGCAGCTTTTTATGCAACTTGGAGCCCTCTATTTCCCCCTATAAGATAATATTAGTCCATTAAAAAAACACTTCAGATCATGATTGTGACTTTTGCTACCCCTTTTTGATGTAAACTGAGCCCTTATGATATGTTGAATACACAGAAAAAAAAACAACATACATAATAAATGTCTCCTTCACAGTTCTTGTACCATTTTGAAAGGAAACCATGTCTTTTCATTGAAGCAAAATGACAGGTGCACTAGCAATGACATATACCTGCAAATGATTTTTTATAGGCTGATGTGAAAGGTTGCAAGCTTGAAAAAAGCATGCTAATCTTTTTCATATGTTTTTMAAGATATGCACATGRAACTGTGAAGAAGACCAACAYTCAACTCTCCAAGGAAACCAGCTGACTTTCTTTTTTGGTCTAGATGAAAGGATAACTCCATACCTTGAAATATCCTTGTTTTTTKAGAAACTCTAGAAATTGCTGCCACTGGGGACCAGATGCCACTCCATTTAACTGTGAAAACATCAATAGACAAGGAAGACAGTACTTAAACTGAATGTTTTCTTTCCTTTTTAAGACTGCAGTAGTTTTTTTAATTTACTGCCTTGCTGTTTTCAGTAAGGTCCACGAAATGCTTTTATTTTCATATTGGAAAACAGGGTCATAGTCCTGAGTTTACCTGCTTAAACTTCACTCACCTTTGCATTTACACTACTTTTTGAACAAAGAATCTCAAATCCACAAATCTAAAAAGTAAGAAAAATCAAAAAGAAATCATTCAACTAGTATGAGCTTTTTTGTTGCAATGAAACAGTTGTGCTATAAGAATAAGTGTGTCTAACCTTTTTAACTTATCCTACGTTTACCACAAAAAAACTAAACATTAAAAAAAATGATCTATAAATTAAAACACATATTTTCAGAAGTATTTAGGATTAAAAAGACTAAAATGTTAAAAATCCACACAACCTTGAAATATAATTCTGTGAAAAACAAGGATGAGTCTCTCCAAATTATTCAAAACCCCTATTTGTACATTATTTTACAGATGTTGTGACAGTCATGACTGCAACTTGAGATACTCAAGATTTCACATTGTTAGTGTCAAAATACTCAGACTGATAGAGCTTCAGACACAGAACAATCATTATTTAGTGAAAAAAATCACAGACCTATCCAGAGGGGGTCACAGGGTGCATGTGACCCCCACTTTCAAAGCCAAAAAAGTGCAAAAAACATAGATTGAAATGACATCAGTAAAAATTTGGTATGTAAAGGCCCTCAAAATGTATAAATCTTACAAGTTTTATTCCTAGCTGATGTGCTTTGTAGTCTTTGCTAGTCATGGGAGGTATTTTCCATCCTGATTTTCTGTCTGGATGAAAATCTTGATGCATAATCTGTGCGTAGAGACACTGTGTAAACCGAACCTAACAACAAATTCAGKAAAGAGTTAGAAGCATTGAAAATGAACAAAGTTAAAAAAAAAAAAATCTCTCAGTCATCTCTTGAATGTAACAAAATTTGATATCATTATGACATGAAGTTGCTGTTRCTGTTTTGCTTTTAGCATGCACTAGTTTCACTAACACTTATTTCCTTTTTATAAAGCACAAATAAATGACAATGTTATGTTGCTTTAAAAAAAAAAAATACTTACCCTTGACAAAACTCTTTCTGTTGGTGGAAAATACTTGGCTTGTTTTATGGCCTAGTTATTAAATAAAATTTGAATAAAAAAGATACATTAATACATTTCATTCTACTATAAGGCTATCCTTCTCTTCAATTTCAATCCACTGTTGACTATTCAATACCTTCATATCTATGGGGTCCCTGTGGCAAAAAGCCTGCACAGCAGCACTTATAAGAGTTGGCTTAACATCCAATAGATACTTGATTGCTGGAGATACCAGACAGTTGGCATGGTGATAGGACTGCTGAGTCTTCTCTGGATAACTGATAAAGGTAAAACAAATTGCATTTGATTTCCTATCATTAACTACATTTTTAATGCAAACAGTCAGTTTATTTGCAGTGATGTCACACTAAGCTATGCTGTCAATCATCTTCTAATATTACTTGATGGTTAAGTACACATCTCCTCCACAGGCATCATGCTTTTCCAGTTTTTATATACTTTGGGTTCCCTGTGGAAATATTGGGAAGGAGAGTGGACTACCCATAAACCACTAAAAGATATGYACCTACCCTTCAATCCGTGCTTTAATCACTTGTTGTATCTTATTATCTGCCAGTGTATTGTTTCGTCCATTCACAATTTCTAGAGCTTGTGACAAAGTTGGGGTTCCTGTGGGAAACACAGTGATCTCCCTGGGGGAGGAGGGCAGGGGAATGATATGGACACTGCCATCATGGATGAATACCTACCAAAAATATTTGCTTTAAAATCAAATCCATGGAAACTACTTACAATTCTTATAAATCTATATTTAGAAAAAGTGCAGAAAAGTGTGAGGGGTATCATATGAAACAGTTATTTTCTTTATAATTTTTTTGTGTTTACTTTTGTGAGCACAGTGCTACACAAACATCCACATAAAATTCAAAATATTCAATTTTCGAGAAAAAGACTGCTCTCAATCATAAGTGTTTTGTCACCAACTACCAGTAAGTAAAAATAATGGTCAAAAATGTCACTGGTTTTGAATGCATGACCACAGTCTGTCTCTAACAGCACAATGCACTAATTCATGATTTTTCTTACTGCTCTCTTTCRTTGTAGAAGGGGTCCCCCYCCTCATTTCCAAGAYMTATAAACRATCATCATCCTACCCTATTTTCACTAGTTTCTGGATTCAACCACCTGGGCAGTTCATGGGCCRCTTCAATCAGTAGGAAGTTTCCATCACTGTCATTTACACTGTGCAAGAAATAGAAAATCAGTTGTTTAAGACATGCTTGTCTATGAACATGTCTAAAACAAGACATACACTACTCTATACACGATGCATCATGTGCTGAGAGAAGAGACTCATGGTGCTAGTCTGTGCAATGACAATATACTTCTGCTCAGATATCTAAGTAAACTTATGTTTGAGCCAAACATTTAGAGGAGAACATGGAGGATTTTTCTATATGCAAAAAAACTTGAGGATTTGATCATGTATTTATTTTAAATTTTTTTTGAGGATTTGAGCAATTTTTCTCAGCAGATTTGCAAAATCACATGCAAATTGCCGTTCTTTTACTCACCTGATAGAAATATTTGGGTATTTTGCACTCAGTTGAAAAAGGAGGAACACTATGAACCACTCGTCTTCTACGTTATCACCGTAGTTTGTTTGTCCACATAAGCAAGGTAGTTCATTCCCTGTGGTACACATACATTGTTATGAAATATTAACCTTTGGTGATATTAACCATTGCATGCATTATTGCCACTAACCAAGATAAAAGTGATGAAAATTACATAGAAATAGATTATCATGATGCAAAAGTGTTTGCAAATTGCAAAAACTCTTTGGTTGATTGACAGATACCAACCATTCCTTAATTGCATGTCGTGACTTATGTCTGGCTCATTTGTATTGCAATGCAAACGAAATGCAGAGCTCACTGTAGCAAGAAAATGGAATATAGAAAAGTGATTTTGGAAATGTACCACCAATATTATTAAGCTTATATTGGTTTAGATTAAATTTATATTCTTTATTATCCTGTGTTAGCATTTCAATATTAAATCACAAATTCTCTGTTCACATGTATTAAGGAAGAATTAACTGCTGTTTAAACTTTAATTTGAGTTAAGATGATCAATTCTGAACCATGCACTTACCTTGAACTGGCGCCAATGACAAATGGAATCCCTCGTTCTGCCAAATATACTCAACAATAAATTGACTCAGATATGCCGAATATTCCGATAAAATGCTATTTAGTCTGTCATCATATCCATTTAGTTCTTCTGAATTGTCCTTATGGATATAAATACTATATTCAATACAGCAATCATCCATTTTCCTTTTAAACGCAAAAATCACGTTGCATCCGCCATCTTGGTTTCTCAATACACAGGTAGTCCAACTACAAGAGTTCATAAGAACATACACGCCTGGCACATTGCAGTTTTCTAGGGGAGGGGTGGTGCGACCTGTGTAACAAGCAGGCACAATTTATTTTATTAAAATCGTATGAACTGTTTGCATTAAGTAACCCGGTCTCCTTTATAATAGTATTTTAAGACTATTTTAAAATGTAAGTACTGTACTCCAGATATCATGGGAGTGAGTGAAGTTAATTTTTATAGGATTCCTTTAAACGCAGAAGCGAAAAGAGACAAAAAAAAWTAATTGACTCGCTTTTTGKTGATAACAATAACTCGATAACTTCTGGTTTCATTGCAATCAAAACTAGACGCATAGCTGCGTGAACTCGGGGTTCTTGTGTTGATTAAACAGGCCTGTAGCAGGGTTAAAAAAAGTGAGTTCCATTTGTCCCGTCATATTTCCGTTTAGGATTGAAAAAATTTATATATATGAGAGGGAACATCACAAAAGGGGTCTTGTGTCTAGCTGGAAAATGCAGTCTTCCAAAAGACGCAATTAATTCACTCGCTAAGGGTCTTAATTCTTTAGCCTCCTTTTGTGCTGTCCCTTCTCATATATAATTATATATTATTATTATTTTTTGTCAAAAAAGTGAGGGGGGGGGGCGGGCCCCCTGGCCCCTCCCCTTGCTACGGGCCTTTGAAATAAAGCTTGTTAGATAAACACTGAATTCTCGACAGACTCGATCGATATAGTCTCCTTCGCAGCCTCCCCTTTTGAGGGTCGAGCTTCCTAGAAGGGACAGTGAGATAATATTGAAGTTTCACGATAAATTCGTGGTATCTCTCGAAATGCCCTTTCGAAAAACGATCGACATTTTTTATTTTTTTATTGTGACTATACCGTGAATAGTGACTCACTTCTGACTAGTATCATACTCCCTCGGCACCATAATGATGGCACATGTGAAATGTCATGTGATAGGTTTAGCATTCGTACCCAGTGCATTTGGCCGAKGAAATTTTGCGAACCAAGTACGACGAAGACAGCCGAAATTTTAACTCGCGGTTCCTTTGGAACCCCGAGTAATAAATTTYTTACACACACACACAAAATAAATATTCATATTATATAAGCAAAACAATGTAGAACAAAACACCAAATTATGGTTTTATATTTCTGTAAATAATAGGACGTTCCGGGGAAGTATTCTCGTAATGCAAACTTCACTCCGTTCGCCTCCATCGACTACATGTAGATCAACAAGGACCAATAAGGTGCCGTGTAATATGTGCGCGCGTTGTGATTGGTTGTCTAAAAATAGATTATCGGGACATCTGATGATGAAGAGATTATAAGCGAGATGGACACTTCTGGTTATGTTCTTCAGGGGGAAGTATAAAATTACACTTATTTGGGACATGAATTCATATTAGGAAAGTTGTTTAGCTAAAACCAGCGTTGATCTATAGATCCGGAACAATATACACCTTTWCCATAATGGCTGCTGTGTTTTTYCAAAATAAAAYAGATATGAATATTTTGTCACTGTTACATCAAAGAACTATCAGAAAAAAACGTTTTTGGAACGTTTTAGAACTCTSGACAAAATAGGAAAAAAGTTATGGTGATCTGAAAATACAAAGAAATGTATGTAATTTTCCACCAATGGCTGTCTGTCTATTTGTTTCTGAATATGAAATATGTGAAAACTTTGTTACTGTCATGTGAATGAACTACCAGAAATAAACATTTTTTGAAAGTTTTACAGCCATGGATAAAATGCAAACAAATGTATGGCCAAATGAAAATACAAGAAATGTATGCAATTTTCAGCCATGGCCTTTATAGCCTCGTTCTGGTGTTATGATATATTTTAAATCCTTATAACTTCACCAGAATTTAATATTTTCATTTCAAACTTTTTCATGTTCATATTAGCACAGGTTCCTATCAGTTGTTAGTTTACTTAGACTAAAATTCTAAATTTTAAAAAATAATGTTAATTAGATGGCGGCCATTATGGTAAAGGTGTATATATTATATATTGTACACAGAAAAGCGGTAAAAAAAACAAAACAACAACAACAGAAAAACCCCAAAATTGAACAGGAAGAAAGCTTGCATTTATTCAAAAAACAGTAAATGAATTGAATCCATAAAAAGTRGCAATGAACTTGAATCGATCAGAAGTAGTGGCTAATTCAAAAACCTGCTATATCAGTTGAATGGTACACTCATCATTCCTAATCTATTCCTTAATGGAGGACTATAAAAGATTTACATTTACATTTTATATATAAAAACGTTTAAAATGTAAAATATGCACAAAAAAAGAATGAAAATAAATTGTAATGCACTGACAGATGGTAAGCGACAAACAAAAAAGGTTTTCTTGTCAGAGTCAAAATTAGTGTTGCCAGCCTGTCCATTGATCTGTTGAGTTTTGATCTGAAATTTAAAAACAAATAAGTTAGTGAATATTTTTTACAGGAGATGGAACCATTTGATAGGTCCTATAAAAAGAATATAGGCACTTTAGGATAAGAGTGTAAATGTTAGATTTCCACCAAAAAACTGAAAACAATAGGGTTCCTCTATCTATTTCAGTTGCTTTTATATTGTATAGAATTGTGTTACACTTATTCTTATATTAAAGTCCAACATGCATCCAAGAAACTTTGCGAGATTTTCTCTCATACAACTGAAAAATCACCATTACTCATTTTAAATGAATCATAATGCGCTTTCAACGACTATTCTATTTTAAAGCAAAACGAAAGTTTACAATGGTTCTTGGACGCAAGTAGGCATTTAAACAAATAATTTTTGATATAAACTTCGTTACCTGAATTATAGAAGAGTGATAATCATTACTAGAATTTTTTCATCAATATACGCACAGATCTTCGCTCCGCACTGAAACAATCTTTCCCGTCACAAACTGCATCGCGACGACCACCATCTTTCTTATTTGCTTGCTTTTCTGCYTTGAGAACTCCTTTTCGACGATGTTGACTACAAACACTTAAGGGTTGCTTGGGTAGACAGCTATCCTTCTTTTTAAAGGAGCCACTTTTTTCCTTCTTTCTAAAGGAGCCTGCGTTTTCATTTTTTCTAAAGGAACCAATCTTTCCTTTTACTCCCTTGATTTTGGTCGGTACTGGTTTTTCATCGTCCTTTCTATCCAMCTGTGCGCCTTTCTTGGAGTTGGTGCGTTGTACGACCTTTCTTGTCTTATCAAAGATTGTTGGGAGCAMTGACACYGTCTTTTTTCCAACGGTTGGTGCTGTTRCCCTTYTGCTTGGCTTTCTGGACCGATCCATGCTACCTGTACTGTCAACCGTACTGGCTATGAATAGTCCTTGGTATAACTATTCGAGGATTTTTAAGCAAAAAATGGACGATATAGTGACATAGCTCATGACGTCATTTTGATGGTTGACCGCGTAAAGGATGGCCATGGATACGTGAAATAAACAAGATATACTCCAACAATAGCACTGGAGAAAAGAAACTCCAATGAAAAGAAACTCTCAAAATTATGGTTTGTTCAGAAAAATTCGATTTGAACTCAAGATAGCTTTGACTTGGCAGTAATTTCGTTATTTTTTTCGTCCGTTATGAATCGCTATGACGTAATTGATGTCTTCAGAACGCGAACTCGAACGTCCTTTTTGGCCAGGAAGTACATACATTTGTTGGAAAAACATTGTCTCCAAAACCCTTTTTGTCCGACTATTTAGTTCTTGCATGCATGAATGAATTAATAAGCAGAATTTTTCAGATAKTTCTTTTTATCTGAAAAAAATGTGGCCAATTAAACTTATACAGTACATTATGCTATTTCGAGAGCTGACGTCAATGATGACATCGATTTGACACTTGTTCACTGAAAGTGCGACAAACAATTAGCAAAAAAGATGCTATTTTGGATACTGACCCTTATTAATGACGTCCAATMGTAAACAATTAGTTTGTTTGTCCATACATAGCGATGAAAGTATATAACAAATAATCTTTAAAGCATCCTTTATTTGACTCAAATATTACTATTAATAATCATTTTATTATTTACACGGTCATTTAAATTAACCTGCCCAGCTGGCTGTAYAGACCGACTATAAGATATGAGAGAGATAAAAGGGAAAAAGATCCYTAGTAAGGACAAGACAAATGCTCATTGATGTGTCCAGAGACAAGGGAAGAGYTTTTTCATTCACCAATTTAACATTTCTGTGAATTTTGATAAGTAGCCACGAAAAAAAGAAGTGTTTTATTAGAGCTCACAAGTTATCCAGCAAACTGTTACGGATTTATATATCAGTTTCTCGACGACAAAGACAAGAAAGAACAAGATATACATTTAGATTACTCTGTTCATCAGAGCCAATCCCGTTATGGACCTTGGGCTGATAGATCACGTGATATGCAAATTGCCAGAAAGCCTCATTAAAAAGGCAGTGTAATTATTCATGTCAAAAGTTTGTAATCATTTCCTCACTTTATTCTCCTTTTCATCGTCTTCTTTGAATTCTTCGTTTTCTGGCACTTTAGGTAATGAGGTTTTCCAGCTATGGGGAGGAGTGTAGCGTATCTCGGGGCATGAAATCGACCGTGGGCGTATCTTTGGTGCTGTYTCCAATCTTCTCTTTGCCTCAGGAGAGTAAGATGTGCGCAAAGCCATTCTAGCCTGCATTAGGTCGCTTCTCTCTGCGCTCAGTTCATGGAAATTAAAGTGGAACTTATCCTTAGGGTCGTGGTGGGGAGAGTTCTTTCTGGCAGGTCTAGGCGACTTGACGCCATTGATGCGCTGGATTTCGTGCACGTGTTCCGCTATCTTGAGCTGTAGATTATGAACGACCTGYTCAACACGATTCCTTTCCTTAATCTGTCGTTCAGATAATGGCGCTAACTTGATGTCCTTCAGAAACGACTCCATATCTAAGTAATAAAAATAACAAGATAACATGGTAGAGTTAAAATAAAATGAATGGCAAAACAGAGCTATTATATACTACAATCCTAGACATTTTACGTGTGATATTGCAATATGCAACCGTAACAAAGTTACAATTTGACACACGACACCCACTCGGTAGAATATCGTGAGCCCCGATCCCCTGTACAATGTTGTGTGGCTATTTTCATTTGTTTTTTCATGCTTCRCTACTATGACATCGTGTAGTTGGGGGAAGGGGGAGGGAGTTTATGGCCATGTCGTCAATAGAGAACAGTAACAAGATGTGTTAAGTCAAGAAACTSTTTAATCGTGTCCAAATGTATATTGTCYATGATTTTCTGGCTGTATTTGATTGCTAGATTGTCAGAGTTTGCCTTAAATTAGTGGACGTTTCATTGTGTCAAAAAAGCCGCCGTTCACCTATAAGCCACATTCGCAATAATGCAAATGCAAATAAAAATGCGTATGAACTGCAAATTAAACACAGTCAAGGAAAATGCGACCGCCAACGAGTGTGTTTTTTGTTTTCTTTTGATCGTTTTTATCTTGCGCATGAAACATTTGACCAAAACATCATTGCTGTTGCTGTTCTGGATTGAAAGCGATGTTTTTCCCGCTTCGCCATTCACTAGGAAGCGAACATAGACATTGACATTCCATGGGTAATATCTTTGATTTTATGTTGCTCGTCTTGGCGGCCGCCATCTTGATTATACGACTTTTCTAGCCAATCATCGCGCGGAATTTACCAAACTTGCAACAAATGTTTTGTACGCTGCAAGTTGGGCGAATCGGGTTTTAGCATTCCGCTTTTAACTCCATGTAAATAATCAGTTACAAGACAACAATTAGTAAAGCGAGCAATGTTGCGCATGCGTATTGTATTTTTGAGGTTTTAGCGTTTACGCTCTTGTTTCTTGTCGCACCAAAAGTAACGCGGGCTCTGGGTACGAGATTGGCTTGAAGTATGTGCTAGATTCCTCCAGCGGGCATGGCGCCAGGCAGATGCATTGGTCTGTATACAGAGCCTTGTGTTCGAGCTTAGAGGAATTTTATTTTTGTACACTAGCTTGTTTTGGCTTGTATTATTATTATTATTATTTTATTATTATTATTATTACRGAATTTCACCATTTTCCGGACAGATCCACTAGATCCCGTAACATTTCTTTGGAAATTCTATAGCACTTTTGATCGTTTCTGAACTTTTTCCTTTTTTCTGAACTTTTTACTCTAGATTTTGTATTTCTTAATGTGGTCCTTTAAGCTATGTCTTATCTCGCCATCATGCCAAATAGGAGAAATAGGAGATTTTCCCAGTCTCCCACCGTACGCTCCACCGTTTTGAAACCGCCTCCCATTTCTTAGATTCTCCACTCTTACAAAGACTGTTTTTTGTTTACAACTTCGAAAACCATAAAACAGTTTTTGAACGTAAACTTATCTTTATCTTTGTTATATTCTCACCAAAACAAGGAGACAAAAAAAAACTTAATTATTTCTCATTGAAGGCGTCCATTTGACTATTGTGACCAAAAATAGCATTAAACCGCACGACATTGTAACCAGAACGGAAATTAAAACTCCAAACTTTTGAAAACAAGGCCATGTATACAGAAAATTCCCGCGAAGAAACCCAGGAAATGTTCTAAAAATACTTAAATAAGACAATAGAGTCTTTAAAAACACAATAATAATAAMTGTAACATTTTAGCGACAAAATATACTATTGTGAAAACGAATTATATATTGTCAGTCCCTCGACATCGGGAATCAGGGTTGTCAATATTCTAGTGAAAAACGTGCTACTTAAATCCGGCAGAGAAAAACGATTGTGCTTAAATAAATAAAACATATTATGTAAATTTTACACTATGCAGAATGTACTTACGCTGAAGTGGGTTAAAATAAAATGAATTTTGATCGCACGAAAAAATCTCTGCATAATTCAATTTGCCTTTCGCTTTTCGTATTTTCATTCTACATGACGCAATATTTTTCGCTGGAGTTTAATATTGTAAAAACATTGCTTTAAAAATACTTTTGTTAAGAAATTCAGCTGGATTTAGATATGTAAAATAAAAATACTCTGTTTTGTAATTATTTTGAATGCAATGTTCAAAGTAAACAACTTCGGCTTCTCATTGGAATTTGTGATGTTTTCATTTAATTGATAACAAGTTTGGATTATTCATCGTACGCGCGCTGGTTTCTAATATTTTCAATATCTGTTTACTGCTCGATTCTAAACAGCATCTCTAACGTGAATAAACCTGCAGCTCACTAATCTTTTTTTAACATTTTTTCCCCGGCAGATTGTAGCCTGGAGCAATTTACTGTTCAGAAGATGTAATTTGCAAATGTACACCTCTCGATCTTGCTTACTATTAAAATCCTTCCCTTGCGTTCGTAWAATAAGTGATTTTCAATTAGCCATTCACACTTGCATCGAAAACAAATACTAAGTAAGGAAAAACCGACTAGTTTCGCATTGTAAGTTTATAATTAACAAACGTTCGGGTAAAGTTACGTATTAGATCATCCCACACGCTTTATTTTGTGTTATTACGTATCATTGCTAGAAAAAACACTTGTTTATCATTGTCTTTCGGGGATTATTTATAGAATTTTCTTGCAATTAGCGCACAAAGGAAGAATCCACGAAAAATCACCGATAGATTTAAGATTATGTTTGTAATTTACTCCGTAACCCGCTTTGGATATAGTGGAGCCGCCATTTGCTTGTCCAGGTAGTTGAGCACATCAAATTATCGATAGATCCAATGTTGCATTCGGTGTAAATTCTTTTCGCACTCACCTTTCAGGGCGCTGAAAATATCATCATAGAATTTATTATCACCATCAATGGAAAGAGGTTCGTTTCCTAGCGTATTAAGGCTCATTTTGTAGCCGATTCCTGTTTGGCAGACCTGCTATTTGATCACAATTAATAACTAGTTGATCCTCGCTTGCGACAATGGATGTTTTTTCCCTTATTCACATAGTTTTTTCGCCAAGGAAGCAACGAAGAAAAGTCCTTTCCTGCGAGTGTCCATGCGATGTGCTTTCGTTCTGTAAACACGCAACAATTATGCGCACCGCTTCTGTTGTGGTTAGAGGATGAAGACAGATTTACATCAATTTTCTCAATTTAAAATATCTTCGGGCAAGTCACGAAGTTTGTTTTCTTTCCAGCAGCGTCCACAAATGGGTTCTTTCTAAACAGGTCCTGTTAGATTTAGTGGTTATTGCAATTTAGAAGCTTTTCAAATTCAAAATGACAAATCACCTACTCCCACGCCGGGGACGAATAATAAGAAGCCTCGTTGTAGACCAGACACTAGAGGTGTTGTGTGACACAAACTGTCAACGTAGGGTAAAACCATTCGTCACTGACAAGAGTGAAATTTGTAAATATTTAAGAAGTTTCAATTTTAATTTCACTTCGACCCAATTAAATTTGTAATTATAATGAGTCCAATATCAAAAGGTTCACGCACTAGTTGATGTTAGAAACGAAAGTATTTTAATGTGACTCGTGACCCCCCGTATGTCCCTGTCGATCGACTCATTTCAAAACGACGTATGAGGTATCACTTTGTTGACAGTAGAAAAAATTTCGAGTTATGTGTAACTTTTTCAGTTTCCTGCTGAGTTTCCGTTCAATTTCGACTTCAGTTGAAAAGCCGACATTAGAAAAATCTCAGTAAACAACACAAGTACTTTCAGTTTTTATCAGGGAATTGTTCATATAGATATTGTGATTTCCTTTTACTTTCTTTGGCCTGTCAGGGTAAAACAATGCAAATTTATAATCAAAGACATCGGCTATTCGTGTATTAAACAATTTTGCAAGAGGAATTCAAAAAGTTTTTTCCCGTTCCATCCATTCCATATCAAAGCAAAATTTCAATTATTTCTCGCGATTATTTTAAACATTTTGCGTCAGGTAGATTTTAAAAGCACAAGAAAATTCTGGTCTACGTGTCGGTTCAGAGGTTGTGTACTCATCATTTTGAAGTTCCATCGGATGTTTACTCTCTACTCATCTAAACTATGCCCTCGGACCAAACTCCAAACACGTTCCTGGATGGTAGAGCATGTTAAGGTGTCCGGATGCAAATTCCTTCCCTCCTTCCCAGGCAGAGCAGACAGTGTCCGGAAAAAGGATTGTAAAAACACATTGGCACCTGGTATCTCAGTCACGCAATACGCCAGGACCGCCAGTGCCGGGGTCCTGAACTCAACCCAAAACTCAAGATACGCTGGGGGCATTTATCAAATTTCAATGGTTCAAGGAGGTGGGGGGACGTTTCATAGACAGGAGGCGTTTATTAGAGACAGGCGTTTATTCTAAAATAAAACTTTAACAATGYATTATACCGCATGTTATTATTTATAACTTCTACCTAAAAGAAAAATCAGAAGAATTAAAGAACGCTATACTCATTTTGAAATTGAACAAGACGTTACTCACTTACCWGTGTTAATGAAGCAAGAAGATACTTAAATTGATTTATGTTACTGGCATTCCTAAGTCATTTGTTTCTAGTGATGGATGGTGGCACGGAGGGGAGGGGGAGGGCGTTTAATAGACAGGGGGCGTTTGTTAAAGAGGGGCGTTTGATACAAACTTGTAAGCAGAGGGGGACGACGACGCTCATTAGATAGGAGGCGTTCATTAGAAAGGAGGCGTTTATTAGATCATTTACGGTAACCGTGTTCACAGTTTCAACTGTATTACATCCTTTCTGACTGCATGGACAGAAATAACATTAAGAATAAGTGATGGAAGAAGGCACGAGCTGTAGGCGAATAATGCTTCTCGTCAATCAATTAATGCCCCTTCGCTTTATATTAGATCAATCACTGACTTCAATTTCCAGAACTTAGTGATACATTCGGCTTTCCTAGAACTCAGTGCTCTGTCCAAAGCCGCGAGATCCTGCCCTGTCTGTCAGTATATTGTTACATCATAGATCGAAAAGCTTTTGGATTCCGAATTCCATGAAATATTTCGCAAGGATTCTGGATTTTACCATATTGCAATATTGGATCATCATAGATTTTAAATATCAGAGGGCGATAAGATGGAGTTATTTATTTACTTTGTCGTAAGATGACGCCACCACTGTCTTCCGTTTCACCATGGTAAACACACTGAGCTCAGCCAATCAAAATCTGCATCAGAACATCATTGTAAAGATTTCGTGCAAAACGTAGATTGATAACTGAGCTCAAGAGCACTATAAGAAACTTTAAAACAGGTGAGCGGCAAAATGGGTGCCGCGTGCGCATGCCCGAATTTCTAATCAATCTCAAAGAAATGCTTTAGATCTACACTGATAATGTAGTTGTCATAAACCCTTCGAAACTTGCTTTCTGATTGTTCCGTTAGTACAGAACCTCCATTATTAGGCTATAGGTTTCGTTTTATTGTTTGTCAGAGCATCCATTGTTTGTCTATTGTTTTCTAAACGAATCACGAGATTCGGTTTCGAGCGGTTCGTGACGACCTAGATAATGTCGGATATTAAATGTGTGCAATTACAAACGCAAATGGCTAGAAACTCAAGTGTTATGGAATTCAATACAAAGTAATTGGGWATCGATAGCCATTATTCTCGAAAGTAATTAAGCTCCCTTTTTCTTTTCCYGGWTTCGTTTCTTGAATGKAWTAAGGAGCGGATCACTTGACTGAGAAAATCAACGTCACATCCACGTGATCTCTTGACAAATATTATTGTTTCGACGTCAATGTATCAGACGTTTGACTTGTCATTCCGAGCTGCGATAAGTGGAAAAGTTCAAGAGCATTATAGCCAGAGAAGCGCTCTGTGTAAGTCTACCCTAATGTTAGTTGAGTACGTGCGCGGCTGAAATATCAGCGACTACGCGTTGGTGTCAACTATATGCCAAGTAGGTCTGCCACTGGGGTACAACGTAAGTCTTTAAATCTTCCCAAGTAGGCTTTTAGCCCTACATGAATCGTAGACGACACCAAGAGTGCGATTAGATACTTAATTACGTGTCCTAATGTATCCACATGAGATCAATGAGCTCCTGGATAATCACGTTTTGCGTACATGCGTAAATCAGCAAATCGTCATTCCCTGGAATGACGTCAGAGGAGACTCGGCTGCGTCRCCTGAGCACTTATGTTTGAAAAGAGAAGCCGAAAAAAAACACCTGTGGTATATCGTGTAGTCTTTGATGCCTTCGCTGTTTATTCTCACAATTCGTCTTGATATAAAGTCAAGGGCCTGCTGACAATTGATCAGCTTAACGTTTTAATTAGGTTTCCAAGTTAAACTCTAAGATTTACAAATCTCTATTGACTACTGGTTCAATCGGTTTAACGTCGTGCGTTTGAACAATAATTCAATAAAGTCGGATTCTTTTTTATATATTACACCTAAACATAATCCAAACCGCAGGAAACTGAAAATCAAGCGGGAAGCCGTTTTTAGAGCAGTACGCCTTAAAGGGCCATATTATTTGGCTTCATCTATTTTTCGATTCCTTTTTCATATCTTCTTTTTTGATTTTGACTTCAATCCACGGGTAGTGTGACCCAATATGGCGATCCTTTGTCAAATGCGATTTTTTTAGCCACAAGATGTTGAAACGTCTATGTGGCTGGCGGGTACACACAAAAAAAAAAGAGAAGAAAAAAAAAGAAATGAAGACGTTAAACAAAATCAAAAGAGCGATTTAATTCTACTAGGACATTTAGATTATTCCACTTGCAATATAATGTTTCCCAAAAACAAGTGAACTGAAGCCCAGTATTCGTCTGAACAATATCTATATCTTTGAGCGTTGAATTTTGAGAGATTTTGAAATTCTATCGTCTTTGACATTACAATTACAATGAAATACTCATTTCTCTTTCAGAAATATTAAGTTGCCATTCCGCTAAAGTAGATTAAGTCTTTGAAATTCTATTGTATTTGTGTCTGACGCGCACGACGAGGAGCCCTGGGAGGAGTTCATATTCACACTTGCACTTTGGCCCCATCGACCTTCTATAAACTTAACTATGTTGTATGTTGAATGTTCTATCCACATACATCAGCTGTAGGGACATCCCAAACAACATTAAATCCTTTCCTGTTAGGCTTTCGCGATAGTTGAGAATCTCTCGTAGTTTCAAACCTAAAAGCAGTTCCAGTATTGATTCCGTGAATATATTCAGGATTGGGAACCCTGTGGCTCGATGACGTACGGCGTACTTGAGGCTCTGACGCAGTTCGACGGCGAGGTACTTTCAAAGTCTCAAGATATGCTTGCCTTAGTCGTTCAAGTTTCTTCTTATTGCGTAATTCTTCATTCTGAGTCTCATCATTTTCTTTTGGAATTTCACTTTCAGTTTTTAAGCCCGAAATCTCATGATTCTTCATTTTCTCTTTGATTTKATCCTCGTCCGGACTTTTATTGTCTTCTTCCGCAGYCATGCATTCGTTGAGTGCCGGGCATGACCACGACCTCATACGCGGCAGCCTATCTGAATCCACTCGCGTAGTATCTTCTTTCTCMTTTTGCTTCTCATAAGTTCGTTTTACTTTATCTTTTGACAGAGGTAAAGGTGAAGTTGGCGAAAGCTGTCTGACAGCTAAGAGCTTTTTCTCTAGAGTAACTCGTCTTTTCTCGTGCTCAGCGCTTAGAGACGCACCAGCGAGATCATTCAAGAAGCTTTCCATCTCTGAAATGGTATAAATCAAAGTATGACAATCAATGGCTGCCACTTGTAAAGCTTGACATACTTTTACATCATTATTTATCAATATATTATGCATCACGTGAGTCATTTCTCTTTATCAAAGTGCATTATGGCATGATTCAAAGCAATAGTCTCTCTAAAAATGGCCTGCTACATTCCTATACCCATATCTTCACAAGTATATATCAGTGTTTTTTACCAAAAAGTTTTTTCTATGGATCGATATTGTCAAGTTAGATGTCAATCTAGTAAACTGCCCAAGGCTAWGAAGAATTGAGACATTTGGAAATAATACAAGTCCATCTACTAGCCGTGCTGTAATAGTCTTTTTGCTTGATACGATCAGTAGTGAGCAATAACGAGTACTGACAATTCACACATGGACAATACTGAGACTTTTCTCAAAATTCTAATGAAATCAAGCTTTCAGTCCCTTTTCTCATTGTGCACTATTTCAAGAAGTCACATTTTTACATTTTGTAAACCAACAAGCTATTAGAAGCGTAACTGTCTAAAATCTAGATGGAAACTACGATACATTTTTCATTATTGACAATCATTTCATCTGGGAGCGGTCGTTAGGAACTCCCCAACCTAGTTTAGAGCCACATTACTTCTACAAATTGTAGCCCAAAATAGATTTTAATTGATCCGTAAGGCTATGACACTTGTGTTGTCTACCACACGACACTATCAGACTTACTAGGATATATGTCGATCGCACTTAGGGTCCTTTCCATTAGGAAGAACTGACCTTACTTGACTGAGTAAATGGTGCTTTTTGTTGGCAATTTTCCGTAAAACATCTTAGCTTTCCACTAGATTATTAGAGAAAATATTGAGGAATTGACTGCGTCTACCTGCTAAATCTGATTATGGATTATTAACAGACGAATTCTTTTTAATTGGCATGGACCCGACCAGTTCAAGTCACACAGAGCTATATAATATAAAACAGCCTTCACTTTCCTCACATATAATCGAGAAAGTTTGAAAAAATTCGTGTTGAAAAATTAACTCAAAAGTTATGTCAGTGTTTTTATCATTGTAACGGAAGACTTTACGGTTTTGAATATCACTATAGCAACAGCCCCTAGARCCCCTTTAATTACCATCTTTAGAACATACACTCGGGCCAATGGAAAACCAACTTCATAGCAACCATGTGTGGGTCTTTCTAACGACTCGTATAATGATAATCATTTTCTCTAAGTGCAAAAACACTTCCCACCTTTTTGCCAGTAACAACAAACTTATTAAAAAGATATAATAGTAATTTGTTGTTTATTTTTGTTATAATTATCATTATTTCGAAAAGTTTCAAAAACTAACAAAAGGATTTTTCTGTCGTTTTGGAATCGGGAACCTTACAGTTTCTAATGTACTTATGTTTATAATCTTAATGTAAATATACTCCTTGATAAAAGCGACAGTTTTGTCACCGCCACTGCCCCCAACGTGTTATAATCCATTAAAACACTTATCAGCTCATCGCATTCTCTTAAAGAAACAGCATGGATAATTGAACAGACACGGAAGGTACCAGCAACATGAAGGCAAGCCATCAAGCAGAGGGAAATCCTCAGGGGGGCTAGAAATATGTTTTGTCTGGCTTGTATTTGCACAAGTTTTCGTGATATGGATTCCGTTTTGAAGACGTTTTGAAGCCATATTTGATCATTTCATGCAAAGCCACTTAATTTTTACAAAACGCTTGGATGAACATTGTAATCTGTCATTTTTCAGTGGTTATTTGACAACGGGAGAGTAGTTATACAGTGTGGCCATTAAAAATTCATTATACGAGATTATTTTCAAAACTAAAACAAAAGAGACTCTGTGCTTCATTTTTCATGCTWCGGAGTACAAAAATCATTTGTTATTATCGATTCTGTTGGCTCAACTAATCTGTAAAAATGTTTACCTATTTATACAAAAAGTTGATTTTGAWAACACTTGAATAATTCTTGCAAAATGACATCAAGGAAAGCGTGACATGGCTGATATGCGATAGCGTGTGGCACAAGTATTTAATCTGAAAAAACTGATAAATTTGACAGGTTTATCGTAATCAGAAATATTAATATGGACGTCCATGCAAAACCTTTGCCCTCAAAACCACAATTTTGGAAGAAAAGCAAATACATTTGATAATGAATAATTCGTTCGATTTTTGAACCGTCTTTAGATTATGATATACATACTGAACTTATTTTATTGTTCATGACTTTGTACTATAAATAATTCAAAACTTCATGCAACAACCTTKATATCACAATGGACAAAAAAATAATATAAGAATATAACAAACCTGAAAAAACTAAGACCATGTAGTTGCTTCCCCAGTCTGATTTCATTATTGTCTTTGACTTTTCTCTCTCGTTATAATTGTCCCAATTTCTGGTTGCCGGAACTTGGTCTGTGAAACGTGTCGAATATGTGTATATTAGGTATATATCATTGCCCGCTTCTCATCGGAACTACCTCTTTTCGGTCCCAAGTCCAACGACGAATAACAGCTAACTGTTTTAGCGGCCTGTAGAGTGGCTTTAGTTAAGTGTGTTCAATATCTGAGATAAGAACTTTGTCAGAAGCGTAGTTTTCGTGCGACAAGTGACCTCGAACGTTTTTCAGTACTTGAAATTCGTCCTATTGGCTCGTGTGCCTAAACATCCTACTGACTTCCTGTCTCTGTCATTGTTATACTGTACTTCGGGGTGGAGACGTAGATAACACAATAGAATCGCCTCACGTACGAAAAGTCATATGACCGCAGCTGATGAAAGCAATGAAAGCGCTTACACATGAAATATGAAAATCAGTKTTTATAATCGTACAACCTTTACGTTCCCACGAAAAGACATCAGACATTAATGAACCRATCGTGTTGGTGTCATAATTCATGTTTTGCTCTATTTCTAGCTCATTGGCGCTATTTTTAGAGTGTGGCTATTTGCAGAGAAAATTCAATTGACTATACATTTCTACAGTTACTTGAATACTTATGCCTTCATTTCCATCCAATGACACGATTGAACCACGGGGGGGGGGGGGGGGGTACTCGACCCCGTTTTGGATAGGTACGTGCCGCCAGCGGTCTAAATCCCTGACCCTGTTTAAGACACTTAAAAGTAAAAATCCATACCCTGTACAAGACAAATCGGAAAAATAAGGAATAGCTATCTACGCCGCAACCATCAAAAACTGCAATTATACTGACATCCATCAAAGACAATAAGAAGTTTTTGATAACACGTTAATCCTGGGACAGTGAAACGGTATTTCTACTATTTCTWCGGTGTTTTTTATGAAAATATTACCCTGTCCAAGACGCACAAAAAAATTATATCGGTCTTTTATCTAAATTGTAGAGCCTGTTTAAGACAATTTCGGGTGAAATGTATACCCTGTTTAAGACAGCAAGGCCAAAAACCATACCCTGGCCAGCGGCACGTCCCCGTATAGCAAATATATGGGAGTACCCCCCCCCCCCCCCCCCCCCCCCCCGGGGATTGAACCAAGTCTGTACGAACACATGTGTGGGCGAATTCGTCTCGGCGAAAACTAAAGCACCTTTAAAATGATATATTTAGTTGTCTTAATCACATCAGTGATATTGATGTGATATTGTGCACGTGTGGTGAGTGGACTGACAGTGGTTTAATTCGATCTGTTAATAGCGAAAAAGAATCGGAAGCAACACTCTCATTTTCGTTTCAGATCAGATCTCGTATGTTTTCATTTCATCCAGTATGGAGTGGTTTAGGATTACGAAATATCGTGCGGATTTCAAGTGCGAATGAATAGGACTAATATATTCTTTTTTTAATGTTTTTTTAAGATTTGAGGAGGGGTGGGGAGGGGCGCCTTATATATAACGTTCAGTTTATAAAGACCTATAAACCAGTAGAGTTTCCTTTATGATTATCAGAAATGTTTCGAYATATTACCGTAATATTCTGCGACTCTGCCTTGTTGGCCGCGGATATATGACGAATATCTATTGTGTAAATGCAGGGTAGTAATTGAGGCATATAGTGTTTTCAATGATCCCGATCCCAGGGCAAAACACTGATCCTTGATCCCGAAATAGAGAAATTTTGATCCCTTGTTCTTGCCAATCCTTGCCACTAGCTTTTGTGATCCTGATTCGAATTCTAAAACTCAGTTCCCTTAGCCACAATAACAATGAAGAAAATGTATTCCCTCAGCCCCAAAATAAGGCTGATCCCTGATCCCATATACCTCGTCAATAGCCTGATACATGCCAAATACCCAATATGTCAATACAAGATAAGAACTGTCCTTCCATGTTTTGTTTATATATTTTCCCGACTATAATGACAACGGTTCTGCGACAGGTTCATTCCTACTTGGAATTGTACTGAGTAGTTTTGAACCATATCATACTGATCCTCTTGTGGTTGAGCATTTGAGCACTTATATTACTAGTATTTTTCCTAATTATAATATTATATCATTGTTCCATATTTTTCTGGAACGTTAATTTAGTTTTCATTTCAGTTTATGGATGTCATCACTTTGAAATCACGAGAACTCTCTCGAGCTCATTCAGACAGCTACATCGGATTTTGTCACGTAATAAAGATTCGCTTACGATACGTGCTTGACTGAATTGCGCTTAATAAATGATACTTTGCTCTGATAAAACAAAATAGGAGAAAATACTGACCTTTCTGAGTTTGAGCGGTGCCCCGAGTGATCCAACGCTAAGTGCATGCTGATCAATAGTTTTTAGACGAAACGTTATAGCGAATCCAACCTTCTAATAATGTGACTTAAAATATCATTGTAGTCTTTTATCAGTATCGCTTTTAGTTCAAGTTCTATCTTCGGTTCTTTTTAAATCTCGTACCACAGGAATCCCAATTAACCAGATCAGGGCTTACCCCGGAAATGTTTTACATTGTGTACCCATAATGCACCGGAAGATACAGAACCCGCTAAGTGGCAGACGATGTGTGGATTTGATTGATGATTTTGCGATTTTACCTCGCCAAATAGCGCTTCCCGCTAAAATGGATCTACAGCGCGAAGAATTGCTCTCGGCATTACGAGGTAGTATAGTTAAATTGATTGTTTGGGTGCATTTCCAGAAGATTTGAGTGTATTTTTTGTTGTACCGACCATTGATCTTAGTTGGTATTTAACTTGTACGTACTTCCGGGATCTCAAACGATAATGTTGGAAGTGTAATGCAGTTTTCTTTAAATTTGACAGAGCTAAAATTAAACTTAATAGTTACTTATCAAACCTAAAGTTGATTTGATGAACTCGCGTTGGTCAGATTACAGAATAATTTCTCTGTGACATTTGTGTCAAGACAACTATGAGCTTATCCCTTTTTCCTCTACATACAATTCCGCATTCCGCTATAATAACCTTTCTCTTTGTCTAATGTATGTTATGAAAGCTAGCAACTTAAATTTTGTGTACATTATTTCTTCTTTTATGAAGAATTATCCGATCATTTTTGAATTTTTCTATTGATTTTTAGAGTTGAAACGTAGCTCCAGTGTTTTAAGCTTAAGTGCTCCCCCTCCATTCCAGAATATCTCAAAAAAAGTTAAGCTATCTGTAATTATTATCCACTAAGGGGACGCCATACTCTATAGTAAAGTGATTTTGAATTTTCAGTATTTTCAATGTCAAATTAGGTGAATTATTTTATCAATTCCTTGTCAATGTTGACAGATGCTGAAGAATTCATCTCTGTGACCCTACCGAACGAAACTCTATCTGCTGGGGCTCAAAGAAGGAGACTGGAATTGGAAATCAAATTGACAACATTAATCAAGAGAAGTRATATTCAAGAGGAGGACGATCAGGAATTTTATGATGATGTTCGAGAGAATGATATTGAGCCAGGTAATTATAGAATTATTCTATAAATAGAAATATAGTAAAAGAGAGTGAAAATATGACAGAAGATCTGAATATGATATTGAGCTTAGATATTTTGACCAATGTCTGTGGAGCATCTTTTAGCGTACAAGAACATTTCCGCTCACATTAAAATGTGACACCGTTTTATCAGTAACTATAATTATATTTGGATTGCAAATGGTATTATACTRTAGGTTGAATCAATAAATTAAGTTGAAGGTCTATTGACTTTAGGCAATGGACAAAAAAGTTCTAGCACAGCCATTTATAAAATAATCATCAGTTATTTTAATTCCTTTTAAGGCAAACTTCTGTGTTGATTGTCTGCTGTCACTCATTAAGCTATGTATCTCTCTTTTCCTCATTATTTCAAGGCATGGCAAACCAACCCAGCAAATCAATTATCATATGAAAAATKAATACAGCAGGCCCAAAATATTGATTTTCAAATTATGATATTTTATGTTTAGTCATAAAGTAATAAATTTTTCCATGTTAAATATTACTTTTGATGGTGTGTGAGAGGAAAAAAATCAATAAAAAATTCTCAACTCATTTTTACAGAAAGAGTATTGARGGTGGAAGGGGTTCCCACCAATGAGAGTACAGAAGATACTTTCCCACAAGAAAATTATGAAGTCATGTCTAGTACAGCAGAAAACCCTACAGAGGAAATATATGATGACACAATTCCAGAAGAAGAGCCATCAAAYGATGAGATTTACGATGACACAATTCCAGATGAAGAGACATCGAAAGATGAAGATACTGAAGTATATGAAGGTAAGTWATAACTTAGTATATCATACATGAAATTAAAGACAACATTGAAACTATGAGATTTAGCGTCAGATTTAGGTATATATAAAAATAACCCCGACAATATCACCTGTTTGACTTGATTACTCGATTACCGGTACCTAATCAAAATGTATTGCAGTTTCATCATCATCATTATCATTCTAAAGACTAAATATTAGGCACCTCCTCGGGTCATGTCCCTTTAATTCCAGAGTGAAATGGAATTAGAAGTGACATGGGGTGGCTGATGTTCAGGGTACATTACGATCGTCAGAGATAATGGCCTTACAGGCTGGCTAGAAGAGCTACTGGTAGTTTGTCCGATTTACAGTTTTTATCAATTKATTTGGGTACTAATCAGTTTCATCTAGACCTCATSKTACTACAWTATGACMTATTGACTCTTCATTTTACCAACTTTTCCCAACAGTTGCAGAACCTGAAAAAACAGATGAAATTGAAGCTGAAGAAACCTATGATGGAGTCGAAGAAAATAAATCAGTAAACTCTCTTGACATTCATGACAAGTCTGGAACAAAAGAACTGGAATCATTGATGAAGCCAATCAAACCTGAAGATGTTGATGGAGTAATTCTAACAGGTAATAGAGAAATATTTGTATTTTAGAAGATATAGATATTCAAAGGGAAATAGTATTAAATGGAATGCCAAAGTTTGCATGATTACTGCAATTTTCATATCATGCAAACTCCTTTGTCTGTAAATGCAGAAATTTCCAGAAATGCAGAAAAAATGTAGAAAATGAACTTCTTTAGACTAAGTTAAGACAGAGATTTCATTGATCAAATCTAAAATACAAAATAGTTAAGCATTGAACCAATGGAGCTCACAAGAGTAGTATTTAAAGAATCATAACCACCCATCGTACCTTGCGCGCTGGAATTCTTGTATTTTTTCCAAAATGTCTTAAAATAGGAATTATTTTTTACATAAAAATTAAGTAGACCCTAACAATTTCAATCCAATTTTAGGACTTCTGGACAAGCACAGAAAAAAAGGAATTTATATTGGTAGTAAATGGCAGAAACGTTATTGTGTGTTACGGAGCTTTGCGTTGTACTATTACTCAGGAGTAAATGCYRCTTCACAAAATGGTTCGATTATTCTTCCTGGATATACTGTGACGCCTCACAAAAACAACAAAAAAGAATTCATCTTAACCAGAGGAGAAGATCGCTCTTATGTAGTAAGTGAGAAAAAAGCCTCATTTATACTCTATTCACTTATGAACGAGTATAAAACATTTATTACCTAAACTCCATTCAAATAATAAGACCAGACAACATAGTAGGGGCGGGCATCTCGTTTATTCATGCCTGATAGTTTGACAACTGAAAAGTATGCATTATACAAGTGGTCATATACAAATTATAAAYGGCATTGTTTGACGACTCCAGTCAAAGAAGCTATCACTCATTGTGTTCCAAGGCTGGGCGAGCTGATGGAGAACTAGGACTAGTGAAAAAAAAAAAAACAAAAAAAACTAAGATTTGTATTAACGATGAGATGCCTTCGAATGGCAATTCATTCATGACTCACAACTTAAATACTCTGCATACATGTATGTAAATACCCATGGGATGGGTATTGCAAAACTTCGTTTACTTAGTCACCTATACTTAAGTGCTGACACGCGTCAATACCTCCCTGTGTACATTCCGTACCGCTAATAAATATATATTTTATTTGTTCATTTGTGCAAACTGCATATAACTGTTAGTTTTTATGATGATCATTGCCACATTGTTTTAAATCCAGCAAGCATTGCTGCACAGTAATAGAGGCACTTAAAATTAATACCTGATAAGTATAAAATTTCTCTTAAAATTGCAAAATAAGATGGCATTCTCTTAGCAATGCAGTTGATCTTTGATGTATATTGCACCTCTAGTTTATGGCCAAGTCTAAAGAAGATGCAGAGAAGTGGATGGAAGCAATAAAAAAAGCCGCAAGCACCACTAAGATTTCCAACCGGCAGAGTGAAATTCTTGAGCAACTGCGTCTATCAGGAGAGGGTGAGGAAGACACTGTAAGTATAAATTACGACGATGTCGCTAATGGTGCCAACAATAGTCCATTTGAGACTTTTGATGAAACATACGATGATGTTGGCCAACAAAATGAAAGCCCGCACACCAATGTAGATTTAGAGCCTGGTGATGCTGAGCTTTATGAAGCACCAGATGAAAATCCCCCAGAGCGACCACCATCACTCCAGCCTAAACCACCWGCAAGTGGCATCGAATCGTCTCCTCCACAACCCAYAAGGCCAAGCAAACCTCCCCCTCCTCCTGCTGATCTGTCAATGGAAGATGATCAAGAGATGTATGATGATGTTGGACCTGAAGCTATGCCTCCACCTCAGCCAGAAAAACCAAGTCAGCCTGTATCGGAGATTCAACCACCTGATGATGATGATGAAGAATTGTATGATGATGTTGGGACATCACAACCTCCTCCACCGCCACAGCCAGTAAGACCAAATAGACCTGTGTCAGAGATTCGACCAACTACTGAAGAAGAAGAAGAGGAATTGTATGATGATGTCGGAATCCAAGGATCTGAAGGTTAGATAATTATGATGATATGAATAATAAATATTAATTTATCATTAATTAAATAAATTAATGTAACAATTACTATTTTTTTCTTCTCCAGTGCAACCWGTTGAATCAAAGCCTCCAATACCAGAAAGACATCTGCCTCCTGTACCATCAAATGATAGCAGACCCTCCCCTCCCATGCCAAGAATTCCCCTACCACCTACCCCCAGCGAAGCTCCTAAACCAAATATTCCACCCAGGAATCCTCCACAAGAATCCAACTCACACTTAGCACAAGAGAACAAAAATGCTCCACCACCCACCCCTCCCCCAGAGGACAAAATAAACAAAGCTCCCCCACCACCACCCCCAGAGGAAGAAACAGAAGAGCAAGAAATTGATCACAATTGTATTTATCAAGCGTTATGGGATTGCAAACCAGATGCTGAAGATGAGCTTGAATTCTGTCGAGGGGATCTTCTATACATATATGAGAAACCCCACCTTGATTGGTGGATTGGCTCAAGATTTAAGCCCCAAGGTTATGAAACACTGCTCATTCCTACAAATTTTATCATGCAAGCRTATGATGTTTAAAAAATATTTATTTAGAAAACTTTTAACATAAGACATTAGAGTGCTTGTCATATAATATTACATGGCTAATGTAATTATAGTAAATGTAGTTATATGCCTAATTGAATTGACGTTGTCAGGTTGCAAAAAGGCAATATCATAGAGGTAACACCAAAGGGGATTTTAATTACTTAGAAATTCAAAATGATATTTGCCTAAACATGTCACATTATAGCATTACTCGATCATTTCATTTGGTGCAGGCAATTTTTTTGGCACTGAAATGCTTTTACACTGTAAGTGATTGTTTTCAACCATTTCCACAAGATACAAAAGATAAAAGACCATAAGCAGCCATGTTGGAGGAATGAACAATAGATACTAATGAGAAATCCTTTGTTGAAGTTCCTCCAAGATGGCTGCTGTAATGTAAAGTGAAAACGAATAATTTTTGCTTTATTCCCTCCCTTTCAGTAATCTTTCATGATGTAACCTTTTGGAAATCCACATTTTTTTTTCAATTAGGTGTATCACTATTTGGCTGTTAACTTGGTAAACAACACATCAATTATGTTGCCATTGTCGCTTGCACTGCTTTGCTTCAGTATTTTAAACTTAATGAACAAATGGCAGCATCACCATCAAACTATTTTAGTATAATATGCAGTATTTAGTACTTAGTAAAAAATAGTATTTTAGTAAAAATTATATATTTTATAGTAATATTTCACTAAGCCAGCTTTTGAGCACAAACTATATTTTTTATAAGAAAATTGGGATGGTCAATATTTTATAGTCRCTAACCATACATTTTTCTGCAAGATACATACACAAATTTTTAATATTAAATTTGCACAAAAGTGTTCATCACTTGGACCAGAATCAGAAATTAGTAAACAATTGGAAAGTACTTAAAATAATCAAAAATTGGAAAGTAATAACGTAATAAAATGAAACCAACCTTCATAAAAAGTGGGCATCTTGCCTGGTTTTCACTAAGTGATAAAAAACAACTTTTGGGATTAGGACGAGATTAGAAGACGTTTTTCTTTGTTTGTTCTTTTGTCTTTAATTAACTTATTCTGTATCCTAGACCAAGTGTCTCTTTGACAGCCCAATATCACCATGAATGCTTTGCTCACAATAATCATGTGTTACACAGATTGGAATTATTTTGACAACTATTTCAAAACAAAAACTCCCTGGTTGAAAAGCTTTGAGGGTGATACTTGGTCTTTTAGATAATTTACAAAATTATATCAATTATGTTGAATAAATACAATGCAGGCCAGTAGGAACTGAGAGAGGGGTTAATTATGGCTTGTTGAACAATCATCAATGCCACATTCTAAAAAAGAAAGTATTTTATGAATCATGGTCCATCTTTTTTTCAAGCCCTTTCATGATACGCCAGTCTTCTATTTTCTACTCAATCCAAAGACAATTAGATATTAACTAATATCCACAGAAGTAAATAAACCACAATTTACAGATGTTTAAAGTCATTGTTGTCTTYTTCATCAAGTGTATCTTGAGTATGTTGATGAGTGACTGTTKCAGCTTCTTTCAAGTCCAWCTGATCTTTCCATGCCTTGTAGAAACCAAGAAATCCAAGCTTTTGCTTTCTTAAGAACTCTCTCTTTTTGAYTTCTCTGCTGTCATCTTCCTGCCAATTAAAGAAATTGAGACCAAAGATGTCATAGTACATGATACAATATTGTTCTAAGAAATACTAGGACTGCAATGCATAATATATCAAAATGGTGTAAACTAGCAGTAAACACCAAACTATTGKGAGCTGCATCGGTGTTTCTAAAGAAATAGTTGTGTAATTAAGATAAATTTAACACCGTAAAAAAGTAGGTGAAACATCAAAGTTAAGGCCAGGTAAATAAGGAGAAATTATAAAGCTTACATTGTTGGAATCTTTTTCAAGAAGCGGTCTTGAAACTTCATTTAAAAGTTGAATAATTTCTTCTGAAGGCTTGACCCCATCTTTTCTCATTTTCTGTGTGAAAAACAAGCACATTAMGATACAAGTCCAGAGTACACAAATGATCAAATGATRCATAAACATTAATACRTGTATGTGAACATGGTTAACAAACCTTGAGCAATTCAGTCAAATATTGAAAAGCATTGCGGTGTATAGCATTTTTGATTAATTTAAGGTATACATTGACACCTGGTCGATATCCTTGCACCTGAACAACAATAAAGAACAAAATAAGAAACAGTTCTATATCAAATTCATTAATAATTCATAAGGTAAACGCAATGGAAAATCATTGCCGTGACCACATCTTTATATGAGCAAGAGATTTGTCCTGAGTTATATACAACTTCGATTTTCTATTTAAAATGAAAAATTTTAAAAATTTATCTTGAAGTTTTTAAATAGCTAAATATACTTCAGCTTGTGCTGGGATTAGTAAATATAAAATACACATGTCTGATCTCACTTGCTACTCCTAATTTTAAAGGTCGAAAAAGGTCTTATGCTTATATTTCATATATTATGTATAAAGGATGTGCAATTAATCACAAGTATTATTATTGATTATTATTGATAATTATTACACATACTTTCATCTCCTCCAACAACCACATCCCATCAGCCATCCTTCGACACCCTTTTGCAAGGCTATGATAAATGTTTTCATCTGCTGCAACACCATATTCCTCCTTGAAAACTTTAATATATTCCTGAAAATAAATTGATGTAATAATAATTTTTTTTATTCAGATAGTATTTTCTTTGATATCAAAAATGCTATGAATTACAGTGAATTTGTTAATGATTCAAATAATAGAAGAGCACCTACTTTTGCCCAAGATATATCTCCCCAAAATGCTCTTCTCTTAACCAATGCATTCAGTACAGGCAAATCAGGTTTGAAATCCCAAAATTTCATAACTTGAAGAACATAGTCCTCTTCGCTTTTCSCTGGGTCAGACACTTGTAAAAGAAGGTGAAATGTTCTAATGTCCGGWATTACATCGTTMACTGCCATCATTTGTAGAAAATCTTCAACTCCAGCAAAAACACTGGAAGTCTGAGTWTCTCCTGGTAAAACATCCARCATGTTATATTCACCAGGCATTTCTGTATCAGATATGTCCTCCATGTRTTTCTCAGACCCTTTACTCCTCAAGGCCTTTARAACTGCATTAAAAATGTAGATATCTGGGTTGATGTTATGAGATTTCATCTCTTTTAAGATCCATTGCACATTATCAGAATCATACTGCTCTGCACAAGCTGATAGAAGGGAAGAATAAGTACGACTTTCAGGGTGAATTCCAGCASWACATAGGTTACTATACATCTCCATTGCTATGGTAAAACTATGGCAGGATGCCGCAGCCTTCAATGCAGCATTATAGGTTATTATGTCTGGTTTGACAATCTTGGACTCAAGTTTATTTTGAAACTCTTCCCATAACTTCATTAGTTGAGACAAGGCAGCATTTTTTGGCGTAATAGAACTACAAATGTTGAAYAAACTTGAATATGTGCGAGCAGTTGGCTGAAGACCCATCTTTTTTATCTAAAAAAAATAAAATAAAAACATTAGTTCCTCATTTATATAAGGATAGAAAATAAAATTTTGAGTGTACATACATTATTGTAGTGATTAAATGCTTTTTGGATTTTYCCAATCCGACCATAACCTGCTATCAWAATATTAAACAATTCAACKGATGGCTTGATTTTCTTTGTTCTCATAGACTCAAACAACTCTTGGGCCTGGTCAACCTACAAATTAATATTAATAAAAAAATAATAATTTAATTGCAATTAATTAAGCAATTTGTTAAGCAAATACTAAAACAAAACTTAGTCATCCATGTCTTGTTGCTGTATTTCATACAATGCTATAACTGCCTTTCATTTCGTTTTATTATTACAACCTTCGATTTATTGATAGTCCCCTTCACATTTTACTTTCTTAATGGTAATTGCACCTTTGCTTCAATTTMCAAGACAAAASAGCRCACAACGATATAAACCTATGAATAATTGTCACTAGGTATGAAAGATGTTTTGCAGGTGCATGCTCACTGTTTTTCTCTYTCCCTTCAAATTTATAATAATAGACTTTTCTCATTCATCTCATCATCATGATTCATCTATAACTCCATTATAGAAATGAATTTTAGACACTCTGTGCACCTTGTTTTCTGACATCAATTTTAGAATCTGTTTGGTGTACCATTCTAACTTCTGCTTTGTGGTTAACGAACCACGTGACCTCTTCATCCAAAAACCATCGTCATTGCTGGTGTCTCCAACTTCATTAATTTGATATCTGGACGGTCGTACTAACTTCGTGGTTCCCTTTTGAGCTGCGGTGAATTTTGAAGCATGCTTTCTAGCAGCCTTTCGTTTTAAAGATCTAAATTCATCATTGTGATCATCATCATCATCTTCAAGGGAGGGATTCCAGTTTTTCGATGCCGTTGTACTGACGCCAAACCCTCTTGCATTTAAAGTGAAAATTGTGTGGATGTAGACACAGTCTTGATAATTAAATCTAAACGGGATTGCTACTTTGGAACGCAAAGACGTATATAAATTTGTGAAATTTGTTAACTGTCTGAAACTACGAGCGGCAGCCATCTTGTTTTGATCGAAGTAACCGCTGATATCGCAGGTTCAGAAATTTTAACCGCAAAGCATTCTGGAGCATGCCAATGCAGGCCACCAGAGCGTGACAACACGGAGAAAAGTGAACTAGGTAAACACTGAAAAAGTGTTCATTTGGAGTACTTTTACAAGTAGAGCTACAGGTAAACATTGCGTGGAGGCTCTTTAAATGTGGTTTTAAGTGGTTAAACGTTTTGTAGCGTTTAATTTTTGTTTGYTGTAAATAGGAAGCAGCGTCATTCTGGCGTGACAAATGAACTCTCGCTTACTCTGGACTTTTCATTTCCAGTCGTGAAAAATGACATCACAAAAGTTTTTAAACTTAAAGATTATTTTATATGTTAGCTTACGGAAGGTTAAAGCAGATGAAGAAGTTGTGTTTCARTACGAACTTTGAGCGGGCAGATTAGTTGGGTTTGTAATTTGACACCTCAATGTTATGTGACGTTTCGAAACAAAGGCGTTTTCTTTTCCGGCTTCGGTTTACAATGAAATTTATTCAAATATTACAATTCAAATATTCAGGGTCAACAATTTGCGTAGGAGTACTTTGTACACTATGATATTTATTTCTACATTATTTCACCRAAAAAGTAATGTTTTAACAATGTATGCTAATCGAATCTCTGTCACCTGCTATAAATTAAAACGGCAAACTTTTCTAAAGGGTGTTCCCGCTGTGAACATGTATTTTCCAGCATGTCTAAAGTGCATGTTTAKAACTGAATTTAAATCTTACCATGGTCCAAGCATTTTTTATTTCAGCTTGCTGTAAGTATTTTCTTTTAATCTGTTGATATTTCCATTTTTTTGGAATATTCATAAACATGAATCCTGGTAAAATATGTATTTTAGAATCAACTTAACTTTCTTGTCAACCTTGTCTGGATCCCTTGAAAGATCCATGACAATTCTATAATATGTAAAATAATGATTTCTTCTCTATTTAAGCTATCTACTACATTATTCTTGTTTTTTTTTGTTTTTTTTGTTTTTCAAATATAACGAATTTTAATATTTTTATCCTTTATGTCTGTTTTATTGTTTTTTAGATAAACGGAAAAGTCAATGATGCACAGAAAAATTAATAATGCACTGTTCGCACTGTCTCATACACTTGTGACACAGCACTGAGTTCTTTTTTGTGTGTTTTCTTTTGTCTGCCCCATATAAAGTTTATTTCTTTTGTTTTTGTAAAATATATACCTTCATTTGTTAGATAAAWCACCATCCATTCATTCATGTTATTCAAAAATAAGTAAGTTTATAGATTTAGTAGCAAGTTCCCACATAGCTGGAACTATAGAGATCTAGATTTACCATCTAAATAAAACCTCTAGTTTAGATGCAATGAAGGCTTTGTCTTATTTAAACATTTGTATCACCGCAGGACATAACTGTACACGTCTGTTTTAAATTTTGTTAATGAATGGCTTCTTCATAAGAGGAGCAGGTCTTATTCACGATAAGCGCTGTCATGGTTTTTATATTGTAGTAGCTAATTAGCCACACAGTCTTCCAAAGGGCAAAAGAACTTTTTTTTGCTTTCAATTTAAAAACACTCTTAGAAATCCCTTCAATTTTAACTGATTCAGTTAATTTATATAAAATTATTTGAAGTTTTTATTATTATTTATATTTATTATTATTTTTGATTATTGCAACAAAGAGAAAAATATCCAAGYTCCAAGACTGACAAACTTACATACATATCTTTTAATATGATATATAATGTTTCAGGCAAGAATGCATGGTATAGCGAATCGATTCTCAAAATTTATGTTKCTTTTTAAGTTTGCCCCTGGAAGACTACTTGGTTAAGTTGCATTACAATATGAAAGCCATTATGGAGGCTATTGTGAATATGTCCTATTTGCTTGTTTTCCATTGAATTATAAACTGATCAATCAGATATTTACTTAATAATTTATTCATTCAGAAGGCAATAGGGTTGACAAATACTGGACAAAATGACCTGTAATTTGTTTTTAAGACTTATAGACCATGGACTCTCTCTATCTCGTTTTTGAATTATCATGCAGGAATASTTTTGAGCTATCAAAATATTTTAAAGCCTGGGAATCCGTTTTTTATTTCTAAAAATATATCTGTTTGTGATTTCCTTTGGATTAGAGTGTCACCACAAAGTTTATGAAAGCCGTTGTTTTCTTTTTATTTGAGATGGTATCCTTAGCCATTTTTTGACCTAGGATACAGAATTGTGTCTCACGTGTCCTTTTCGTACTTTGTACGCTTCCGTGCGCTTGTTATTATTTTAAAGGGACATGGTCCACCAGCATTCAATGCGGTCGTGTTTTAGATTTTTCATATATGGAAAATGAGGTGACTTCGAATATCTATTAGCAATCCGTTTCCATCCATCGGTTTAAAGGTCGAATCTTACAGTATCTCCATTCATATAGTATAAAGGGATGATAATGAGAAAGTTTCTGCTTATATTACGATGCATTTTAAATTTCAAACATGAGCAAAAGCTGGAAAGGGATGCTGGTGGACCACGTCCCTTTAAATGAAGACACATCAGATTCTCTTTCTTTACATGGAGACAAACGCACTTTATGATGCGGAAAGTTAGCGGCGCAACTATATTGRACCTGGAACCTGGTCATTTTAAACAGCTTTTTGGTTAATTTAAGAACGACATGGTCGCTTAAGGAATTGTTTACTCAACCATTTGAATATCAATCCGTCACTTGTCTCGACKCTTTTTAGCTTTTTTATTTCGATATCTGAATAAAATACATTATTCCCAGACTTTTCTGTATCTATGGAAACCCATATGAGTCGTCGGATGGGGGTTAYCTTTTCTTCAGTTTGCTATTGAATACTTCGATAATTTTTTCCTCTAAGATCTGCGCAAATCCAGGAAGTATCAGGTACTAGTAGACTGTTGGTGTAGTGAGCCAGTCCCTGGGTCTGGATCAAGGCTTGATGCGCCCTTCTGGACGTTACGTTCCTCCAACACAGGCTACTGGTGAGGAATTGTAGGAGAAACTGCCACAGCTCGTAATTCACTATAAACGATACTTATCTTTCAGCATTTATCTCTCGATTTTTTATCGCTAGATTAAACTATTTGCTAAATATAATTAAATATGTATGTTCGGGCTTGATATTTAGACATATTGGTTAAAAGCCGGCAGGTTTTTGCAGGTATAAAAGTCACATGGAATTTTGATTTTACATCAAAACTTTCCAGACACGATCTTCAGCCACGCGTTAAATCCTCATGTAATGTWAAGTAACGAACTATGGATGTTRTTGACAGGACTCAAGCGRAAAACTCACCAAGTCGCAGCAGTGGGATTTCCTCTTCAACTCAACAAAACAGCCTTCCAAGGAACGAGAGTTTCATCAAAGCGCTTGACGAGAAAGATCCCAAGTCCGTGTCCTTCAAAATGCCCGATCCAGACGAAATTGAGTTGGTGGAAAAGGGAAATAAACGAATAAWAAATGGGACATCGWATGGGAAAACTAGGAAAGATACAGATCTGGTTAGTTCTAAGGATTGTGCCATAGATTTTGTCCTTGTTTACGAAGAACAAACCGACCTGGATGAAGACGAGCAGGCGAAGGAAAAAGAGCACGAAGAAAAGCGATTGTTCTTTGAAAGTTCGCTGCAAAAGAAAGGGTTACTTCTACAACACGTTAACTCGGATTTAAATGAGGTATGTCAAAATAAATAGATGTTCTTGGATACACAATTATTAGTGTTTTGTAATTGTCGCGGTCAAGTAGATGTGTAGTCAGTCAAGAGGAACATGACAAGTGTTGCACTTGTTATTAAAAATTGTTTTTCATAAAAACTTCGCCGTGAAAAATGTGTCTTGTTTATACCTGCTAGTGGATATTCGAAGTAAACTTCTAATATCAGATGTGTTTTGAATTAAAACCGCATTAATCTTGGTCGGTTTGGCGGTTGTTAGGCACAAAAAGTAACATTTGCAACAGAAAAAAAAGAAAGAAAAAARAAACTCGTGATGTTTGATCAATGTATCCARWTAGATTGCAAACACTAAAACCCTACAAACTTCACTAAGTTGATGTACTGAATTTTATAAGCTAATTCCTTTGTTTTTACGTTGTCTAATCCACACTAGTTTTCTCTATTTCTCACTATTTGGTTGTTTCTATTTCACGCTTTTGGTATTTGCACTATACACACCTTTATTAGTAGAATTTGTTTTTGTTGTTTAATGTCTTGATGTATCGAGTTAAAATATACATTGTTTAAGTATTAGATGGGTTTATTATCTACAGTAGTTCACTAAGTCGTAGTTAGCGTATGCATTTTAACTTGTTGGAAGCCTAACGAGAAATAAACTGATGGAAATTCTTCTCTGCTGATTATCAGTAGTATTAACAGAAAGAGAATGACATTGTTGTCAACCGGCGAAAGTCAGTGGTTTACTACAAATGTCTAGGCTTTGTGGTTCGGTCTACAAAAAAAACCCAACAAACTTGAATGTGTCATTGATAGTGACAATTTCTTTTTATTTTTCAGAAATACAACAAAGTTTTCGTTCTTATTCATGCACCTTGGTCCGTCTTAGAGAAGTGCGCTGAGGAAATGATGATTCGTGTCCCAGTTAAAGAGCCCAGCCWTCCCTTGCAACCTGTYGGTTGGAATAGAATCTATCATAAACTCCACGACATGATGACYATGTTCCATCATCGAACATGGGGCGACCACAAAGAGCAGCGAAATGTTAACGCGTTCTTCAACAAAGATAAACAAAATTTATTTCTAAATTGTGAAGATAAAGTGAACTTTTTTACTGACATCGACCGAAGTAGRATGGTGTCACGSATTCTTGACGGCGCGCACTTTTCCAACGAAGTTGAAGATTTCGGCATCAACAGACTTCTTTACGAAAACACCTACATGGCTGCTTATCCMCTGCACCAAGGCASCTACGAACCAYCAGAGTCGATACATCCGTCAAAATTAAGTAGACGKCAAGGYTTAAAGTATTCGTGGGCCTCATTTGGTCAGTGGTACAAATTCCAACCCCTCCATGCAATCAAAGATTACTTTGGAGTCCGTGTCTCGATGTATTTTGCCTGGMTKGGTGTSTATAACTACATGCTCGTAGCGGCGTCTTTTGTCGGGTTGTTATGTTTTTTCGCAGGGCTGTTTTCCATGGATGACTTTATTCCCGCCAAGGAAATCTGCAACAAAAATAACTCGAAGTTGTTCTACATGTGTCCGCTGTGYGATGTAGACTGCAGTTACTGGAGTCTGACCGTTAGTTGTAAGTACGCTCGGYTAACSCACTTRTTTGACCACGAGGGGACGGTATTCTTTGCCGCCTTTATGGCTTTATGGGCAGCGGTTTTTCTCGAGTTTTGGAAGCGCAAGCAGATAAGTCTTGCATACGAATGGGACATGATGCATTTCGAGGAAGAATTTGARCCKATGCGACCAAGTTTTGTTGCAGCGGCYGCAGGAAGAGAGAAACGCCCAAATCCGATCAATGGAGAGCTCGAGCCATATATCCCATATTCAACGCAACTGCTGCGACAAACGTGTTCAATGGCTTTAGTGGCGTTCATGGTRTCTCTTGTCATTGCYGCCGTMGCTGGCGTCGTTCTGTACAGAGCTGCCGTCTCGGCCGCGTTGTACGCCTACCCTAACGAAGACGTCCGGAGAGGAGCACGCATCATCACCTCCATCACCGCGTCTAGTTTGAACTTACTGGCTATTACAMTCCTCAGCTATGTTTATGATAAAATCGCATTGTATCTGACCAACTGGGARAACCCAAGAACCAACACCGAATTCACCAACTCGCTGACGCTCAAGATGTTTTTGTTCCAATCTGTCAACATGTATTCATCTCTGTTCTACATCGCGTTCTTCAAGAGTTCCATGATTGTTGGGATTCCAGGGAGCTATAATAGGATCGGTGAGGGRAGAATGGAGGGCTGTGACCCGTCGGGATGTTTGATTGAGCTGTGTATCCAATTGGCTATTATTTTGATTGGCAAGCAGCTTATTCAGCTTGTCATCAAATTTGTTATCCCGTAAGTAGCTTTTTCTCTTTCATTTTCATTTCTATTTTCTTGTTCATGTTTCTTCTCCTTTGATTGAATAGTCCCTCCCTTCTCGTCATTTCCCATTTTTCACACCTTCGTTTCAAATAGCTGCCTGACAAGATGGTGGAACAGAAAACAACAAAAAGACTTGCTCGAAGATGGMGAACTCGACCAGTGGGAGAAGGACTATCTTCTAAACGCCGAGCCTGAGTTCAGAATGTTTTACGAATACCATGACGTAGGTACGCTCATTCGCTGTTTGATCAAATGTTGTTCCTGATTTTCCCGAATTTTTGGCCATTAAGATTTTTTGGCGAAATATTAACCATTTGGAAAATATGGCGTTTATGTGATTTTTCTACAACGACCAGAATGCTGTGCGTTTTTCTAGTGCAATTATAAAATGCGCAAACCATTCTGGTAGATGAAGTAGTGTATGACATCATCATACATATGTTCCGGTAACTCGCTTGTCCGTGATATTAAAGGTACCCTGAAATAATAAAGCTGGAAGTCATTTCTTTTGGTGAATTCTCAGGAACATGCTCCCTCCCTTCTCCTCCCTAATTACCAAACTAACTCGTCTTCCCTCCATTCGCAGTTATACAGTATGGCTTTGTGACGATGTTTGTCGCCGCCTTCCCGCTCGCACCATTCTTCGCTCTTTGCAAYAACATCCTGGAACTTCGTATAGACGCCATTAACTTTGTGGTGAACTTYCGCAGACCGGTTGCAGAGAGGGCTCGTGATATTGGTTCTTGGTTGGGCATTTTACAAATTATGAGTCAAATAGCAGTTATTGTGAATTCATTTGTCATTGCGTTTACWTCAGAGTTCATCCCAAGGTATGATTTGTCCACTCGATAGGCAATTTGTAGCGACGCCATTTTTACAGCAAAGCATGATGGTAGTTGTAGTCCTCACAGTTATGATAGACCCTAAAATATCTCCTTAAAAGACTTTTTTACGTTTTCTTTGTGGAAAAGGGAAAACAACATATATTTTGGCTTAGAAAATGCAAAAAAAAAAAACATTTCAGAAGGACTGTTTTAGCGGGCATGGAAAAGTACGAAGACTACAACTATCATGCTTTGCTGGCAAAATGCTCGCAATRACGAGAGAGACGCATCAGTGTTGTCACAATAACTTCTTTCAGGCCTTCGTAATTTTCAAGCCAAAGGAGCATGGCAAATCCTTCTTTCATTTCACGGGAATACAGCTCCATCTGGGGAACAAAACAATGGTTTCAAAAAAGTGTTTTGTTTTGTCACCGAGATGAAGCTGCCTTCATTGTTTCTCTTCCTGTGTAACCCAAACATAAGTAAACCTTTTCATTTGGTATCTTAACMAATTCCCTTGTGTTTTTAGACTGGTGTACCAACACGTCTACAGCCCCGACGGAACACTAAAAGGATATGTCAACGATAGTCTTTCGTACTTTAACGTATCAGACTTCGAACCTCAGTCAATTCCTAAACATGTGCGCGCTAATTTGGACTACAACTTTACACATTGCAGGTTGGTATCGAGGTGAAAAAGGCTAAMAAAATACTACAAGAATAGAGTGCATTCAATAAAAGAGCGAAGCGCTAATTGTTTATAATTTGTGCATAACGGTGCCAAACAGTTAACCAAAGAAGTATCGGCGTAAAGTAATCCTCGTGTTTCAAGCTGTTTCTAAATGCACTAAGCAAGTACGCTACTAAATATTGCATAATCCGTGACATGGTCCACCAGCAATCAATACGGTCGTGCCTTAGACTTTCTTATATATGCGGGCACAAATAAGGGAGCCTTCAAATATCCATTCGCAATCCGTTTCCATCCGTTGGTTTAAGAACAAAACTTACAGCATCTCTTACAGTGTAAAGTTTTTACTTATATTGCAATGTTTTTTGTTTTGTTTTTGTTTTACGTTTTTTCAAACGTAAACAAAACCTCGAAAATGTTGCCGTTGGAACATTCCCCTTTAAATTGTTGGACAATGAAGTCAAGACATGGATAATATTGATTGATAGACCTTAACCAATCACAAACGAGTAAATATCTTAAGCAATAATGAAGATTTATGTCTTTTCTAGATATAAAGAGTACTTCGAGTCGCAATACCCATACCGTTATGATCGTCAATTTTTCTATGTCCTTGCTGTAAGATTGGCTTTCGTCCTCATATTCCAGTACCTGGTGTTCTTCATTGCAAAGTTCTTGGACTACGCTATTCCAGATACACCTTACCACTTGGAAGTCAACATCAAGCGAGAGAACTACATTTCTAAGAAATGCCTTTCAAAAGGAGGCGTGACCGTCACGCGTGACTATGATGGAGAGTCCCAAGCCTCAACGTACTTGTCATGCGAAGAGAATCTTCAGATGAGACATCGCGGTCACCAACTGGCTGCTGAAAATGAAATTTRATTGGCGAATATACCTTTTGACTTTAACAAGGTGGCGTGACTGTCACGCGTGACTGTAATGGARAGTCACAAAACTATACATCCGTGTCACGTTAGAAAATCTTCAGAAGAGACATCGTCACCAATTGGCTGCTGAAAATGAAGTTAGATCAATAACCCATTAGTGTGCTTAAAAACGTTGCGTGACAATAACGTGTGACTTTAGATGAGGCTCCCCTTACATAATAAATGTCCCATTTTCTCGGCTCAAACTTCAAATCACAATGCCCATTTTACTGCCTCTTCAGGAGCTCATCTGTAGACAGTGTTCAATCGTTTATTTTCGTTTTAATACTGCGGTAATAAAGGTTTGTTTTTCATATTCCTGCTTGAAATTTTTGATATGAATATATCCCAGCGAGGTCGGAAATTAATTTTTCAGAATCTATTTCCAAGGGTCTTTCTCCCGGAATAACCTCCTTCTCAGCACTATAACTTTCCTATTTCTATATCTTTGAAATCTTTTAACGACCTTAACTTATCGCCGGAAGAGCCAACTGACAAAGATTTAAAGTGTGGATACATCTTTTAAGTGTCATCTTGAAGATCYAAATCGATTTCTTTTGATTTAATAAACGTTGCGACGCGGTCACGACTCCGACTTAGACCGAAAAARAATTATGGATAGAAATCTTGCAGCGATTGACAATGAATGAAATAAAGCGGTTTATCAGTGAAAATAACACATTGGAGGTTTCTCCATATAGTGGAAGTAAGAAAAAACGTATTTTACGACATAATTTGCTCTCTTTATATTATATGATAAATATATGGAGATACGGATTTTATCTTCGAGTGTTGAAAAGATCTCTCACGAGTGAGCGTAGCGTAAACAAAATTCGTATCTCCAGCATACATGTAACTCTATTTATCATRTAATTGTATATTTTCGTAAAGCCGTGAAGTACATTTTGGCGCACTAGACTTTATTGCTCTTTATTGTGTACTTTTTTATCTGTCTTTTTCCGAAAGTCTCTCTAGACCCGTGAAACACTTTCTAGGGTTTACTACATTATCATCACACTTTGTTTCACGGGTTTTGGAAATCACTCAAAATACGGTTCATAGCGACCGCAGTCAATATTATCATGCGCGAAAATGATTGGAAATCAATCTCCACTGTTTCCTGGTTTCCGTCTATTCGCGTAGGAGTGAGACCGGACYGGGACAACGCGTTTTATAATGGAATATTTTGTCAACATGTGGGTGATGTTTTGTCGAGTCCAAAATGTCAAGAAAATATTCACAAATATCACATTTTCTGTTATGTTTTTTGGTGTTGTATTGCTCTTTGTTTTACATCACATTTGTTTTCTTTGCCCTTTTTGTTTGCTACACTTTATTACACTTTAACTGCTACACTTTGTTTCATGGGTTTASAGTAATTTTCATTTCGTGAAATAGAGTTCACTCTCCAAAAGCCTGTGAAATACATGCATATTTAACTTATTCACCTTAGTAATTCTAATTGCATTAGTTCTTTTGTGTTTTTGACTTAAATAGTGATGACCTCGCTCTATTTTATTGCTCTGTATTTTGCATTATTTTTATTGATCTTTTCGGCCTTTAAGAAATCCAATCCAAATCCGTTAACTACGCTTTGATGTACTACACTTTAATCTTTTTTTTCATATAAAAACTTTATTGACAWAAAGCAAGCTAACTTTTATCTTATATTGCGTGCATGTTTTTCTTAAATTATAAAAACTCCTCTACTAGTCTATTTTCTATTTTGATCAGTACTCCTTAATTGTAAGAAAAGTGCTAGTGTGATCATGATGTGGCAAAATTAGATTCCCCACTGAAAATTAAATGAAATGATTTTCTTATATTGTCGAAAAAGACAACTCGCGCGTCAACAACTCAAACTGAAATATTTTTAGAAATGTAGTCGATCTAAATTCTTCATTKCGTTCGTATTTTATTTTAGAATTTCTATTTTAAGTGTCCAGCTGTCGCTTCATGAATAAATATTTAATTTCTGCTTGCTAAAATGCGATACGTAGGTGGATGAGTGGACGTTGCTATGCTCTTRTGAGTGAAGTTACTACGGCGAAGATCTCATTATTCCGCGAGTATTTTATCTGTCATTTGCGTCCGTTGCAGTGGGAGTTTGTTTTCCAAGCCAGAAAACAGGGGGTGAAGAAAAACCAATATATTTTTCTAAAACAAAATTAAAAAAGATACTGAGCTGTGACGTCTTACTTGAGAAAAACCAAAAAAAGTTTTTCGGATCGATTTATCTCATTGTGAAAAGAGCCATCATAAAATTAAAGTTAAGTTCTAATGGGGGCCCTGTTGCTGGGACAAAGTCTAAAAGTAGGCAATCTACTTCTTTTCAAAACAATTTCATAAATTTAATTATTCAAAGGCAACGTATTTCCTTATACTTTCTGGAAATTACCTTTTTAGGACGATGAGGTCCTGAAGTCGTCATACCGGTCAAACAGGTTTTCACAATTGTGTTTCATTCAAGCTGTTTACGTCCGTCCCGTCAGATGATGACGCGCCAAAATAGATACTCACAAGAATATACAGATAAGCATTGAATTGCGACAGATATTTTTTCTCAAAAACAGGAAAYCATTACGTACTACATGGGGTGGTTCCGATATGGGAGGAAAATAACAGAAAACAACTAGTACGTAATTATAGGCAAATACTTCAAATTCATGATCTCATAAGTCTGCTGTTCAATTCAGCGCCATTAGACATGTTAGAGGCGGCACACAAAGACCAAAGTTTTAAACGTGTGAATCGAACTGCTTACGCTTATGTWTGCGTTGGTTAAAAATATCGAAATGAAGTCGGAAATGTTCTATCATAGAGACCTTGAGACGCACCGTTTCCGTCTACGCCAGTAAGAATACGTGCAGCGTATCCGTATCCGTAAATACGGCGTGAACTGCCTCTTTCACGGGGAGGTTTCGAGTGGACATTATCAGTATTTTGGGAGTCACGGGACGTCTTTTGTGGAAGTCATCCTTACCAAACCGTACAAGTAGGCAGAAACGGTTTATTTACGGCGAATGAAACATGTTTTATACATGTTTTATGTCCATGGCGGAAATTTTAATATCCCGKCGAATTTCTTGTTACAGATCACGTCTAGTCTCTCTTTCACAGCCTTTACCACTCTGTACACACACGGCTGTGAAGGAGACCAAAAACGCTCTTTTCGTATGTGGCAAAAAAAATCCGCAAATATAGAAATCTCTGCCATTGTTTGGTATACATACCAGCCATTAGGCTTTATTTAGCAGATTTAGGACTGTTGCAGCTCAAACAGTTCTTTCAGTTTACTGTGGCGTACAGTTCCGTTGGGAAATCCCGTGTGTCCGCGCGCCCAAACGTACACCAAAAACTTGAACGGTTCCGGACGGGAACGGCCGTCCCGTATAAACGAAGGATGATCGTTTTGCGTAAACCTACGTAAGAATATATGTACAAGTTATAGACTTTTGACAAATAGCCCCTTTTCGCAAACACGGCTCTATGACCCTCTATTTTACACAGACCGACGTGGTCCCGGGGAAGGAACGCGTGGTATGGGTACGGCTGCATCAGTTTAGACGCGAAGTCACAAAGTCTACGTAAACGTAAATAAATCATTTGATTTTTTTAGAGCGTCAGGAAATCAAAAGACAATTTCCCCTCGCTGTATGCTAAGCACGAGACCTTAGAAGGAACTTGTGACTAGTACACGAACCTGCCAATCACGAACTATACGTAAATTTTAGGGTGCTTGCCATAAACCCGTGAAACACATGGTCAAAGACTCAACGTGTAGTATGGTGTTATTCAATGAAAGACAAAGAAAAAAACGTGTACAAGAATGATTTTATATTAAAGTGTAGTGTTCTTAACTGCATTTCATGTTTTTTTTATGAAAGCCCCTCTTCAAGACCCAAAAATTTGCCAATATAAAGTTCACTAGTTGTAGCATCAATGATTTGCGGCACTCTTCTTAAAATAATATTAACGGTTTACCACTAAATACAGTCCTACATCTCTTAGAGCTATGCCTTAATCCTGTTCTTCATGCAATTACAATTTCCGAGAATGTGTGTGTCCATACATGGTTGTTTTTTGCCTGCAAAATGCAGTCAGTAACTTCAATACGATTCAAGATGGCCGCCAKCACGGTTGTACAGTAGGCCTTTAAGCTCCCACAAGCGTGAAATGATATGATTCAAGTGCCAATTGGCAATAGATATCAAATTATATTTCAACTTAAATGATTTCTTTTGCGATCGACTTTTGGAGTGGTTTTAAACTTTGGCATTTATATTTTGTTTCATAGTTATTCACGAGCAGTGCAGTTCCTCGAGAGCAATCAATTTTTTGTTTGTTCTTGTTGTTGTTTTTTTCTTTTTGATAATTATTTACTATAGCCATTCAACTTAGCGTGTATTGGTCATCATATGGACAGTTATCGATTATAAAACAATTGATGCTGTAATAATAATAAATTATATTGGAAATTTGCTTGGGTCAGTGTCGACTGACGTAGTCAGGCTGTAACCTTTCTTATTTATTTTAATTCATTTTTAATTCACTTGAAGTTACGTGCCTATATGGAAACGCACTTTCAATAATCAAGAAATAAATCTAAGTCCTTACAAAKGGATTAAATGCAAGTTCCGGCACGTATGGGTCCCTAACAGAGCCTGGAAATGACTTCTTAACGATTTCTTTTTCCGATCATATAATATGAACAGTTTTCCGTCATGGCCCATTCGGTGTGTCCTTAAGATAGACGTTACAAATGTTTTCAAAACTAATCCAGATTCAATCGTTAGGATTGTCTTGCATTTTTTTTWGTGCGTGTTTCCCCACGCTGAAACAACGCGTTCATTGTTGTTATTAGTGTGACGTCCATCTTACACTTCTTACGTAAAGGACCGTAAAGATATCGAAGTGTTACTGTTAGTTTCGACTACTCCTATCTCTTCCTGTAGCCTTAAAAGATTYTAGAAAGGAAATAATGTCCTCCAACTCTCTAAATATATTTGTTTGCAACATAAGAATGTAATACTTCAAAAATACAGGGGAAATTATCTTCCGTGCTTCCGTGAAACGTAGCCAATTTAGGGCAATTTCTTGGGTGATAATGCGAAGGGAAGTGAGTGTTTATGTCAGAAAATCTAAGAATTAAGCCTTGTTCTTTAGTTTATAAGCATAAGCAAATACATAAAMAGGTCCTCAATTAGAAACTCGAGGACAGAATAAGGAAAAGGCTAGTGAGCGGGCGCAAGAGCAAAAAAATAAAAACACACCTTCGGTTTTCGTTCTCTGCGGACCTTGTTCTTATGACAGCCATACGCATAAAAACAACAGACACGAAAGCAGAGATTTTTAAAAGCTCATTTCGTTTGTTTATGCAGCAGAATTTCTCGAAATTTCTATTTACACAATTACTAAACTGAATGATAAATGCATTTTAGGGATTAGGTAGTTGAGACACAGAGCATATAATTTTTAACAAATTTAGTATATTACGCAAGTTTAATTTCACATAAAAGCCGTTCAAAATTGTCATGATTTCTCATACGTTTATACACAAGCTATTTATGTACAAAGTTTAAATATCAAATTGGCAAAAAGCGTTGAGTTAGTTATGAGTCAGTCAATATACCACGCACTATGACGTCATATTGTTTAGGTTAATATTACGGGCTACTTTCAATGAATGGATATGAAATCCCTCGGGCGAAGTAAATATTGAATTTCGAGCCCAGAGAGCCATGGAGCTACCAACTGAAGTCATGGATGTACAACAGCCAGTTGAAACAGAAACTAATCCTCGTGCCGAAGGGATATTCGCCGCTCAGTGCATTTTAAAGAAGAGAACTCGAAAGGTTTGACTAAACGTGGATTTCGTAGCTAGATTTTCAACGTGATACCAGATCATTTCTTTGACGTATTTTGAAATCGTTTAGGGCCAAGTGGAATATTTGGTCAAATGGAAAGGCTGGTCTGCTAAGTGAGTACAAATTTTCTCGTACAAACACCGATTGACATTCCCAACAACTATGATAATTTGTATTTTGATATTTCAAGGAATAATACTTGGGAACCGGCCGAGAATATACTCGACGGACGGCTGATTCTGGCGTTCGAGAATAGGTAAGTTCGTGTCAAAATACGAGTTGTATGACGACATTCCGTGGTTTTGTATTATTTTTTGTGATTAGATGAGAGTTGTGCTTAAATCTTCTGGATATTTTTGTCGTTTTTTAGTCGTAGACGAAGAGGGAAAAGACCACGATGGCAAAGGGGCATTGCTACTGTCAAGCGAAGCAAATCTGACACGGTATGACCGTCGGTAGAACAGGCCATGTTATGATCTGAGATCACAGACACAAACAGTGTGTGGCTCGAATTGTATTCTCAATACGAATATATAAAATGGCAAATTTACATTTTGTGCTTGCTTAACGATTTTTCATTGCGATGTAGTCTTGTATTTCAAAATCCATGACGTAAGGTAGTGATTTTTCGCAATATCGCTTGATCGTTGACCGTTTGTTATTTTATCCTACAGGGGCCCGCTTACTCAACCAAAAGCAGCGAAATGGGCTATGATTGGGAATATTCCACTCAAGGACGGTCAAATCTACGAAGTGCTCGAGATAGCGAAAGCAGTGACTCYACGTATAGTTTTGATGCAACTTCGGATCTTGTAACTGATGAAAACAACACGTCCAGTGCCAGTTCATATTCTTCCATATCTCCTGGACCTCCAAATGAACAGGAAACAGCGGTAAATAGCGACATTTCTCAACCGCATGGYAGAACTTCCCCAACGACGTCGAACGAGCGCGGCAAAGATACTTGTAGYACCAAACCAGCTCCTCCGAAAAGCGAAAAAACATCTTATAATATTCGAGATTTGTTGAAAAACACGTCTCCCGACCCGCCGAAACAACTTTTTAACTTAACAGACTCTTTCAACACGGAAAGYTCCACTAAGGTTGCCAGTGAAGGGTATGATGTTATGAATTCAAGCTCAACTCAGAGTAGAGACTTTTATTTGCGGCCTATAGCAGACGAAGTTGGGCCTGAAAATCGTGCGGCATTGCCGGGGGATGGAGCGATGCTTTACAACACTCCAAACATCCAGTTCCGACACAATAAAGAAACTTTTGCACGTAATATGTCCGATTCGAACGGACATATGTACCAGCCTGTTGCAGATAAGGCCCCTTCCTCGCTAAACATGGGAATCTTTACAGGAGAGATTAAGGAAAACGCACTCTCAACGGGCAAAGCGAGCTACAAGTTSATTGATGACAGGACAGAGAAGGCAAGAGTTCCTCTACTTTCAAGCCGAGTTACAAGCGTTGGATATACACCAAGTCACACMAAGTCCATCCAAGGTAATAMTGAAGCKGAGAAAACGACCWCAGAAGGGCTAGCTTACTGGCGCAAGCCMCTGATCGACCAGATCGTCATAACCGATGTAACGGCAAACTTCGTCACCGTGACAGTCAAGGAGTGTTTAACGGATAARGGGTTCTTCAARGCTAGACCTAGTGGGATCGTCTAAACATTGCCCTTTAAATTGAAGGAAATCCGGAGYTATCCGTTTAATGGAGAGAATACAACGAAACATCTACAATCGCTTCCCGCAAATTGTCGTTTTAAAAACTTGAAATCGTCGRGTTTTGTCGACGGGCGCTGGTGTAGTCTAGTCTACCAGTTCTACCAGTTTTATCCCMCAGTTACTGGTATTGTAAATTGAGATGTATTCCAAAAAACTGTAATATATAGTTCATGTGTTGAATACAGAGATTTCTTAGGCAGTTTTAGACACTGACAAGGCTCAGTTTTATCATAGTAGACGAAACGTATGTATACAACAGTATTGTCATTGAAAAGTGGCCTTCGGACGACATGAACTTGTTGWATAGCGAAAATGCGGAAACTATTGGTTCGTCGTCCTTCATAACATAATATATTATCGACGAAGAAAAAAAACGTAAGTTATAACAAAATAGTAGATTTTAATTCTTGTAAAAACCAGGTGAATTGAGTTGGGGTCTATAGTAAGATGGTATTTTATATTTTAAGTCGTCTTTTTAGATGAATATTACATTGTGTAGAATCAACGCGGAAGTAATWCTGAGTGATGTGGCGTCTGGAACCGCCAAATCAGTGTGCAAATTTTATAGAWTATATGATGTTTTTGGTAGATACTRAATTGTTTGACTATAATGTAGAAATTTCAAGGGAAATTTTCAATGTGCTGTATAGCTCACCGAACTCYCWACAGAGCCGGCAATGGCAATGCTAGCTACCTGTATGGATACGGTAATAATGAGTCGAATTAGCAAATGGTGTTTCGACAAACTACTTGGACAATTAACCATGTGTGAGAGCTATTATTGTGGTTCTCAAGTTAAAAACTTTGTAGCTGTAGTTGCAGGTGAACTTAGAAAAAGGCTAATCCGATGATTACTCTATCATATTTTTTTTGAATTGTCAGTTGCGGAAAATTTTCGAAAAAGCAAGTGTTAACAAGAAGGYTTAGCTTGAAAAAGATTGCTATTACAGAATACAATGATTCAAAAATCGTGTACAGAACAGTTGACTCGTCATGTATTTTTGTCAGTTCAGTCGTTGTAGCTTTGTAGTCTCTAGCATAGAGTTTAACTTTTTAAAAGGGGAAAAATACTTATTTTAAAAACACTGAATAAGAACTGCTCCTAATGGCAGTTACTTCTTTCTGATACAAGAATTAGTTCTCAAACGGCTTCTACATTGGTCAATATATCGTAATTTATTAAACTACTCCAGGCGTTTGGTTGTGAAGTTACAAGCATGTAATTTCCCTTTCTATTGAGTTCCACACCGCAGTTTTATTTTGTAAAACAATGTAGGCCTTTTAGGCCAGTGAAACGTATAAAACGTTTTTATTAATAAAGTCGTCAGTAACTGAGGAAAAAGAGTTATTATTTATTGTTATTGTTCTCGTTCATACTCACTAGACAGGACGTTGATAGATGACAGACGCGCGCGCGGCAGCCTCAGTCATGATCTCTCGCAGTTCTGTTTCGATTCCAACCTAAACATTTTGCTTTCTGTTGCTATTCTATTTCACTTTCTGTGGCATTACGTTTTCGAGAAATTCAGTCTATTAAGTGGCCTTTCAGCTTCAAGTGCATGTTTGCTCTTATAACATGACTGTGAGGTAGTTTCTAAGTTCATAGATACTTGAGATCCTCATCTTAAAAAGACTTTATCCTTTGTTGGAATATGGGTGACCAGAAACTATTAAAAACTCACTATTTYTAGTAATCGACGTCCGATTAAAACCACTATAAATGAAAGAGAACACGACGTTTTAGGCCATGTCGACGCCAAGATCTGAAAGTAAACGTTTTTTGTCWGGCGTGCCAKCTTAATGTCGACCAGCGAAATTTTACAACTCTTCGTCCACGCGTTCTAAGCATGGCCTCGACAGGTGCGAAGGCCACGAGTGGGGAAGTCGTGAAAAAGAGAACGATCGATGCTTGTGTAATTAGGCGTGTGACGAATCTATTGATTCTATAATTTGACGTTTAATAACCTGTAACGMTCTATTTTTCTCCTAGTTAGAAATTATCCTTATAATCCTCTTTTTTAGAGACATAAAAAATATGAAATTCAGTCGAGGTGATCGCGATACACTAATACATCTATAGTGTTTTTATATGAAGATTAAACAGATGATTGCTTTTGAGTGACATGGCTGCTGAAGCACTAGCGAAGAGGTTTAGATAGCTTGAGTGAATTTTRTCTTGATCACTTTTTTTTTGTTTTCATTCGTTTATTATCAGTTGATCTCAAACAGGGTTATATWGTCTTATCGCCTTTTTTCCGTCACAACGCGCCGTCGATAATTTTTGGCAGATTCATACACAATTTTGATTCCACAAATTCCTCGCCGGGGAAGGACAAGAAATTACATCCATGCAAAGCGACCGCCTTGTCTCTGTATCCGTAATCATTTCCTTCATCTAAGAATAAGAGAAGCGGAATTACTGAGGCCAAACAACGAGGCGTAGAGCGGAAAACTCTAGAGAATTCTCTGAAAAAGACCCCAAAAAACTACTAATAGAAACATCACCTTGAGAAAATCTCTATTTCTGTCGGTTATGACATATTAATCTGGATTAATTGATTCGTCAGCAGAAAATAGATTTTGTTTTCTCTACGAAATATACAGTGCGTCAAACAWTGTCACAACTTCAAGAGAAAYCCCGACTCATTTCAGCGGCTCGGACACATTAGCTTAAAAACAAACCGCTCAACGCAGTATGAAAAAAAACTTACGCCAAGCTGGCGCGCTGGGCAAAATCCTACCCAGTATTGAGAAGTGGGCCGACGCAAAGGAAAATCCGGTTAAAATGCACATGCAGCCATATAGTGGGATCCCCTGGCAGGCACAATGTTGCGGAACTATGGGATATCTTTAAGACCGGCCCCAGCACGTTGCCTAACATCCAACTAAAAAAAATATCATGTCCGGCACTGATTCTTAGCTCATGTCGATATTTGTCATAAAAAAAATTGTGCGACATTGAATTCTTACTTCGTCGGGATTTGTATAATAGAAATTATAATGAAAAAACTCTGTAAGGGTCTCTATCAATGTTATTGTAAGTAAAACAGTTCGAAGTAGCGAAACATTTCCCTCAACATTGTATAGGAAAAACAAAGCGCGCGACTGCATGAAATGTAACATTGTTAAAGCGTATAAAAAAGGCATTTTATGCAACTCTTTATTTTTAACGAACTGAAACATTCATTTGCCAAAAATGGCAAATTGGTTACATTATTGTCAAAATGATGTATTAATCTCTGTATTGTGGAAAAATTAGCGCTTGAAGCAAGATARACGGAGCACAAGGCTAATTAATTCTTACGTTTAATKAGCATAAGACTTATCACTGACAAGYGTAAACGCTGTCATAAGGTAAAGAAAACTTAAAATCCTATATATGGACTGTTTTCACGAGCGTATAATTATACTTCTGACAGCTCCGCCAATAAAAGCAAAATCAGGGACATGCTTGTTTTTCTTGCTCATGTATGTTTGTGGAAAATTTTGTGCTTGTCGCGTGAGAACACTCCTGTGCTTTGCTCTTAGAAGAGGCAGATATCGTGCAAAAAAACTTTCGTACTGTGCTGTGACGGTGTGACCGTGCCGTGTCTTGTCCGTTCCGTGCTCCGTGCCGCAGTCATATGAAATTCGCCCTATGTCGCGTGAAAACACGACAAGGCCCATGCTGCCATGCTTATATTGCATGTGAATTGCTTAAAAACTCTTAGCTTCCTSCGATGAAAGTATCCAATTCGCAACTCGAATTTACATAATTAATATATCAGCTAGCATTCCATTTAATTACTGCAGGGCCCTTTGCGGAATACACTGGAAGATCTTTTGCACTCTGGAACAGTCGCATCASACATGATATTGCTTGCGATAGCTGCAGTTTCTCTCACGACCTATAGGACCCGCGACTGTTTCGAGCCCCGCCCGCATCCCCATCCCATGTGCAAAAATGGCTTTTAAATGTAGGCATTGGTACTAATATTTGAAAGTTTTGACAATTTTACTGAGGCAAGTGTCTTTCTTGATTTTATACTGCACTGTGACTRCGGCCGAGAGACCGCGAGACCGCGTAGGACGTCTCTGGCAGGMGAAGTTCTTAGTCCCATATCTAGGGATTATCAGGAACCAGACTTGAATTTTATTAACAGCTCCARAATCGGGATCTAATTTTTTGGAGAAGATCACTAATGTAGGACCATGAGTCAAGTTGTGATCGTGAATAACAAATCCGGCCGTTTTGTGATCTTCTCCGGATCRATTGGATATACGGTCGTGGGTTCAGACTCTGAATACAATGACTAGAAAATAAAAAAATGGCGACTTCTACAGCCATTAATATCATTGAACATGAAAAAGGTTTCGTGTCGATCTAGATAAGTGTTTTTTTATTATTTAGAAGTTATATCCGTTAAGCCCGAGTCTTTTTCTCGATTTTAGATGCATATGTGCCATATGGTACTATGATAGTAAAATACTACGGGTTCAGTTAGTATTTTCACAAAATATTATTATAATTTTAGAGCAATACCACTTTCAAAAAAACCATATTTAAGAGTTTCCGGTATTATATAAGAGTACCTTATTTTCAAATGACCCTATTATATTTAGAGTATCCTGTTTTGAAATGACCTTATTTAAGTATCCCATTCTCAGACTTTCCTTATTTTGAAGAGTATATTTCATCTTAATTCAAATGACCTTAGACAGGTTTTATCAGTAACTCGACATGGAATGTAATAGTTAGAGCCTATTGTGAATAACTCGGAAAAAAATGAATAATATACAGACAGTTTTATAAATACAAGATGAATTAACTTAATTAACTTAATTGAAACATACRCACGCCGTTTTTTGAAAATAAGATTCTTAAATGCAGTCTTTAGGTGAAAGTAAAATACTCATCAAGAGTAGACTGTATTTATTAAGAGTATCATACTTTTTAGTGAATTTTAAGACGAAAGACTTCAAGAGTCTTTTGGAAGACTTGGAACTGACAGAACTTGTAGCAAAGCCTTTTGGGATGTTATGTCATCAAACACCGAGTCGAGGCATTCAAAATGGCCGACGCACCGACAAATACAATGTCTACAAAATAGCTTAGCTTTGCAGATGTTTTCCTGCRCCGTTTCCGACGAAAAAGCCAAATGCTAAACGCTTAGTCTTATTATGTGATATTCCAGAAAAAAAAGACTTCATTTKTGTTCGCCTACAAGAAGAAATAGCAATTTACTAATACGCGTAAGTTTAGCTTACTACATGTGCATCACCGACCGGGACCAGCCAACTTCATAAAATTTGACCAAGTGAAGTCCTTTCTCGTAATAACTTCAAGCATATTACTACTACAATCAGTTTTAACTTAGAATGGATGAAGCAGATAAAGCAATGGACAGCGAAGCCAAAGAAGAGCAAGAAGGCGAAGAGGAATTGACCAAGAAACACAAGACAACAACCAGCTATGGCTTTTCGATCGATTCTTCACGAATCCGAGCMGTGCCAGTAGAGGAACAGTCCTCCGTGTTAAGAAACCTTGGCATCGATGTTTTTGACCAAGAAGAGTTTGAACAAGGAGTCCTCAAGCAAKTAGACGAGGCAATAGCAGCAAAAGAGTTAGAGGCTGACATCAAAAGATGGGAGAAGGATCTCAAATCTGTGAACGAGGAAATAAGGTAGGTTATTCAGGGTACAGTGCAGTMCAGCTATTGAATACCTCTCACCTACGTTCTATACCTGTAGCTACTCTCTATGGCTACACAGTGGCCACAATAGATTGGTAACTAACTCCGTCAACTCTTCATATGATTATTCACCATTCTCTAATGACACAGGGAGACCGACAGTTGAAATGTGACTCATAGCTGCACAACCACTTTGCATAATGATATGTCATTCTACATGCACATCACTTAGTAATAGATCTTTGGAGCTTTTACGTCATGTACCATATACACAATGCATATTTGTAGGATGTATTTGGGATAGAACATGTTGGATTTCTTTTGTTTTCTTTAGAAACTGATCCCATAATACATTGGAAATCAATTAGTGACGTAAAAGGTTCAGAAGTCTATTTACTATTCGTAGCAGTATATGTAGAATTACTGGAACCAATAAATGTGTCCACTTTATGTCCCATAATGCACTGCGTATTGAAAGTAACATTTATCAACACTAAAGTTGAAAATGGCAGCTTTTGAGTTTCAAAACGTTAAGAAAAAACCTTTTCTTACTATCTTGTATATTGAAATAATAAAATACATGTAGTACTGTTTAAAATGCAGCAWTGCTCATCAATTTCTTCTGTACCAGAATGACACTCACAGAGATTGATCAAATCGAAAGAGTTTTGAAAGGACTTCAGACCTCTGTCACTAGTAGTTATGAATCAAGACGTCGAGAGGAGGCTGCAAGGAGGCAGTTGGACAATAAGGTGTGATCATAGAAAAGGAAGCATTTGCTGTGGGTGGTCCCCCCTCCTTCCAGAGATTTCATTAAATTTGGAAGAAGGAGGYTTTTCTGAAAAAGTAACCCCTATATGAATCATAAACATAATTTGGAAATAGGCAGACTAAAARCCAAAATAGATGCCAGAGTGCAACAGCTGGCTTCTAATGAAATCCCTTCCCTTCCTTTGCAGATGAAATCTTTGAAATATGAAATTCAATTTTCCAGTTTTGAAACTGCACAATTCTCCCATATGAAACTCCTGTATATGTCACTCAAGTATAGAGCTGTATATCTGAATGCCAGAAATAAGCTTTGAATTCTTAACTTTTACAGATGAAACAGYTAAAGAAACTTGAAGCAAGTCAAAAGTCTTTGAATAATAAACTTGGTRTTAGTGTTGATGGAAAAGAAAAAGAAGAGATTGAAGAGACTGAAGAGAAGCATGGTAAGGTTGTCAATGATGAACGTACTATTGTAGTGGGGCAAAAATAAGAGTGCTTTATGTGAACAGACATCTTTTAACCTAAAAGATGCTTTGATTGGACAATCCAAGTTACATGTACACACCCATGGACACATACACAATATGAAGTTAAATGAGAACTCATTACATCTTTAGCCACAAAATTTAGTACACATTTCAATATTCCAGGTACACAGCAAAACATCCTTCAAGACAGACTTCAAATAATGAAGGAGCTACAAAAGGAAAGAGAGCAGTTGATAGAAACTGGAGAAATGACTCCTTTTGGTGGCAGTGTTAGTAAAGCAAGCACTTCAAGGCACGATGAAGATGAAGCCACAACATTTGACAAGGACATTTTCACAGATGATGCTGATGATAATGATGATGAAGCACCACCTGTCAATCAATCTGACCATGAAATGGACAGTGAYGAGTACATCCCAGATGAAGATGAACTCAAAGAGAGCTGGTATGAAGGAGAAASAAGAAAAACAAAAAGTGTAAAGTCAAAGAGTTCAAATGCTCTCAAAGACCAACAAGTGAGACCAAATGCCATTTACAGAGGTGAAGATGCAATACAACCAAAGCCAAAGAAACATCGAGAATACTTTAGAGACGCTCCTAATGATGACGGTGATGATAATTCCTATAAAAACAGAATAAGGTTTGCAGATTGATAAAGTAGAATATAATTTGGTTTATAAACCCTTTTAATAAGTCCCGAGGAATTGTGTTCTCCCCACTTGACGTCAAATTTATTCTTTTGAATTCCTTTTGTATTGTGAAAATTTCAAAAGAATAAATTTGATGTCAAGTGCAGAGAACACAATTCCTCAGGACTTATTAAAAGGGTGTATAGTAGTTTGTTATTTACCTTGGTTCCAAAGGTTTTGTCTTCTTTATTTCTAGATGTTTTTCTTTTACTTATAAATGCAAAAAAAATTCAAAAAATATAAAAGAAAGAGGTCTTAAAAAGAAGACTCTTTTGGAACCAGGGTAATTGACATTTGATGATTTTTAATGATATTGGATTTAAAAACAAAACAAAACAAAAAAATAACACATTTCAATCAACTACACATTTCAAAAAGATTACAGTAGTCATGTATGGATATCTTTAGGATTAGTTATTTGTTATTTTAAAGGGAGGAAAAGATAAAGAAGTTACTYAAGGAGCAAGCTTCAGAGAGAAATCCTGATGCTGAATGTAAYAGTGATGAAGAAACACCAGACATGGAGTTTGACAACAGAATGAAGATTCCTGGTCACATTTGGCACAAACTGTATTTGTAAGTCAATCCTTACCTTACAACTTGGATACAACAATTTTGGCATAAATGCTAACAATTTTTATATTCACACAACATTTATAACATTTTTCATAGATTAACCTTCCCCCCACTTCCCACAATGCAATGTTGTTTTCATTATTTTCCAATACCAGGCATTCCTTAACCCATAGCTGCAAAATTGATGCATGGGGAGGGGTGTTTAGAGACAAATAATGTCACTAGATCAGATGCACATGATAAAGTATTTTTGTCGTGAATATAATATGTACAGTTGTCAAATGTTTTTGTCCAAAATTGTAGCAGCCCAAGTTGTTATCTTAAAGTGATAATGTTACAATGAAACACTATTGGTGACGGCACAGTATCACACTGTACACCTTCTACCTGACACATTCAAGGACAAAATCAGAAACAATTCCAACCATGACAATTACTAACCTATTAAGACTTAACCTCTGTCTTCTTTTGTTTAACCTTGAGTAATGTGTCTTTACAGATACCAACAAACTGGTGTGAAATGGTTATGGGAGCTTCACTGTCAACATGCAGGAGGCATTATTGGTGATGAAATGGGACTTGGCAAGACAATACAAGCAATTGCCTTCTTAGCTGGTTTGAAATACAGTAAAATAGGAACCAAGAAGTCCAGGTACAAAATGATATATTGAGACAATAAGTCATAGATTCAACATGTATTACAGTAAGGATACTCTAACTGGAACCACTTGGATAATGCATATATTAAAGTAACCAATCATGTTAAAGCTTTCAGTTCAAGATCATAATGAGTGTAGGGCTGATGTTTGATTGGTTAATTCCATTGTCGATGCCATCTTCATCATATTTACTGCTCTTAGATTGGCTGGTTTTGTCTGGTCTTGGTTAGAGTTTCTTTACTGTAATAAGGCTAGGATTTTTATTTATTTACAATAAAATCAAGGCTATAAATTATTTACAATATGTGCAAAAAGAAAAAATTGAACGTTTTYGACTATGAAGTCATCATGGTCATCATCAGAAAAAAAAATTGTTTCGTTATTTACAAAGTATTTGATATTTACTTTGCTATAATGGTAGGAAGATACCTACAGGTCATAGCCACAATTACTATCAATAACTCCCCCATAAAATGACAAATAATTAACAATGATACGTTTTTTGGTCTAGGGCTGGTCTAGGTCCCATTCTGATAGTCTCACCAGTCACAGTTCTTCATCAGTGGGTGTCAGAGTTTCATAAATGGGCTCCAGAATTTCGTGTTGCTGTYCTMCATGATACAGGATCTTATCAAGGACATAAGGTATATATATAGAGGATATTTACTGAACAAACAAACTGTCAGTCAATCATCACTTAAATCAAGCAATCAATTGTTCAAATAATCAGTCAATCAAGCACTAGATCAATCGATCAGTTAGTCAATCAGTCAGTCAGTCATCAATGGATCAATCAATCAATCAATCAATAAATCAATCACTAGATCCATCGATCATCAATCAATCAATCAATCATTCGATTAATCAATTACTCAGTCAATCTATCGGTAGACAAATGGACAATATGAATGAGATAAATAAGACACATAGAATTTTATTTAAATCAATAAAGAAATAAAAAATTATAATAAATCCATAAAAATGTAGTAACAGTTAAGTAAATAAATGTAGATAACGCATAATTATTTATTATTATAATTTTCCAGGATACATTGATAAGAAAGATTTGCCATGCTAATGGTGTACTAGTGACGTCATACTCAGGAGTGCGCATGAGCATTGATAGCTTRTTGAATAAACATTGGGATTACGTCATATTAGATGAGGGTCATAAAATACGAAACCCTGATGCAGAAATTACACTGGCCTGCAAACAGGTTTGTGTTGAGCAATAAAAGTAATAGTACAAAACTGGACGCCCATTTGTAATACTCCGATTTCGATTTCTTGTTTGCTCTGTGTTAGCCTCAAAGCCAAGCAATATATTCTTTTGTTTCATTGATGATAGCCCAAGAAAACGCATGGAATTTGAAAAGAAAGACAATTATAGAATTGATTTTAAATCTCACACTTTTATTCTCACAATTAGGAATATTTGCGCGCAAATGAGGCTAACAAAGAGCATTGGAGAATTCGAAACTGGATTATTGCGCGCACGGAATTGAAAATTATTTGAATGAAATCAATGAACTTGCACTGCCTGCAAACAGGTTTGTGTTGAGCAATAATAGTACAGAACTGGACGCTCTTTTGTAATTGCGCGCACGGAATTGAAAATTATTTGATTCCAATCAATGAACTTGACCGTTAATTTTCTTGCCGAGCGCGTTTTAAGACTAGAAACTTCGCAACTCCCCAACTTCACAACTACATAATGCTGTGTTTTTCATTATCACATACTGAATTTAAGGGTTCAATTCTTTTGTATTTCAGTTTCGTACACCACATCGTATCATCCTAACTGGAACTCCCATGCAGAACAACCTACGTGAACTGTGGTCACTGTTTGACTTTGTTTTCCCCGGTAAACTTGGTACCTTACCAGTTTTCATGACRGAGTTCTCTGTTCCAATAACTACTGGTGGCTATGCTAATGCATCCACAATTCAGGTATACGGTGCTTTCGTGACAAATGTATCGCTATAGGGCGTGACAGTAATATGTATGTAGAGCTTGCGTGATGTGTTAGGCGTGAGTGACATAGGTACATGTATTTTGTGCTTCAAGGACGTGGTGTGTCGTTAAAATAATGTTSATGATGCGACACTATGTGCATTGCGTGACACAATATGTCATATACAGTTATGTTTTGATTGCATGACGTAGTAGAGTCCTACGTCACATTGTCAATTAGACCCCGTTTGGAGCATTTGGCATATGGCATGAGAAAATGCTATAACGTGACATAATATGACGTGACGTGAATTATGACTTGTTCCAGGTGCAAACAGCATACAAGTGCGCATGCGTACTACGAGATACCATCAATCCATACCTACTGAGGCGGCTGAAAAAAGATGTCAAAATGAGTCTTGAATTACCTGATAAAAACGAGCAGGTTTGACTTTGAAGTGATGACAGGAATTACATTAGTAGCATATATTATCAAACATATTTTTTTGTTTTTTCCTTACACGTAGGTGTTGTTTTGCCGTCTTTCTGAAGAACAGCGAGAGTTATACCAACAGTATCTGGACTCAAGAGAAGTCCAGGCAATTCTTGCTGGAAATTACAAGGTCTTTCCTGGTCTAATCATGTTACGTAAGATATGTAATCATCCAGACCTGACGTCAGAAGCGGGTTCTTTAGTCAAAGCAAATCAAGATAAAATCAAAGCCGAGAAAGGTCTGCTCCAGGGTCCCGCGGATGAAGACGATGGGTACGGGGATTGGCGGCGAGCTGGTAAAATGATTGTAGTGGAAGCGCTTTTAAAGATGTGGAAAGCACAGGGACATCGCGTTCTGCTGTTTTCTCAGAGTAGACAGGTGCGTCGCATGCAACCTCGTTCACAGGCCTTAACTTCCCGATTCCAAGCGAGAGGACCGAACCTCTGCAAGTAAATAAGGGATATTTTTAAACTAGTAGGGAATTTTGTAATCGTGGTAAAACCTAATGGTCGCTTTTGGCGTGGAGATAACTGCGTTGTTCTCTTTCCAGATGCTGAATATAATGGAAAAGTTCGTTGTGTCCCGAGGGTACTCCTACCGGCGCATGGACGGCAGCACCTCCGTTTCAACCAGACAACCTTTAGTWAACAAGTTCAATACGGTAGGATCATGATCATAATYACAGTTATAGTGCTGTTATTGTCATAGTCAGAATCATAATGATAGTAAGACTTTGGTAGCGGCTTATTCAAGTCTGCGGTAAGCGATATAACTAAGTAAAAAAAAATTAWAAAGACATGGCTAGCTTGAACAAAATATATGCAGCTAGTATACAGCTTCTTCTATGGACGTTAAAATGTTTGATAAGAATTGCCATATTTCATTAYGACRTCACATCAAAACATTTCATTGTTTAAGGATTATGGTCGCCAGATTGAATCAGAAAGACTGCATATTAAATAAAATSTACGAGCAATCTTTGATGCATAACATATGATCAAAATATGATCCATTCAAGTTCTACTTTCAGAGAGAATATAAATGGTTCCAAATTTCCACTGTTTCTGAGTATGTAAACATATTGTGACGTCATAGTGAAATAGGGCAATTGATCATCTGTGTTTCCAATCATTTTCAGGACACGTCAATCTTCGTGTTTCTTCTGACGACACGGGTGGGAGGACTGGGTGTGAATCTGACGGGAGCAGACAGAGTCATTATTTATGACCCAGACTGGAATCCAAGCACGGACACGCAGGCCCGTGAGCGATCTTGGAGGATTGGGCAAAATAATAAAGTCACTATCTATCGGTTGCTGACATCCGGGACTATAGAGGAAAAGATATACCACAGGTAACCCATGAACTTAAGTTAATTGAACTGTCTTTGTCGATAATACCCGGGCCTATGAAATTGCCCGTATATTAAAAGTGCCCTTAATATAGAGGTTGCTTAAGGAAGACTTAATTATATAAAGAAGGACCTTGCTTTAGTAGCTAGTCATTTGTTTTGCCTCTTACAGAGTCTGAGTCGCAAAGCTGCGACCGGAAATATTTCAGAAATGTGTGCTTAAAAAGTGATTTTATATGACACACAAGAAAGCAGGATTAAAAACATCAATGAACAAACTTTGTGTTTACTCTGAACAATGAAATCGTATTATTTGTGAGCTTTTAAATAGCGTTTTTATTGATAAAATATTTTTATTATTTAAAACTTTTGATCAAATTTGCACGTGAAAATGCACTTGGATGAAGGTTAATCTCGCTTCTGATTGGTCAATGAACAATAAACATCCCAAAAATATTTTTACGAAGTCGCAGCTTTTCGATTGTATTGCAACAAATGTTCACCACCATCACTCGTTTACTTTTTTACTTTAGGCAAATCTTCAAACAGTTTTTGACAAACCGAGTTCTCAAAGACCCAAAGCAAAGGCGATTTTTCAAGTCGAACGACCTGTACGAGCTTTTCACCCTGGACGAGAGCTACAAGAAACAAGGCACCGAAACCAGTGCAATATTCGCTGGGACAAACTGCGAAGTGAAGGTCAAGAATCCAAAGAAGCGTAAAACAGACCCAAGAGAGGCAGCACAGCCTGTCAAGAAGAGTAAACCTACAGTGAAACCGACTAAAAAATCTAAAATCACCAAGAAAGAACCCATTGATGATGGAGGTTTGTATCAATGTTAATGTTCAAAAGTATTACGTCAGGTTTAAGCAGCGTATCACAGGCTAAGTTGATGCAGCCTTAGCTTTTGATACCTGACAAGGTTTTTTCATTATTCTATTACTTTAGTGCTGTGAATTGGTGAAAAACAGTTCACTAATACTATAACTTATCATTAGGGGCTTTCAGTATTGATGCCAGGGATATRATAGAGATCAGTCGTGCAAAGGAGGCCGATCAAGCGGAAAAAAGCAAACATGTCTCCACTTCTGAAGACCACAAAGAAGAACGCACTACTGATGACGTCAAGTCCAGTAATGACGTCACTTCAACGGAAAATTCCAGCAACATTGAWTCAAGAGWGGAATCTAGTYATGACGTCAGTCTACCAGCAAAAYCCAACGATGACATCACTCCGAGAAGCAGGTCTTACAAAGACGTCAACTCTGGAGAGAAATCTAATAGTAGCGCCACTCCAAGAGATAAATCTGCTATTGACGTCACTGATGAGGGTAGTAATGGACATATTACATCATTAAGTGATGACGTTAATTTAGGTGCACATTCCGCATTTGAAGGTAACATCGTGCCAAACACTAACTTATCTGAAGAAGCAAACTTAAATAATGTCAAAAATGACGTTAAAAAAGAAGTAGTGGAGACAATCATCGTCGATTCACAGGGGTCAGCGGGAATCCTTGAAAGTAAAACCGTGTCAAGTAAGGAAGGTCGAAAGAAGAAGAAGCTGAAAGCTTCAACGTTATCAGACAGAGAAATAAGAAGATTAACTAGAATAAAAAAGAACAGAAGGAAAAGACAGAAAAAAGGAAGTAAGTACTRAGATCCCATTGTGGATAAACAATGCTTTTCCTGCATAAAAACTGATTTGATTTATACATTGAAATTTTTACGTCACCTAGGTGATTTGCAATGTATTGTGCGATCAGTTTCTGAAGAAAATCGCCATGTTTTCTCCAAAACATACCCTTCAATGCATTGCGTATATGGTATTCACACATCTATTATTTTCACTATTTATTGAAGGAGATGCGTTTTAGTAATTAATGTCTGTTTTTTCAGTTTTTCAATAGAAGTAACTATTTTGCTGTTCTTTCCCTGCTCATGTTCAGAATATAAACACGTTTCTTACCGATATGTCTTTGCTTTTCTCAGAAATTGAAGGCCACGAGATTGACAACCTTGATTATCATGAAATATACCATACTGAATCGAGTACAGACACCACTGACCGGCCTGCGGCAAGTCATAATGAGGACGCAGTCCTCACTGCGTTGTTTAGGAAAGGCGGTGAGTACTGGGATCCATGTCTAATGTTATAATCCAATTAAGCAGGATCAACAGGAATTGTTCACGACGTCATTTTGCGAAACAAAGCATGATTAGAGATGTGTTACGTAACTTTTTCATGTCCGCTAAAATAATGCTCCGTTTTTGCTTTTTCTTTGCGAGTATACAATAGTCGTGTGGTTTCTACAAAGAAAATATAAAAGTGGCTTTTAGGGATGTTTTTAGGGGCTATAAAAAAATATATGTAAAAGTGCTCGGACTACAACTACCATCATGCTTTGTTGCGCAAAATGGCGTCGCTGCTGCTAGTTACACACAAACGTCTATTGTTTTCGTTACACGTAGAGCTTTTGCATTACGACAGGTATTTGAAATGGCAAAAGAATATTTGACACGCCTTTAATACTAAGGCTGCGTGAATAAGATCTCGAAAGCTTGTCATTAATCAGTAATAACGATAATAATAGCAAATACTTTTAATTTAATAATAATCCTTTTTTTCGCCAGGCGTTCACAGCGCTCTAAAGCATGATGTCATTATGGATTCTGGAAACCCTGATTATTCGCTGGTCGAAAGCGAGGCTAATCGAGTAGCCCAGCAGGCTGTGCAAGCGTTAAAGAAGTCTCGGCAGCAGTGCTTAGGAGCGAGGTCTGGTGTTCCTACCTGGACTGGCGTATCTGGTCTGTCTGGACACTCGTCAGCCCCTAAACCAAAGTAAGACTGTCACACTTTCAATCACGTGTTCAAATTGTCTAATGTATAATCTATTTATGGGATGAATAATTTTTTATAAATCGGACAATAAAAAATAAAGACAAAAAATGTAGTCATATTTAGCACTGTTTAATTACTAAAGTCTTCCTTGTTTTCATGGTAGACCAAAATTTGGAAAGAAAACTAATAACACTACACAAGAAGCACCAAAGGTATTCATTGAATTGCATTATATTCGATTTAGTTAGAGTGAGGTTTTTGTCTTCATTCTGAAACTGTGAGTTGTTCACGTTAAAGATTCCTCGGAACACATTGTGGGTAATGCCTGATTCAGTATAGATAGAATGGTATCATTCAGTGTATTATAGAAATGGTATATCTTGTTAAATAACGCGAGATTTTAGCATTCTTTCAAAAAATCCGAGACATTGGCAACCACATTAGTGTTGTATTGAGAGCGTGCATTATTTTGTGAAGCGTGCAAGGCCAATCAATAACTTGTCAGTATTCGGCTGTAAGAAGCAGTGTTTCATAACACTAGCAGGTAGAAAATTTCAGATCAAATACCCCTAAATCTTGTCTCCGTTTTTCCAGCCAACAAAGAAAGGCAAAGAGCCCGCGTTATTCAGCGGTGCCTTCATGGGTTTACAAACAAACGAAGAAGACTCAGCGCCAGTCTCTTCAAGTCAACTGCTGGCAAAAATGCGTGCGCGCAATAACGTAATACCAGAGGAGTCTGATACTAGTGCGGTTCCTGAAACTGAACATGATTCCTTATTGGCTGAAATAAGTCAGTTTGTGACGTCAGGTGGYTCGGTCGCAGGCCAAGCTACCACTCAGGAGATCCTGGAACGTTTTAGTTCCAAGCTACCGCGGGAAAACACAGCGGTTTTTCGTGCCTTGCTGCGACGCATTTGCGATTTTAAACGCGATAGCAACAGGGAAGGTGTTTGGAGGTTAAAAAGTGACTTCCTTTGAAGTAGATTATTTTATAAATACTGTAAATTATTCAAATTATTGTTTATATAAAGAATGATTTTACTATACATACACATTAAACGTTTACAGTTGGCAACAATGTTCAACGTTTCCGTTGCCATTAGATTAAGTGTGTTCGGTACTTTGTCGCACTCGGAATTCAAGAGTGTAAACGTTTTGTATTGGTTCAAGTGTCGCTCTTCAACGTTTGAATCGGTGAGTCTTGAATTAAAAAACGTTTTTGAAGGCAAGTAATTTCCTATTGAACACTTCCTTCGGATTTCCCATAAAAATCCTGAGTTGGTTACACTTACAATGCAAGTTTGAATGGCCCGGCATGATTTAAAAAAGTATATATTTTGAGGATGATTTCAACTTGATAATACTTGCACGAACTGAACAATTTCTTAACAGAAAAAAAGCTTATGTATTCGACTTTGTCATTTGAATGCATATGTTTCATACTGTTTTTCCCTCAAATAAAATAGCTTGGACTTTCCGGTGCCTATAGTACTGTCTATAGCGAAGTTCACTGGTGTCTTGTCTTTAGTCATAACTTGTAAATGGCTTATTAAAGAATAAACAACATAAAAAGCATGTGTTTTCATTATTATCTCCACACGTTGGTGTATAACAGTCAATGATGGTCTGAGCATAGTAATACAGCCTATTCAGACTTGTATTAAACGACAGTCGAGACCATGCGACAAGACGGCATAGATTTAAGTTGAGTTCATTAGTATGATGAAGGATTCTTTTTTAAAATGGCGTTAAATTAAGTATCAAAGAGAACCAATGGTCATTTCCCATAAAATAATGCTGGCGAGAGCAACCATTGGATTGATGAAATTGCGATCTGAGCCATTTCGTTTTTTGGTAGTGCTTCTGTTCTTTCATGCTGTTTAGTTCGAACAAAAAAGCATGAGAGTGAAGATCCAAACTCCTTTTTTCTTCCGAAATTCCTTAAATGAGRCATTTAAGAGGGGTCGCCTGAAAACAAGGACCAAAGACCCTGAATAACGAAGACTCACGAATATTTTCTACAGAAATGCGAAGGCGTTCTAACACCATGATCGTTTAAAAGCTTTGGCAGTATGGTTTGATGGGGATTTTCGTTTTCCAGCGATCCTCTTTAAGGGCTTCCAGAATAAGGTTGCATCAGTCTCTCTGCTTTCCAATAAATCTTTTAAGATTTTAAGAAGCTTTTAAAATAGCTTCCATTACTTCTTTTTGTAGTCGTAGACGACTGACATTTAAACCAGCCTTGTGGCTGTTGTAATTTCATCATGTATAAAGAAGGTTCTCATTCATTGTAGCAAGAAGGAAATGTCGTTAGTCCTTTYGTCTTATTTTGCTCCAGAGGTTTCTAGCAGTTTCTTTAACTGCCAGTCTGAGTTGCCCATATCTTGTATAAATTAGCAAAGGGTTGAGTAAAGGGTTGAGAAAAACTAAGGCATTACTGATACTCCAGAACCGTAAAATCTCTACTGAAGCACCACTAGCTGCAAGAACACTTAAGCAAATTATATGAGGTGTCGCGATAATTAACTGAAAACACATCACATAGATAAGGCTGAACACTGACTTCCGATAGCGAGACAAGTTGGGGAAGATGGCGGTGGTATTGAACGCTTGGCTTGCAATCTGATTGTGATGACGGCGAATGATAGTGAAGATTTGAGAGTAGCAAAACGCTGATATAGCAATAAACAGTGCCATTATTATCCCAACGGTAATGTTGTACAACTCTCTTGGCCCATTTAACAAAGAGAATACTAGCGATAAAGACAGGATCCAAATGACAGCGCATGATACGAGAACTCTTCTGATGGTGACAAGAGTCTGATACCGAAGATGAAGAACCAACGCGAGATATCGATCCACAGTTGCAAAGAGAATGGTCAAAATACTTGCACCGCTGAAAATAGTATTAAGCATATAACAAAGAATGCCTGTGAGACATGCATCACGTTCGCCGTGGTTGTACAATTCCAAAATCTTCCACGATAATCCCACAGGGTAAACAAAGAAAGCAACACCCAAGTTGGCTGCCGCAAGATTACAAGTCAAGATATTGGAAGGAGTATGAAGAGTTGGTGTGCGAACGATTGCTGTCAAGATCAATCCGTTTAGTACAACTATGGGTAAAGTAGATACYGTACTCACTGTTATCAGTCCTATCGTAAATGGGTAGATATCTTCTGCAAGAGCGTACCACTTGGTCAGTTCCTTGCATTGGTCGATAGACATTTCTGGGGGTGTTATTCCACCAACCAAACAAGAAGTTGACTTAATTGTTTCTAGGTAGGTTGCCGCTGAAGACTTATCAATGTTGGTAAGTGTTGCTCAATGTTGGTCTTCCCAGAAGAGACTTTCCGAGAACTTTTCTCACTTTGGAAGGAATCTTTACTTACGTATTTCTTGCTGAAAGTGACCAATATCATGTCAATTTTTTTTCGCCGTTCGGTCTCCTTTTTTCGCGTGTTATCTTTATTCATTAAACTCTCGATATGACTTCTCGGTGTTTGTAGCTTTGTTTATRTATAAGGGAAGGATATTAAGAAGTTTAATATTGATATAATGAAGTATGAATTCGACTGACACAAAATTGTTTATATTAATATGTTATATATATTTTTCAAATTGTACGAGAACAAATATTTTTTCAGTGCATGTCAAAGCAAATATAAAAGTAATATCGATTGGTGCACCTGTCGAAACGAACACCTACATTATCAAGGGAACGGTTACCGGAATGATTGATGACTCAGAGGAGAAGGTAATAGAAATTTTAAGTTAGATTTMAAAAGTCTGCACCTTGATTGCCGCTATATTTTGATATTACGAATATTATTAATAAGACATTCRTTCAAYCATACAAGGGCAAGTAATACCGTTGAGGCCGGTTGCACCAAGACTGGATAAAGTTAACCACTGGTTAAAGCTACACCCTACATAGGATTTTTTTATTGATTTTATCCGCTGGATAAGGATTTATCCGTCGGACTTATCCGCCGTACAACCGAATGAAAATAAAGTTGGGAAACCATTCAACTTACAGGATCAGTGCCCATGTACATAKTCTGGAAAGTTTGCTGTGATACTTAAAACTTTCTCTCTAAATCTAGATTTTTATATTTTTCATATACTATTCAAATCGATATTATTTTCAGTGAAAGACTTTCAGTAGTTGAGAGCTTGAAGTTCATAGTGGTAGGAAATCGATTCTTTTGGGTTGGTSAAGTCTCCTGAAAAGAAACGAGAGGTTTATTTGACGTCTTCATATTCTTCGTTTTCATGTTGCGTCACAGCGGCCATCTTGGAGGAGCTTCAACAAAGGATTTCCTCATTCGTATCTATTGTTCATTCCTCCTACATGGCCGCCGGTCTTTTATTTTTTTAATCTTATTGGAATGGTTGAAAACGATCAATTRGTGTTGGAAGCTTGTCGCATGATTTGCCAACAATGGGCATAAAGCCTTTTATCGGTGAATTATGTGTGGTTAATACATGGGAGGCACATGGAATCTTGTCTCATTCGGCGTGATTAGTTCCCAGATTAACTTTGAACTTTCATGCAACAAGAAGCAATCTTTACACAGTTTGCTTTACTCTTGCCCAGAAGAAACGAGCGGTTTCTTTAACAGCAACTCGTAGTTCTCCATACCTCATACAAACAAGCAAGGGGTTAACTAAAGGGTTAAGATAAAACAACCCATTACTGACACTCCAGAATCGTAAATTCGCTGCTGAAATGCCATGGGCAGCAATAAAAGAGAAACAAATGATAAGAGGTGTCATGAGAATCAACTGACAACACATGATATAGATAAGGTTGAACACAGACTTTCGATAGCGAGACAATTTTTGGACTGCCAGGATCGTGGTGTTGACTGACTCGCTTGCAATCTGACTATGATGACGGCGCATGATAGTGAAGATYTTAWAGAAGCAAAATGCAATAGCTATAAGCCATATTATCATCGTTATTCCAGCACTRATGCTGAACAACTTTTGTGATCCTTTGAAAAACCAAAATATCTGCAACGAAGGTGCTATCCAAATGAGTGCGCATGACCTGCTTACTCTTTTAACGGTGAGAAGAGACTGGTAACGAAGGTGAAGAACCAATGCAAGATAGCGATCCACAGTTGCAAGTACAATAGTCCAACAACTTGCGCCACTGAAAATGCTATTAATAACATACGCAGCGATACCTCCGAAACAGATGTCATCCTGGTCTTGATGGTATATTTCCAACAATTTCCACGTTAYCGCCACAGGAACAGCAATAAGCGCAACACCCAAGTTKGCTGTCGCAAGATTACAAATCAAGATATTGGAAGGGGTATGTAGAGTTGGYGTRCGGATGATGGCTGTTAAGATCAACGTGTTCATTATAACTGTRGGTAAGGCAGAGACGCTGACAGTTACTATYAGTCCTATTGTGAAAGGGTAGACGAYCTCTGCAAAAGCATCCATTTCAGCCATTTCATCGCATATTTTGTTTAACATTCCGAGGAACAAAGAAGAGAGCTGTGTTACTGTTTTAAAATAGATTAAGAAGACATGCCAGTGTTCGTATTGTGTTCACAGCTTTCCTGACTATAACTCCATCGGGTTTTGCTCAAAAATGTCAGCTTCGCGACTTTACAAAATATGGAAGCCTGATAAAAAACATTTCTTGGAACTTGGCTGTGAAAAACACCTTTGGAGTTATCTTTGTTGAACGCTTTTAGATATGGAAATTCGTCGTACTTCACTCAGTAAAAAAAGGCTCCTCACTTAATCAGCACTGATAGAAAGAGCTGAAAAAAAGAGCTTTTTCACTCAGGAAAGCGTTTTTGTCGTGTCCAGTGCTGAAAGATCACAGTCGATCGTCTGRAACCTAAATTTATCCAATAACGTTTTGACATTACGTCTCTTTTTTGACATGCTTATATAAATAGAGTCTGTCAAAGTATAATTGGTTTTGAATATTACACAAAAACATATTAAGAAATTTAATATTGAACTAGGAATGCTTTCATCAATCAGAACCCCAAGTAGTCATAAATGTAGACCATTTCTGTTCTTAGAGTTGCTGGACTTTCTTGTTTGCAATAAAGGTTTATTTACGTTGTGACATCATCAAAACAATTAATATAGATATGAGCACCTGTCGAGAATAAAGACATCATTACATTAATCATTATGAAAATGGTCATAATAGAAATGGCAGTCTGATGCGATTCTCGGAATAACTGATGTGCCAGAAGAAGACAATAGATTTGTGACGCTTTTTGAGTAAGTTGTATTCACTATGATTGTCAATTGTTGTAAATGAATGTCACTTACATTTAGCTTAAACGCCTTAAWCGGGACAATCCTCCATTGGTTAAAATACGTGGAGTCTAAGTCTAGCCATGACACGATTTGATTCTGTTCGAAACCGGGAGCAATCAGATCGCTTGCAGGATTTGGTATATTCATAGTTAGTACTATGAATATGGTACTAACTATGGTTTATTAAACTAATATGTCAGATATGCAGTATTTCCTGCTGAGCTGGTTTAAAACTCTTGAATAAACTATGAAGTTGATCATGGAATAATGTTAATTTGGCTTTGAACAACTCCCTGGTACATGATTAAATGGTACTCTTACAAGAAGCAAAAAGTAGTAAACTCTAGATTACTACCTTTTTACTCTTGCCCAACAATATCTAGCTGTTTCTTGAACTGCCTCTCGTAGTTGACTATATCTCATACAGAGTATCAAAGGGTTGACTATGGGGTTGAGAAATACTAAGCCAACACTAACACTCCAGAAACGTACAACCTCTACCGAAATACCACGAACAGCAATAACAGTCAAGCAGATTATGGAAGGCGTCATGAGGATTACCTGGCAGCACATGACATAGAAAAAGTTCAACACAGACTTTCGATAGCGAGTCAAGTGGSAAAAGACACCGTTGTTGTTKGYCGGATGGCTCGCGATTTGATTATAATGACGGCGTATGATTACGATGATTTTACAGTAACAAAATGCAATAATTAWAAGCCATAATATCATCCCTATTCCGACACTGATGTTGTAAATCTCTCGTGATCCATTTACAAGCGGGACGAATTGCAGTAGAGAAACAATCCAAATGATCGCACATGATTTGATAATCCTTCTAACGGTCACGAGAGACGGGTAGCGAAGATGGAGAGCCAACGCGAGATATCKATCCACAGTTGCAAAAAGAATGGTCAAATAACTTGCTCCGTTGAAAATGGTACCAAGAACATAAGTAGCGGTACGMGYGACACATAAGTCATATTCAAAGGGGTGGAAYAGTTCCAACATCTTCCAAGATACTCCAGTAGGAAGGGCGAGTATACCAACTCCCAAGTTGGCTGTCGCAAGATTACAAATCAAGATATTTGAAGGAGTATGAAGAGTTGGTGTACGAATGATGGCCATTAAGATCAACGCGTTCAAAACAACTGTTGGTACAATGGACGCACTTATAASCACTATCAAACCAATCGAAAATGGGAAGGCATCGTCTGCAAAAGCGTACCACTCAATCGCTCGTTGGCATATCATGCCAGATAAATCTTTTTGTATTTTGATATAATAGAGCAATCTTTATGATTGTTGATATGGTCTTTAGATGAAAAGGGTCAATACCAGTTCTCAAAGAATCTTGCCGATATAAAGAATGACATCRAAGGTTCTGCACTCGAAGAAGATGAGGACATCTAAACCATTTAAAGTCAAAGGTAAAGTGCTCAGGTAAGWGTATCAGGTAAATTCAATGTGTAAGGACKTTTAATAATGTTATGTAACCTTGCAGTTCGTGGCGTTTTTCAGCTCAAATTTGTTCTTGTGATTATATCTCCGATCCTCTATTAGAAAGAAATAAGTATTGTGTTTCGACTTTTCACTTAACTTTCTCAGAGATGAGCAGAGATCCACGTCAATCCTGGTCCTTTGATGCACACACTTTTGCGGCCTCCCTGTAAGCTTCGTACTCCTTTAAAAACTTTACAAAGATATTCATTCGTTGATAATTTTTACAGTGAACTAATGGAACAGACCTTTTGTTAGCTCAGAAACGTCTTTTCGCTGTTTAATTGCCGAAAATACCAATTACAAGTCGCTTTTTCTTTAAATAATCGCATCTCTTATATAGATAGCTAAAGCTTTTCAAGTTGTTGTTCATGAAGATCTCGGGGTGACTTTTATGATTAAACATGGTGGAATCTGTCAAACTATGATTGGTTTTGGAATTATGACGAACACGAAAATTCATTAAAAAGTGTAGATATTGCCATTTAGGGAATACTGATCAATGATGAACAAAGAATTAATATATGCCACTTATTAAGTCCTAACATTAATTGTGTTTAGTGAGGAAATTTTATTTACCTTCAGTGATTGAAGTGATTCCTTTCAAACTCAAATTAAATGTAAAGCAAACTATCAATGGTATTGCTTATTTAGGAGAAATATATAACTACATAGTAGTCACAAGACTGAATTTAGGAGTTGACATAAAGATTGGCGGCTCAGTAGTTTACCGTCAGTTATTCTAGATACCTTTACAGCACATCTCATCATTTTATTTAATATTAGCATGGTGGGGTACTACTTCCAGCGGCGAACTACGTATAAATAACTTATATCGTTTGAGAGTATAGCGTAGCCCGGGGTAATACCCAATTTTGACGAGATATTGAATGGGGATGGCAACAACTACASATAGTTAACATTAACTATGAACTACATTACAAAAAAAATACTATTCCGGCTATTCTGTATGAATGTATTCAAGATTTAAATAAAAAAGTCGCCGGTTTGTACTTAAAATTGCCCATTCACCTTTTTGAATTAAAACCTGATATGTTTATAAGAATGTAATATAACCTGTCGGACATGTTTGTYCKCCTTGCAAATCTGTCTCGTTTCATGGACGAGAAACTTGAACCAAAAAGAGCACTCATTCAATTGTTTTCCGTGGGAAATAGTGATCTTTGTGATCAAAAAAGTAGTTAACTTCAGACTTCTTGCTTTAATTTTGCCCARAAATAGCAAATAGTTTCTTGGACTGCAACTCGTAGTTCTCCGTATYTCATAAAGATTAGCAAAGGATTCACTAAAGGGTTGAGATACAGTATTCCMGTACCGACAGACCAGAGACGTAAACTCGCTATCGAAACACCAYGAAAAGCGAGAGCAATCATACTAATCATGCTAGGTGTTATGAAAATAAACTGACAACACATGACATAGAATAGGTTGAACACAGACTTCYGATAGCGCGACAGTTGAGGGAAGCTAGTAGTGTTATTGATTTCTTGGCTTGCAATCTGATGRTGATGACGGCGTATGATTGTGAAGATTTGAGAGTAGCAAAATGCAATTACTGCAAGCAGCAGTATCATACATATTCCGATTGATATGTTATAYAAYTGACCTGGTCCRTTATACAGTGTTATAATTGACAATAAAGAAATAAACCAAATGATCAAGCATGATTTGCTAACTCTTCTAACGGTGACAACAGACAGGTATCGAAGATGAAGAACCAGAGCAAGATATCGATCCACAATTGCAACAAGAATGGTCACATAACTTGTCCCGTTGAAAATGCTTCCTAACATAAACGTRACTTTGCCTGCAATACAGACATGGTGCTGGTCATAGTGGTACAATTCCATTAACTTCCAGATGGTCACCAAAGGAATAGATATTAAGGCAACTCCCAAGTTGGCTGCCGCAAGATTACAAGTCAAGATGTTGGAAGGAGTATGAAGAGCTTGTTTGCGAACGACGGACGTTAGAATCAAAGCGTTTAGTACAATTGTGGGTAGAATAGTCACAGTACTAATTACTATTAGACCCATCGTGAATGGATAGATATCTTCTGCATGAGATTGCCATTCTCTTAGTTTCTCGCATGTATAATTAGTCATTTTGAGATCTTTTGATCCAAAATTGTACAAAGAAAACTATGCAGATGTAAGAGGTAGATTGTGATGACTTTGTAGCTTTGCAACGATGCGATGGTTGTCTTTTTTCCGCCTTGTTTAGATGGATGAACCTAATCCTAAAAGCCTGAGATTTCACTTCCCAAAAAACAATCACTCGGCGCGAGTGTTGATGTGACAGCTTTTTTGGTTTAGTGACGACTTATGCCTGATTCCGCAAGCACTATGTACTGTGTAAAAGAGCAGCTGTCACCTCCGATCGCTGCGCGAATTGCATGTTACTTAGATTAAAACMTTTTACTCTGGAAGGCTTGTTAGCTCACATGCTGAAAGATACCAATAACATTTCGATTTCTCTGTGAAAACAGAGTCTTTCTTTCACCAATGAAGGCAGGAGGTTTTTATTATTCCCACAGTAAAGTATTGAATAAATTTCTCTCTTTCTCTCTGCGCTTATACACAGAATTTGTCCAACTGACATTGATCTTATTATATATGTGGAAGGTCTATTAAAAAGTGACTTAGGATATTAAAATTTAGCTATGTACTTTGATAAAGGTACTTTTAAGCAAGCAATTTCTTGTAAAAACTAATTGCAATAAACAATCGCATCCAAGCAACATCGTCACCTGGTCTRATTGCTTTCTTACACTATACCAACCTATATCTACCACTAAGCTACCTCCACAWACAATGTAAATTTATCATTTTGACTGTACTTATATATTCTATAATATTCTCTTTGACATTTAGAAAACTTATCTGATATATATTTTTTTCTAGTATAGACAGTACTACAGTAGCATTTATTTGTTGCTGGCATAAATTGTAAAACAAATTTCAATTAAAAGAAAAAAAAGGAAAAGTTTAATGCAATTAATTTTTACCATAAACCTCATAGGCCTAAAAATAGTTATAAATATATAGCAATATATGAAAGCCAAATAGTAAATTAAGCCATTTGAAGTCAAGCTCGCTCAAAACCATTGAACAAAACATTCTCAAATGAGAAATTATGCAAGTTTTGTAATCCATTGAAAATTCGAGAGATTAAAGCTTCTCAAATTCACCTTTTTGAAATATATTTATCTATAAAGTCTGGCGTATTTTCTGGAATTTTTAAAGCATTTCCCCTCTGGATTACCAAGTACGGAGTCAAAGTTTGAAAAAATACTTGTAAGGGGCATGGAATCTTACAGTCTGCGTTGTATCACAAATTTTCCTTCGAGATGTAACGCATGCAGGCTAATAATATTCTGGAAAGRTGACGTTGGCTGATGCAAGATTGCAACTCGCGGTCTATGGCGACGATGAATCGCCCGTTCATGATTCCACTTTGKTGTTTTAAGTTTGTGTTAATCTTCTACAGCAAGACAGGGCTCTGCCTTTAATTGCAGATCGCAGCTCACCATATCTCATGCAAATTAAAAAAGGGTTAACGAAGGAATTGAGAAATAAAAAAATATTACTGACACTCCAGAATTGTAAGCTTGCGACCGAGACGCCGTGAGAAGCAAGGACAATCAAACTAAACAAATAGGGTGTTAAGAAAGCAAACTGACAACACACAACGTACAAAAGGTTAAACACAGACTTTCGATAACGCGTCATACTATGCAAAAAGGTCGGAGAGTTGACTGCTTGGCTTGCAATCTGATTGTGATGACGGCGAATGATAGTGAAGATTTGAGAGTAACAAAACACAATGATGACCAGCAATAGCACTATCATTATTGATGCAGCAATAAAATACACATTCCTTCCGMCCATCAGAAGAGGAATCTGAATTAAAGAKGTACACCAATAGAGAAYGCACGTGATGATAACTCTTCCATTGGTGACRAGCAGTGGATAGCGTAGATGRAGAACTAACGCAAGRTATCGATCCAAAGTCGCAAATACTAAAGTTAAGAAACTGCCGCCATWGAAGAAGGAACAGATTGAGWAAGTGACAATCGTTATACTGCACAGTATATCATAGTCGTGATAGTACAGTTCTAAAAACTTCCAAGCCACTCCAAAAGGAATAGCAATAAGSGCAACTCCCAAGTTGGCTGCCGCAAGATTACAAGTCAAGATATTGGAAGGKGTATGTAGAGTTGGYGTRCGGATGATGGCTGTTAAGATCAACGAGTTTAGTACAACTGTAGGTAAGGCAGAGACGCTGACAGTTACTATYAGTCCTATTGTGAAAGGGTAGACGACCTCTGCTAGAGATTGCCATTCGTTCATTATCTGGCATGTATAGTTAGTCATTCTTTGATATTTTGATCCAAAAGCAGCTTTAAT